CCAACAACTGCTGTAAGGAATGAAAAAGTAATTGTATTTTCAGTTTGTTGGCTTTATTAATTTGACAGCTTTTCACAGATAGCTATTTTGTGACTTCAGGAAATTTTAAGACTAGATAGTATAATTTCTTTACTGGAGGAAAAGGGTGTGTGTTTAAAAATAAATACAGTGTGAGTTTAAACCTTCTTCCCTTTCCTTCAGAAAGTGCAGGTGAAATTAAAGTCACTGAATTTCTTAGATATGATTTAATGTTTGTCCTTTAAATTTTGAGTTCTTTAAGAAAGAAAAAGCTTACTCCTCTACCCATCTGCCATACAATTTCATGTGACTATTTATGCATTTATGGATTTAAATGATTGTGAAATAGCAAGTTCTACATAATGCTGCTGTAAGGCAGACTATTAAATATAAAAATCATTAAAAAGCAGGTGAGGAATTTACTGATGAGTCCCACAGTTACCATATTTTCATGCCTATAGCCCCTGACTTTTAAAAGATGTTTAAAACTTTACCAGTCTTCTATATAGGACCACCATTTGTGAGATAATTGAAAATTTGCCTAGCGCCTCTGCAGATCTTGGCATTACTCTTCTGTCTACATAAAAATCTGGAAATGTTAACTTTAAAGATGCTGTACTCCTTTGTGAGGATCTCTGGGCTGCTGCCCAGTAACTTACAAGTAACTTAGGAGTGACGAGAAACATCCCAGAAAGTTGCTGTGGAAACCAAGAACTGCCAGAGCACCCTGACACTTCTTACTGAAAAAAATCTTGTGGGTTTTCTTATGGCTAAGCTGAAAGGAGAAGGTGACAGGGTGCCATGACAGTATTGAAACATACACTGTTCCCATCTCTCATCAGTATGTGGAACTTCTAAATCCTGTTTAAAATTTCTGATTTTTATACAGTTGTAAGTGAAAGCAACAGAAAGGTAAGTCTTACCCACGTTTCTCAGTCTCTCTAATTTGTTGATAGTGAGAATTTGTTTGCAGTTAATTTTTCATTTTTCAAGCTATTTGAAATAGCTCTTCAGAGGAAAAATTACTGTAACTTGTTGTGCCACTTAACAGTCAGTGTATTAATTAAAATGATGGAATGTCATTACCTTAATGATATTTTCTTCTTCTGAACACTCCTAAACAAAATTAGCATGCCTCCGTGTTAACTTCTACACATTCACATGAAATACATGTGTTAAAGCTGAAACCTGTCTCCTTGTCATGTGCTTGTGGGTTGGCATACAGTTGAAATCAGTTGTGCTCTACATAGCAGAGGAATTTAATGAGCAAGTAACAGTGGCTTTTGAAATGACACACTGCAATGCGCTGTATGGTAGGTGGCTGTAGTTATAAAACTATAATTAAGTGTGTGGGAACTGAGAACATCTGCTAAGGGAATGCCAGTTTAAAAGAAAAAACCCTAAAAATTCCTAGTGCTGTAAAACTAGCATTAAAATATTACATACACCAGATTAAGCTGAGGACATAATTTTAATAATTATATTAAGTAACCTGGGGAGAGTACGTGAAGGAGAATATTCTGCCATGCTGCATTACATTATCTATCCTCTTTTTGTTATTCACACTGCACTTTTTGAGGTTGAATAGCTGGTATTACAGCAAGGCATGTAACTGATCTACATGTTTTCATGAAACAGATACCATCTCATGTGCTAACACTCCATGAATTAGTTGAGTGACACTTACAATGCAGAACAATGAGCCCTAAATAGCACTTGAGATGGTGTCAGAACTGGGGCTGCCACAGGTACATTTAAATTAATCTGATAACCTCGATGTAACATTGCATTTGGAACCAATACTAAACCCACTCAATCCTGTTGGCATCAGTGCTCCTGGGAACGTACCCTTGGCAAATTTTCACTGGGTGTTTAGAAAGCAAAGCAGGCAATATATTGTGATAGCAATGAAAAAAGCCATGTCTTAAATCTATTCAATCATTTTGTTTAGAACTGCACTTCTGGTCTCTGTTAACTAGCTGGAGCAGACTGATTATCTATTTGACTATTTTCATAATTTCCTGGTTTAAGGTCCTGTTTCTTGCCAAAACTTAGGGTTCATGATTCTACAATATAATAATTTGGCTCTGGTCAAATTATTATATTGTTTAGCAAATTTTGGACTCACTGGGTGGAATACAGTGATAAACTTTAAAACAACTTTGTTAGGAATGTGATTTTCCCCTCCCATTACAAAAATTGTGCACCACTGAAACATCTCTTTGCAGGTGCGCAGTAGAGATTTGGCAAAACCAGAATCTAAAAATCTATTCCCAGTGCACATGAATGGAAAATTAGAACTGATTATTCAAATGCTTCTAAGTGTCAGGGGTAGTATAGGGGACGAGTGACATTATTCATGTAGTTGATACTGCAATGAATGCTACAGCAATCTGAAAATGAGGTGCTGGTATTTGCTATTCTTTCAGACCCACTATAGACCAATCTTTGCAGAGGAAAAGGCTGCGTAGCTTGAAGACTGAGGGAATAAGAGCAGTAGACTGTGACAAATTGCTTTTGGCAGGGGAAGGAGCAGTTTGGTTTGGAGGGTAGTGGCAGAAAAACTGGTTAAGTCAGTTAAACCAATGAAGATAAAACTGTCTAGGAAGGGAGCTGGGGCTGAGAGCTGAAAAGGCAGAGGTTTGTCTAGTGGCTCTAGAATTGGGTATCCCTGTGATGCCAGATGATGAGACTTCAGTATTTCTTCTTCCTTTCAGAAGGAAAGAAAATCTAGAAGGTGACATGAGAAGGAATTACATTAGCATTGTGAAGGCTGATGATAGGAAATGCCAGCTAACTCCACCTTTGCTGCTTCAGTTTGTTCCCTCTTTGCAGATGCAGTTATTTGAATAGTTTTATATTTACTTGTTTCTGCAAATCTGTGGCCTCAACCAGAACACAAACTGGATCTCCTCAGGGGGTGCAGGAATAGGTTTGGATAAGGAACAGAGTAAGCAGTAGACTCTTTAGTATTCTTCTTCCATTTGCTGACACAGCTTGCTGGTAGTAGGAAATTAAGAGACTGAAGACTTGTTCTGGTTTGTGCCCCTGCTGCTTTGTTTCTGTGGTAGTGGGTGTTGTATATTATTGTGGAAGAGCATGGAAAGCTCTCACCTGTGGGTAGCCAGCAGATAGATTCCATCGCACTGCATAGCTGTGCATGATAGGCATGTAGAAAAGAACCATTTTTTTCTCCTTCATGTTCTTAAGTGTATTCTGAGCTGCTTTGTAAATTCACATTTGCCTTCGAGTAATTTGTCAGCCCCTCAGGTATCAGGCAGTATCATTCAGGTTTGTTGTGTGCTTGCTTGTTCTTTTACAGCTGTTTCTGTCAAATACTGTTTTTCCCTAATTTAAAAATTATGTTTTCTTTCAACATTTCTGTAAAGACTGAACCCATTTTGCATGCCATCTCTCCTAATTGTTCCTATACCACTCTGCTTAATCTTTGTGAGTTTTAGTTTTAGACTAAATTTGCTTTTAGACTAAATTTGGGCTGATTTGCTCTAGGATAAGTAAAGGATGTTCTCAGTAGCAGAAATCTTAAATGTGCTGGTGAACAATTAGGAATTGGGAGGGAGAGAGAAAGATAACCCTACAAACTAAAAATTAACTAAATGTCTAGAACTTTTTTAAGTCAGATGGCAGATACAGGTAGTTAGTAATAACACTTCTTAGTTGCATGAGCTAACTGTGCTCAAACCACAGTGGCTAGTAGTTCTTTCTTTGGCTATTTATATTAGGAAGAATTGCAGTTTGTTGGGGTTTTTTGTGGTGCATAGCATTGAGGCAAGTTGGATTTCAGTAGGTCTGAAACCAGCTGACATGTGCATGTATTCATGTTATAAACACTAGAAGTTGCATTATTTTGATGTGTATTATGTGGACGAGTGAAGCTACATGAAATAAAAATTGGTGATTGTGCCCCTTGGGAAAAGGGTAAATATAGTATCAGCAAAACATTCAAATTAAAGGTTGCAAAGCTGATTATTCTGGTTTTCACGTGTTGTACATAAATAGTTTTCCTTTATTTTGAGAGCACATATTATTTATTGCTGCTATTAAATATCTTCTTTCCTGTAAACAGTTAAGTCTAATGGAACTACAGGTATGCAAGGTAGTGCTAAGATTCTTCAGAAATGGCAAAATATGCTAGGAGTTAATGAGACAAACAATATGATATAAGGAGGGCTTTATAGCAAGGAGAGAAAAGAGAAGTTTATAGCAATTGACTTGCTTTGAAGCCTCTCACTGAACAGTCATTTAGGTATGGAGGCATCAAAGCCCTAATTTTAACAGAAGCTGAAAGAACTTACTCTTCTAAAAGACAACCGTGACTCTTAATGAGTCTTACTGGTTCGTATTTAAGTACAGTGCTGCTTAACTGGTGGTCACTAAATTCCAGTATATGTCGGCATGAAGATTGAAAGGCCAGTAGTTCCTTGAGGAGCAGAACTGAAGAAACCAGTATATCTATTCAGATTAACAGTGAATAAATCTGCTCTAGCTTTTGCTTCATAACTCCTTAATCTAAACAAAATTCTTACTATCTTTCCCCACTTTCTTGCTCTTTAGTTCATGTCATCTTGGGTTCACAGGGTAGATCTGCAAATGCACCAACAAAGCTAAACTGGAAGATGGCACCCAAGGAAGAAGCCTGACATGCCTCCTCTGCTGAGAGGACATTGAAGTAGGTGTGGCATTAGTATTCTGGTCTGCAGGGCCAGAGTAGAGCTGATCTGAAGTTAAGACCCTCTATGGATGTCAGGCTTTGATACCTACCCTTTTACTGTAGAAAGTTATTCCTACTTGCTAATGCTGAAACACACTTTGGAACTGAATTACACCAAGGCTGTTCAGTGACTTCCAACTGTATTAGTCATCAGTGCATCCAGAGCTTGGAATGAATATAATGGGAAAAGCTTGAGTTAAGTTCTGCACCTTTTTAGACAGCAGAAATATTTTGGTTATTTTTGTTGTCTGTCTGGTATCTAACAAGGCAAATTAAGCTGGGGTCAGTGTGGAAGGGAGTTTTGTGGCTGGGATTATAAGCTATGTGCATTTATCCACAAAGAGCTCCTAATTCTTCCTTCCTGCATGAATTCACTTTCATCTGATAATGCTAAAATATATTGCCCATTTGACTTTGATAAGGTCTGTATTCTCCGTGGGAATTCCTCATGGAACTTGTAAGCTTTCAGTGTTATCAAGACCTCTGCATGTCTGCCAAATTTAGCCAAAATTGGCCACAAGTTTTAGGTACTCAGTAGGGGTACTGAAAGGTTTCCTGTGCAATCCCTTCCAATTATTATCTTAGCAAATAATAAGGATTGAAATGTTTCAGTTAGTATCTTCTTAGTTAGTCTTTTAAGTTATAGGTATTCTTTCTGGTTTTATGAGCATGTTACAAAAAGTTTCAAGTCAAATGCTGCTGCTTCAGCATACTTATAAGAATATATTAAGGAGTCTTACTTATATCACCCCACACACTAGTCTGACTCTGTTAGCTAGGTGTAACATTACCTAGTAGTTCAGGGAGGCATACTTTAATATGCCAGCAGAGGGAAACAGAAATGGATTTTTCTTTCATGAATTAACACTATTTCCACAGATTCTGTTGGGAATGACTTATGGGGGAAAAAAAAAAAACCCATTGGAAGGAATTCTCTTTAGGTAAGGATTTATGCATGTTTAGTCTCAAATTGATGCATATTATATACCTGGTAGAAAAGAGCAAGAATGCATTGTTGGTCATACTGTATAAAAACGGAAAATTAGATAATACTTGAAGTATTCAAGTGACCAGTAATATGCAAAGTGCTGGAAACAAGTGATGGAACTAAAATTTTCTTATGTTCCTAATACCTTTGGTAGCTACTGCAGTCTGATGAACCCAAATTTAACCCTCGAGTGATGTATTTTTAACAGAAACATAGTTCTAATTATATTTGTTGTTTGTTTTGAGAAAGATGAAGAAATAATTGGATAGTCTGGGAATATTTGGATCTTCTGGGAAATAAAATTTTAAAATAAAATTTTAAAGAATGCCTAAAAGATTTGACAGGTGAACTCTGGATACCATTGTTAAATATTGTATTTGTTAAAAGACAGATATTTCACCATGATGAAATGATTGGCACTTCCTAATGAGGCTTCTTTTCTTTCTAGAGAGCTAGTGTATTCCCATTAAGGAGAAAATTGGACAGACTGTGTATACCAGAATACTAAGCTAAGGGCCACAATGACCCCTATCTTCTGAGGTTCTAGATGCTGAAATCTTTTCCCGAACAGCTGTGCCTGAGCAGAACTACCTTGCTACACATCCCAAATGAAATAATATGTAAATGAATGCAACAGGCATCCATCTCCTATATGGGTTCTGGCTACCTGTCAGGGGCTCATTGGTGTGTCTGTGGCATCTAACTGTACCTGACAAGGGAACTTTCAGAAGGGCTAAGAAGATGCATAATGTGTTTTAGGCACTCTGTCTTATGGTGGAGTTTTTTGTAATTATGGGTGGGGACACTAATCTACTACGTATCTGCTTCAGTGACATGGTCTCATACGGTAGTCTTAAATCATTTCCAGCCTATGAAATGAGTTCATTTGAACAAACACAGTTCCTGTAAAACAAGAGCTAAAGAGGAAGCCAAAAGCAGGGAATGAAAATAACCACCACTAAAGGCTAGACATTTATGAGTTTATATTATTAAAAGCAGTAATAGATGCATGGGAAAAAGGGTAAGAAACGTGAATTGCAGTCAGCAAGTTAATGGAAATTTTCTTTTAACCTTTAGTCAGTTAAAGGAACTTTTCTCTTTTTTTGTTTACATTTAAGCAGTAAAAATAATTAAAAAATCACAAACACCACAAGCATGACTGGAATTATTAACAAAATTTTCTCTAGTGGTAGCGGAGGAGACGCAGAGTATAAAAGCAGTAGTTTGTCCTCCTCCTTCCTTTTGCAGCTGTAAAAATAACCAGTAAAATGTACAGAATGTTGTCAGCTTGAATAACTTTCTTGGTATCCTCTTATACTTGCAGTTACATTTTAGGAAAATGTTCTGCTATTGAAGCATCTGAGAAGTATTTTGAGATGACAGCAAGTACCTATTTAGAACCAAGTGCAGAAATTTGACTTAAGTTTGCTTTTCAGTTTGTAGCAAGTCAAAATATGTATCCAGTAAAAATCCTGCTACCAACAGGCAAAATTTTAAGCTTCAAGTCTTTTCTCTAGGGAGAAAGACTTAAGTTGTTAACAATTTAAATGCAAATGTTAGACCTTTTTCTACTGATGCTGTATGCAGGAACGAAGATTGCTGTAAGGAACAGTTTAGAAACTTAGTCTTTGCTTTTCTTTCAGAAATATAGTTAACTTTCTCTGTTTCGTGAAGAAACACGAGAAACGAAAGGATTATACCAGTTTCTCTTACTCTTGCATTTATAGCATTCTCAGAAAAATCACATTAGGAAAAGCATGTAAGGAAAGAAGTTCCTTATCGTTAGATTTATTCCCCTGCCTTCAGACAGTCACACTTTTCACATACGCTTGTCAAGTTCTGGATCTTAAGTCTGACCACAGCGCTCCCAGTAAGTGCTTCAGACTTCAACAATTGTCATAAATAGAAACTACCTTATGATTTGCAGCTTACATTTAAGATTACATTAAATGGTTAATAGGGCCTTTATTCCTCCCACTTACATTCAATCCCTTTATGTTCTTGTAGAGAATGATGATCCTGTGATGGGTTCTCCTGTATCTGATGCTCTTTGAACATTTGCTCATAGAAAGTAGAACCACTTCTGATTTTCGAAAACAAAATCTTAGCAGTACATTAAATAACAATGTTAGTATTGTATATACTGAGGAAATAGGCTCATATATGTGATATACTGGAAGTTAGATATCAACTTAAAATTGTTTGTTAGTAATAGTGTAGGCAGATGATCCAGAAAACAGAGCTTTTGAAAGGTTCTTGAAGAACAAAGTGATAAGTTACCTTGTCTGGTATGTTTCCAAATTTTTACAAATTTCCCTGGTCATGCATGTACTGCTGCTGAGTACAATGTGACTTACCTATTGCATTCCAGTAGAAGTTTATGGCCATGTACAAATTATTCGGGAATCCTAATTGTTTAATGACCTGATCAGTACATTTGCAGATAATGTGTGTAAGTAACATGTGTACAATAACACCACACTTAACATGAGGATGTCTTCACAATCCTGTAAGCAAAATTTAAAATGACAGAAACTATGATATCAGTTGTCTGTCTGTTTTTCTCTTTGATTACCTATCTGAAAACAATTTAATTAGAACTGGAGTATCCAGCTCCTGAGTATTCAGCTTCATATAGGGTGAGGCAATGTGATCTGGGACAAACAGTATTTCTGCTTATGTTTAAGTGCAGAAATAGTTCTGTGGGGCCTTCATAAAGCATATGCTTAAGCATGTGCTCAGCATATGCCTTGCTGGGTTGGATCTTAGTACAGACACCCTGCCATTTTGTTGTCTTCTTGTTGCATGGTAATGAAATTGAAACATGGAGGAACCATTTCCATACTTTCCCCATTTTTCATTATAGACACTGTCTACCTATGCTCCATCAAACATTTTTTCATAGAAACAATATATTGGCATATAAGCCTTCCTTCTGCTTAGGGGCTGGCAGCTTCAAGACAGTTGGTTTTTTGTGTGAGTTCTTGTTGCCACAGCCTAAACATTGTGGTGTTTATCAAGTTCTTATTGCATTCTCATTGCCCTAGTCATCCTGCTAACAGTAAACATCTGAAAAAATTGCTTTTAAAAACTGAGAGAAATAAAATAATCAGCTTCACTGTCCTTTCAGAACTAATGCTTCATAGTTTTTTTTACCTGCTTCACTGAACGTATGAGTTGGCATATGAAGTATACTGATCTATTGCAGAGGTAAGAGCAGGAGTGCTGTGTAGAGTCTTAATGATGTGGGGTAAAATAATTTACTGCCACATGCATATTTGGATATAGAATACTGCCTGCTAACAAATATGTGTTTGTAGATCACCTGCAATGTTTAAACTGAATAATCACAGACTGATTTGGCCTCTTAACTTTGCAGATATTTTCTCAGATAACTCTCTCTAGGTCAACCTGTGAAACTGGCAAACAACATTAATGAAAGTCTGACACTCCTTTTCACACAAGTCTGGAAAGCTCCTGCCTTCTCCAAATATCTGGGCATTGTTCTCTACCTAAGACAATGAAAATGTATCATTTTCCAGCCAGTCACACACATCTATCCTGCTGTTGATCCATCTGCACTCTGTGTTATAAGCCAATTGCTCCTCTCACCAAAGGTCCTTGGAGTAGAATTTATTACAAAAGATGGTAGCTATAAAGAGTACATGCTAGAATTAACTTTAGGATTAATATAAATCCTGTATCAAAAATACATCTTAATCCTGCTTTTTGTAATATCTTGTGTGAAATGGCAAGGAGTAAATATCAGGTAACTTAGAATCACAGAATGGGTAAGGTTGGAAGGGACCACGGTGGGTCATCTGGTCCAACCTCCCTGCTCAAGCAGGGTTGTCCTAGAGCAGATTGCACAGGATTGTGTCCATATCATTCTTGAATATCTCCAGTGAGGGAGACTCCATGACCTCTCTGGGCAATCTCTTCCAGTACACGGTCACCTACATGGTGAAGAAGTTCTTCCTTATATTCAGTGGAACTTCTGTGCATCAGTTTCTGCCCATTGCCTCTTTTCCTATTGCTTGGCACCACCAAGAAGAGCCTGGATCGATCCTCTTGTTACCCTCCCTTCAGATACTTACAGACATTGATGAGGTCCTTTCTGAGTCATCTCTTCTCAAGGCTGAACAGGCCCAGCTCCCTCAGCCTTTCCTCATAAGAGATGCTTCAGTCCTTTGTCAGCCTGTCTTTTATGTTCTGATTCAAAACAAACCAGACAAGGTAACTTATCACCTTGTTCTTTAAGAATCTTTCAAAACCTATGTAAGCAAGGAGGCAACTAGCATTCTAGACTGTGCCCCCTGTTGTTACACAGCTAGCAAGCCTGGGATTTCAAAGGGGTCTAGACTTCATGGCTACAGAGCAGGAGGGAGAAAGACCCTGAAAGTTATTCGTGAGCTTGGATGCCTTTGTGATGTGGCATTTAAGATTTCATAATATGTTGAGTTATTAATAAAGTTTTAAGTATTTTATTTTTTGGAGTTTCTACATGTCCTAAAAAAAAAAAAAAAAAGAAAAAGAAAAAAACCCACAATCTCCTTTTCTTTACTTCCCAGTTCTTTCCAAAATTTTACATAGAAAGAATATTCTAACTTCTGATGGCCCTCTATCCTTAGGTAGCTCTGGACTGTGGTTATCAACAATGATTAACAATTATTTGAATGAGGTGCAAGCAGGTAATAGCATGTTACTCCTTGTTTAGGCTTTGATTCCCAAAGTGCTTTCTCACATTTACTTAGTTGTTGATTTATTGGGTGTTAGAGATCCTGCATTAATGGCTGTAGGTGCTCTAACTTCTGATCAAGAAGGGAATTAAAACCCTAACAATAAAGACATGCATCTTGATTCATGAATAAACTGAGGGTGGGGAAACCTTCCTTGACTTCTCACTAACCCTTTTTATAGCTCTGTCTGAATGTGGAACAGAAGGGGTGACAGAATGCTTTCCTGCAGCACACCACACTGCAGAACTTACAGGAACAGAAGCAGCGACTACAAGCAGATATCAGGGTCTCTTGGAGAAAATAGACCAGGTGTCGGTGAGATTCCCATGAGTCTTTTCAGTAGTCTCTTGTAATGCAAAGTATTGCTGAGCTGAGGTAATCATTGTAGTGTTATCAAGAAATAGCACAGGGATATATATTATGTATTTAGCAAAACCAAATGTAGCAATGGTAACCTAATGCGACTGTGGTTAAACTCAGTGTTCTTTTACTTCAGCATGTAAGATCAGGTGTGAGCTGAGTAGAAAAATTGCCTGATGTATGTGACTGAATAGCAGTCTCTGATTTTGAAAACTCATGCACTTCAGTAGTGCTTTGTGTCTGCACAGTCATTATGGGCATTCCGTCGCAGCATTAGCTGTCTGAGAGCTGAGTATCTTAGCTGATCATTGGGCATCCATTTTGTCAGTGAAGTGTCTGATGCTTCCAGTGGAACGTTCATCTCACCTCTGTCAGGTGTCTATACGGCAAACCCATTCACAAAGAACAATTTTCAGAGGGCAATGAAGAAGGAATATAAGTACAAAACAAAACCAGCCCTTTGTTCCCACCCCCTCTCCCCCTTCTTGAAGTAAGGATCTTAAAGACTGATGGAAACAATGCTGAATAAAATAATTTCAGGCATATGGCTGTTAATTTCATTGCATTCCTTTGGCTCCTACTGCTGGTATCATTAAGTATTTGAATGGTACTTTGGCTCTTTAGAAGCAAGGAATTCAAAATAATTTTAGTATTAAATACAAGACCTGCTGTTTGCATGAGTGCAGTTTGGGTTGCCTTATTTACATGCTTACTTTTCAGGTGTGCAAGACTAATTTGTTCTGCAGCAAAATTAGATTAATGTGGAAATGTTAGTCTTTGTGTGCAGTTCCTCATTGAGAGTCAGCAATGCAGCCTAAGCTGTACAGAGGGAAACTCTTAGGAGGACAAAGCTGGGGTGCTAAAACTGAGTTTTGTCTTTCAAAACTTGAGTAAGAGTTAAGCATGCTTTAGGTAAATATGTCAAGCCACCTGCTGGAAATCATTTTGGCTTTGCAATGTTCCAAGTACTTGTTGGATCTGAAAATAAATACCATGTTGCAATTTGTAGCTTGTGGTACCATCAGTGATTCAGTTTCAAGCTAAAAGAAGGCTTGAAAATGGTGTCTCCTCTAGAAGACTGAAAACACTGTGGGAATTTGAGGCTGTAAGAATATTCTGTGGCTATGAAAAAAAATCCAGAATTTCAGTCAAAAACCATTTATCAAAAAATAAAATAGAATTTGCCTTAATTTTTAAGAGATCTTTTGGAAACTCTCAGAGGTAGTTTACTGATAGCTGCAGCATAAAAATAATTTAATAACACTTTATTCACTGCCAGTTGTCTATTTCCATAGTTCTCAAGAAGTTTGACATGCTTTTTTTTTTTTTTTCCACAAAAGTGACTGCATAATAGCAGCAGAATTCAGATAGTTTCTGAAGAACACTAAGTTTTTCAAGCAGTGGAATGTCTGACTTGTTATAAATACAAGAGAATACAGCAATATATGTGTTACCTCAGAGGTACAGTTCTTCAGACTTCTTGTAGAGTTTAACTGGAATTCTGTTTTGGTATTTTGTTTACTTGTATTAATTAGTACCTTGAGTCTCCCATTATGAAAACAGTCCCTCGTGCATACCTTCCAACTAACTTCAACATAGACAGGCAGTTTGTATTTTTAATTTATTTTTTGAAGCTGTATTACATTACAAATTCTGATTTTTCCCTTTGTTTTATCCTGGGCCTGATGTGGGAATAGTGCAGAGGGAGAATGACTTTTTTTAGCCTTCAGTATTTTGGTCTCCAGCGTGTCTGGCCACTTACCGAAGTAAATTATAGTGGGCAGTGTATATGTAACGATACAGCTGAGACTGGCTAATATACAGAATGCCATTGGAAACATTTTCTGTATCTATCTTTTTCTCTCTAAAAGAGCCTGAAAAGAAGAGGTATTAAAGCTTCTAATCCTAAAATAAAGCTATACCATAAACCAGTAGTAGATAGAAAATAGTGTCTAGTTTATCCTGTGACATCCATAGGTTAAAGTCGGCTCTTAATGTAGGATGTTGTGCTTTTTCTACAGTTGTAGTTTTGTTTATAGTGTTTTACTATTTGTTTGTTTGTAAGTACTGTATAGAGTTAGGATATCTAAATAAATTCAACCTTTGTGTGCACTTTACATAGTTTTGGTGCAAACCATTAAAAAACGTGTTGATGTATAGTGACTTGATTCACTACTTCTTGATTCCATTGGGAGTTTTGATATGGATTCCTGTGGATGCCAAGACACATGCCCTGATTCTGTGCATAGAAATACAGATAGTAACATTATGAATGTCATTGTTGTCTCTAGAGACACATTAAATCACTGGATGAAGACAGCATCTGCTTATAAACCATTGAAAAAGACCTGCTAACTTTGGCTGCTTAGAAAATACTTGTAGAGACCTACTCTTTACATTTTTCTGTTTGCACAAAGGAGTGAATAAACCTTATAAGCAGCTTTTAAAAATATTTCCACGTTCCTGTATGGGAATAATTTTTATTTTATAATTTCAAGACCGAAAGTTAATCACTAGTTTTTTATCCCAGAGCATATGTTTACAACAGAGATACTAAACAGTTGAAAATAGAGTGGCTTATAATGGAAGTGACAGCTCATCTTTAACTTTGGAAGGACAAGCAGTACCAGTTTAATTAAAGCTGTGTTAAAATAGGACTGCCATTTGTATCACAGTGGTTCTCTCTCCACGCCTCCAAAAGCCTTGCTGCCATTTTGTACCAGACATTCCTATCTTGTGCAAATTAATAGATCATTTTATTTCCCGCAGGAAATCTGAAGACTTTTATAGCAAAACCTCCAGTGTCAAAATGAACACAGGTATGCTGCATCTGTGAGATTTTTCTTTTATATGTTGTTTTGTGAGCAGAAAATCCCAAATTTATTCAAATTTTCATGAACAAATTGTATTTTAGTTGTGCTGTACTCAAATTAAGCAGGATATTTTAATAGTGTGCCTGCTTATGTGCATTTGTATTCCATATATAAAATTTACATACATGTTTTTCTATGTATGGATATATATGGATACGTGAAATATAAATGCATGTTTAGCCTTCTGTGCTTAAGTTAATATCAGTTTTGTGTCTTTATGTTTTATGTGAAAATACATAGTATAAGGACATAACATCTATGAAAAAATGGTGTTAAAGCATCACATTTTCCTAAGAAAATGCACATGCTTTAAAAATGCTTTATTTTCATTCTGTACTGTCACTTAATTAAGGGACATATAAACACTGCCCTTATTATTAGCTACACTTGTATATCAGGTGAGGATAACTATTTTGTACTTACAGAGGTTTGTATTTTCTCTCAAGTTGATGTGACAGATGTATTGACCAAATTAAGTACTCTATAGGAAGTTATCTTCATGATCTATGACAGCATACTAATATTTGCTCCTGAATTATTGAAGTCAATAGATAATGCTGCTGTTTGTGCTGAAAGTGGGAATAGGCCTCTTGAAAACAGACTGCTGAAATCCTGACCTCACTCATGTCAGGTGTAAATTTTCAGTTGCAGTCAGCTCTTTAGGGTCCATAGGTGAACTGTCTGGTTTGCAGATTAACTGTGATGCAAGGATAGACGTATCCATCCTTTCCAGACCAGTGGTTTTATCATTGACGATAGTGCTACACCATGACAGCTGACATGATAAGTGGGACTTGAGGACCTGAACTACTTTGAAGTCTGAATTTCAGCAGCATGCTCTAAATCACAGGGATTACCTTTTCCATGGTATAGGTTACCATTATACGGATCACTGAATTAATCAGGCTTCGTGGCTTCCTGTTGTCGCAGACAACTGGAACTCTGTAGGACCCTTTGTTTTAACAGATCTGTTAGTACGAAGTTAAAATGTATTGGCTTACTTGAAACCATGACATTTGTAAGTATAATAAGACAGAGAAAATAATTTTCTCAGTTGAGTTTGTGCATTTTTAACCCAAGGTTGTGGTTGTTCTTAATTATTTTTCAAATGCTAACCAGGGTGGTTAGAAATAGATGTAAGATTTAAATAATCTGTGGCTGAATGTCTTCTGTTGAGGATTGGGAGTCTTCTGATCACACAGGAGCCTTGAAAACAGACTTTAAAGACCTGAACACACCTGAAATCCTTTCCAGTTACTTAAGGATATCATGACTGTAAGCTGAACTTTAGTCTGCTCTGCACTTACACAGTGAAAATATTTTTCATTTTATGTATGCTTGATATTAATGTGCATGTTACCAGCTGCACTAAAAGAACATGTTGAGAAAAAATGTGGTATTTCCTCTCAGTTCTGTTGATGTAGATTGTTTCCTGACTGTAACAAAAAAAGAAAATAAAATAACCTATGAGTAGGTACAAAAGTGAACATCTTGCACCTATCTTTGCACCTATCTACAGCATCACTTTATTAAGGAAGAGAGTGACTCAGGTGGAAGCTGTTTTGCATGGTGTTCTGGTCTAGTTGTTTCTCTTTTTCTTTTTTTTTTCTTTTTACACTATGCTGTTTTTGAACATGAGTGCTACAGTTTTGGTGTGGTTTTTTTTTTTATTTCACTGCTTCATAACAGGAATTTGTGCGTGATGCAATTGGAGGTTATCAGATACTATTGATTTGCCACTAGTTTGTTTTAAAAATATGCATTTCATTAATGACTCCTGCAGATAAATGAGCACTCTGATGCCAGTAACTGGTGGAGTGGCAAAGCTAGTGTATATGCAGCTTTAAAAAGAAAAAGTAAATCTACTGCTTAGACTGGGTTCCTCTAATCCTGTGTTCCCTGTGGCTGCAGACTTGGCAGTCTGTCTCAGCAAACCCTGTGGAAGATATTTTTGTCTACAGAGAAAATGTTTTGAAGAGCTTTGGTTTTCAATACTCTACCATATATGGGAGGCATTTCTTACCATTTGATGTTAATTCTGTACCACATGTTAGGAAGGAATATTCAACAGCATAAGACAACGAAGCATTTTTGCAAAAGCAAAGAAATTAGAGGTAAGAAGAGGTTTTCAGAAGTATCAAAGGTACTTTGGGCTCATGCTTCCTTTTGGTGTTCAAATGCTGTCATAATTTAAAAATAGTAGTGTAGTAGAATGTGTACCTTTTTAAACCGAGACTAAGCAATCATCAACAGAATAGTATTTTAAACTATTCATAGGGGTTTTCTTCAGTAAATCTTCAGGTATTTTACAGGTTGATGAGCATCATTACTGTGGTAACTTGACTGACTAAATGACAGAAAACATGAGCCAGCCATGAAGCTCACATCTGATTAAAATGCAGGATAAATGTGCTTACTGTTCATTATACATATGTGCATGCATAGCTGACGTTGGGGAAGAGGTAATTGCAACAAAGTATAATAAATGGATACAAGTTAATAGGCTAAAATAGATTCTTACTGTCCATCTGTAAATATTTTGGCTGAATTTCACACAGATCATTCTTGATAAATGCATCTAATTTTAAAGGTATTAAACAAGATCACTGTTTGCATTAGATAAAGTACACAAAGAGCAGCCAAGAGTGAAAAGTATGCAATTCTGGAAGACTGCAAATATTTTCTGTTTGTTAAAATTATTAGTGGAAGTCATCACATGGACTAATCTCTTACATTTTGTCTGGGAGACAAGAACAGAATCTCTTGGATCCATGCAGAGTTCCTGAATAGATTGCAAAAGCACTTTTAGGTCGCTCAACCAAATTAGGTTGGCTTCAGTGTTCCAGGCATTCTACAAAACATTTAGTTTTTAGCAGCACCAGAGAACCAAATAATAGCAGGTTCACCTGTCAGTGTAGATCATACGATAAAAGTTTGTCCGCACACCCACAAAGGAGTTCAGAGAAACAGTGGCAGGAGGGGAAGCCCAAGTAATAGCCTGCCTTGCCAGGCTACTCCCAGGCCCCTCATAGGAGCCATCAAAGGCCTATTTCCACAAGCCTAGAGAAGCACAGGAACACAAGGGCAGGCAGGAACACAAATTAAGGAGACCCAGGGAAGAGAGGGCCTCCCTTGTCCAGGGCCCTCTCAGGGCTGTCCCAGGAGAGTCTGTGCCCTGTGGTCCAGGCATGGAATGAGTGGCAGACTCAGTGTCTGAGCCCCACTGCTGGAAGGATCCACCCTGTATATGTGTGCTATTCTCCCTAGTGGACCTTCATCCTGCTCAGCCAGAGAAGGGAGGGGGATGAGGCCATTGTGCCATCTGTGTTAGTGTGAGTGCTCGGAGCTGTGTGTCCAGCCATGTATGTATGTGGTGTATACATGTGTCTGCTGGGAGCACATCTCCAGTCTCCCTGCTGGTTGGACCTGGGGACACAGAGAGGCAGCGGCCTTGTCTATCTTGGACTTTTGGATTCAGTGCTATATATTTGCCTCAGGTCAAAATGCAAATAGGGAGTAAGAAGTGCTGGTCTAAAGACTTCTAAACTTGAATACACTGTGCAGAAAATGGGAAAGATGATACCATTTGCAAGTACAGTGAATAGAATAATAATCAGCAAACATTATGTTTGGATGCCATTTTTCTTTTCTTTGAGCTGTAAGAGCTTATTAAAAACTTCCTGCCCCAGCTCCTCTCTTTCACCTCTTCACACAAGATCACCATCCTTTCATTTTTGCCAACTTTGTTTATGCCACTGTTTTTACTGACTCTCTGAAACAGTCTTTTCAAGAAACCCACCACTTGTTCTTAAATGAAAGTGGTGTTGTTTTGAATTGGCTCCATCCTACTTTGGAGCAGGACCAACGAATAGACTATTTGTCAAATGGAGATACAGCTCATTTAGGGTGATGCTGTCTGTAGTGGGAGCAGTTGCTGGAATTATGAATTCAGGGGAAAATGTTTAAATGTGGAAAGAAGCAGAATTAAGGGAGAGAGAGAAAAAGAAGCTGGAATTGCATTTTAGGCAGCTGTTTTGATTGTGAGTTATTGCCCAACTTCATATTCTAGTATTGCTTGCAGACATTAGCTGGTTCAAGTCTCCTTTGCTTCTATATTAAAGAAGTACTTAGTAAGACAGGGCTCGTACCTGAACAATTTTTCAGGCTAGAAGAATTGTGAATATGTGTATACATATTTTCCCACATTTTTTTATATATGCATACATTTTATATAGATTGCCTCACCCTCATATTTTCCGTAAGTAACAGCTGTGCAGTATTAATTGCTTATAGTTTGCAAGTGAAATGAGCAGAACATCAGTCTCTCGTACTGTTTCTTAACACTCTGTACCCCAGACGTAGGGCTTTTTGGCGTTATTTGGACTTCAAGAATTTGGGTGAATATAGCTAGTATTTACTGGCAATTTGATGTACTGTGAAAAAGGAATACAGGCTTGAATAAGCCTCTTGAAGTTAAATGTGTAAGGCCATGCAGATAAGGGAAGCAGTTTGTAAACTGCTTCATTTGAGGCAGCATGCAGGTTCTTCTGATTCTTACTCTGATACAATGTCCTTGACTTAACAGGAGCCTGGCCTGAACAAAGATAGGAAGGTGAAGTCCATCATGCATAAAAATGTGCTTGGCCACACACATTCATATTCTATTAGAAATTTTGCACAACTCAATCTGGTATCAGTGTACGGTTATATCTAAATTGAGTACTAACTGGCTCTCATTCTTTTGTACAGCTACGGATAATTAATGGAGGTACAGACTTGCATATAGGCTTCTATATATGAATAAATATTGTATGCATCTATCTATATAGTAAGTTACAACATCTGTTTTATTTAACTTGTATGAAGCCACTTCAAACACTTTGCTAGATTATGGATCCAATCAGTATAAAACTCTGACTCATTTCAGTTACATTAAAAATTAAATTGAAGTAGAATTTCGTGAAGTTACCATAATTAAATATTCATTGTCAGCTTTCTTGTTGTGCTCCTTTCTTCCCACTTCAGTTTTTCTATCGTGAAATTCAGGAAGGTAGCTCTTGAAAAATTACAAAAAAGTATAACTTTGTTTTAATAAAAAATGTGACAGTATAACAGAATTGTTTGCTTGTTAGCTTGTATTAAATACAGTATGCTGTCAAAGTCTACCAATATTCAAGTTAGAACAGAACTTCAGTATCAACACATCATCAAATCTCCTTGGAATTACCTCTAGTATATGTAGATGGTAGGGGAAAGGGAATGCAAGAATGGAAACTGTGAATTTGATTACCATTGCCATTCTATATTTATGTAAGCAAACCAAAACAAATGGGCGAGATTTGATAGCCATTAACTGTTTCACTTGTACCAGGCTAGTAATTGATGGCAGGCAGTGTATTGTATTCAACTACTGCTGACTGAAATCATTTGGCCTTTTGCCTCAATCCTTGGAGTTGGCAATTGGTCTTTGATACTGCTTCTACCTGAGGCAGTGGCTCTGATGTTTGCCAATATTAACAACTACTTAATGTGTATCCTGCAGGACTGGTGGCCAGAGGGCTCTGCTATTTCAGGGGAATATTGGAATGAGCAAAGGAATGTCAGGAGCTTGCTTCTTTTGCAGATGTGGGTTAAAGATGGCTCTGTGGCTCACGTCATCATAGGAAATAGGTTGTAGGTCTTCTTTAAGCATAATTTAATAAACTTTCGTGTCATAGGTCACAGGAATAAAAAAGGCCTTTATAATACTTGTATTTCTTGATTACATACGGGGCCCTATATGAAATTTCAGTAATATCAAATATGAAAATTAAAATAATTATTATAGTGAAGAGCAAAAAAAATTCTTGTTAAAGGTAATATATAAATAGAGTAATATTTATTAACTTGCTTGTACAACTATGATAGAGTTGCTAAACTGCTAAGTTGTGGGAAAGGTGTCTTCTTATAATAACAGAGTATTTCTAAAATGCAATGACAGCTCCAGTGAGAGAGGAGCAGAGTAAGGAAAAAAAGACATGCAAGATCCAGAAGAAAGGGGTTTTTTTCATTCCTCAAACACAAGCTTAGTTTTTGAGTGATGTCTTCCTAATGCATACAATGAAATTATTTTGCAGTGCAGATTATTGATTAATATTACTCTGGAATGCTTAATCCTTTATCTTCATTACTTTGTTTTTACTAATTATCTGTAATTAAGCAGTCTTCAGGTAACAGAATGTGTATATTTCCCTAGTGGATTAAGTATTAAATATTACTTTCTTTGCTTATTTTCTGTGAGGTTTATTGTTGTTTAAAGCTTGTGAAATTTTATGTATTCTGCTAATCTGCCAAACTTGCAAATACACGCATTTCTGCAGCAGTTCCCTAACTGCATGCTTATTTTCATATACGTTTGGCATATCTCACACTGTGATTTGTTGCATGTGCTTGCTCCCTTTGTCTGGGGCTGCTGTCTGTATTGTTTTGTGCTTCCAGATAGCGGTGGGTGTGCTCGCAAACGTGCTGCAATGTCTGTCACATTAACAGCTGTGAAGAGAGTTCAGAGTTCTCCAAACCTATTGGCCTCAGGTATAACCACTAACCAGCGAGAGACTACTTCTAAATGGCTTTTTTTATAGTGTTATGTATTTCTGCCATGTTACTTTGAAAGGAGGAGAAGGGTAACCCTATTTTCTATTCCTCTGACAGATCTATTACTTCTACAATGCTCTTTAAAACTGGTCTTAATTTTCCTCTGTCAACGCTTAGTAGTCACTAATGAAAAAAAAATAGGAAGACTGAGAAAAAATCAGTTATTATAAATTAATTTTTCCCTTGATACGTATTTTGGGTCTCACGTCACTTGTTTTTTATTCAAGATAATATAGCATGAAAGAGAGGTTTTTTTTATTACAGACTTTTGATATTGAAATTTGATTTTAAAGCACTTCTCTAAGGAAAAGAATCTGAATGTTGTTGTAAAATGATTTTCAGAAGCCAGATTAACTTTTAAAGAATCATTTATCAAGCATGTTTTCCTAGAAATATTCAAAACAATAAAAATACAGAATATTCAGTAGACAGGCAGAACTGCTTCTTATCAATTCCCCTGTATGGTTTTGCAAAATTAATTTATTTCTAACACAAATTAGTATTGGATATTTCTTTTCCAGGGTCTGATTCTCAGTCTCCAGATTCAGGTAAATAAAACACTGTGTTATTTATGCATCAGTGCAATACCAGTTACAACAATCTTCTATTTATTTGATTTCATTACTCCATACTTCCTCATTCTTTAAGGAAAGCGCTGCTGAAACTGTAATCATAATTGCTAGTGGTTAAGACTTCAAATTCAGGTCTCATTTGAAAGCAGTTATTTCCTATAACACAGAATATGTTGTCAGGAAAATGAATCGTGTGGGAGAAAACAGCCTGCTAATTTGCCACCTTTAGCTTTATCACTGTGACACCATTCAGTGGTACTTGCTATTTCCTTTTTAGTGTCTTACTCAGGATTGCAAGTTCTGCCCACCTCATTTAGCAGCCTGCTCACATAATGTGTTAATCTTCCCAGCTTCTTACAGTATTTTGTCTTCAGCATCTCCCTCTATGTTTGGATGACGTCTTGAGGGCATCGCAGGTCTGAGAATAGAGAAAAAAACCTGGTTGGTTGGTTGGTTGATTGGCTGGAAAATTGAGGTGTCATTTGGATTTTGCAATAAGATACATTAGTGGAACAACTAATTGGGTATTGTGGTGAAATTTTGTGAAAATGCCATGACCAACTAAGTTTATATGAGCTGGGATATTTTTCAAAATCCAACACAGCTGTGAAGTTTGAGAACCTAGTCTGTGAAAGTATTTCAGCCTGCTTTGTACAGGGGCTGAAGCACCAGCATCCCAAAAGGACTCCCAAGGTTAAAATCTATAGTCCTATGAAAGTTGTGGGGAGCTCTCAAACTGCCATTACCCGCAGAATTTTCAGTTCTTGAATTTTCTAAATTTTAAAGACCAATATTTTGTAGAGTGGTAGCTTTTCTGTGTTCTTTTAACTTCCATGGTAATAACAGCAGCCGTGTCAATTGTGTAGTAGCTAAAGTTTTCCAGTTTGTTTAGTAGCTGAGTTGCTGTGTTGAGAGCAATATAGACATCTACTAATCACACACCAAAAAAATGGTTTGATTCTTTTTTTCTTTACAAAAGCTTGGAGATCTTACAATAATGGAAGTAGAGAGACACTGAATGGAGACGCTAGCAGTTCATCTCTTTCAGCAAAAGGTTTTAGGAGTGTGCGGCCAAATCTACAGGATAAAAAATCACCAACTCAGGTAAAACTGAACACACTGAGTTTCATGCTATGCCATTTGTGTGTGGGTTTTTCTGGGGGGACAGCAAATATAGATGGGATACCTCTATGGAACATTGTCCTGAAGCCTTCCAGATATGGGTCATTACAGACTAGTTTACTGCATAAATAAAGCATTCTCCACACAGGCTGTATGCCTCTAGGTTAATTACCAGAAATTGCTTTCAATGAGCAAGACAAACATCTAAATAAAAGTAGGTCATACACAAGTAAAAGCTTTCTAGGAGTATTCCCAGACTTCAAAGAGTATTTATTAATAGTTTACACTTGGAAAAATGCACCAGTCGCCAAAATATCTGAGAATAAGGGTTTATTAATTATAAGGTAGAAAATGCTTCTGCCTGTTTTGCAGAACGATGTAATTGGAGCATGCTTAAGTGAAAACCAGACTTGGAAACATATTTATCTGTCAAAAAAATATCAACTTACCAATTTTAATATTGTCTCTGTTACTACTTTAATTGAAAGGTTTAAGAGGCTCGGTGTGTTTTATATATGTGTCTTACCTGTGAATAATAGCTTGCAATTTAATATCATGGAGTACTTACCTACCTGAACAATTTCACAGTAATAACTCTTATGCAGTGTAATGATTTTTTAAAAGAAAATAGATGATTGTGGGCTCCCTTCTGATCCCAGTTTACCCTGAACAAATGGAACATCTGGCTTTCTAAACAGAAGCTGTACAGCACTGCACAGGAAAAGGTGGTGGGAATCTGACCATTTTATTGTCCATTGAATTGAGCAATGTTGAGATGAAGGCCCATAAGTTCCCAATTCCTTTATTTAAAGATAAAAGTCAAACTGCGTTGTATCTCCTGCTAACATTTACTTTCTTTCTGTTTCTTCTTCAATGTTATTTTGCTGTGTGTGGATGCTTTTGGCAACTAAGGCACCTCTGCCACCCCCTAGAAAAGCAAGAGTAACTAATCACAAGAATGAAATTAATCTCCAGGCAGTAACAGCTGGTCCAGCTAAATACCATCCCACAGATACTGCCTATTACACTAATGAGAAGTCTGTTCAGGAGACAATGTCATTTCAGATATCTAACACAAGTGTGTCCTATGCACAAAAAATCATTAAACCACTGACCTCAAACTCCAGTGCAGGCACAAACACAGTAGCTGGTATAAGTACTACTCTCCATCAAGGCCAGAGGCAACAGTCTCAAAAACGTAAGGTATCTACCCTGAAATTAACCCGGACACGTGACCCAGCAAGTAGCATTCATTGTAATTCACAGCAACAGCTCGAGCCTGTTGAAGAGCCAGTATTTCCACAAAGGCCTGTCTCACCTGCCTGTAACCCCATGCCTGAGATACACACAGCATCTCTTTCCATTCAGATAGCTTCCTCCCCTGACAATAAAGCAGAGCCTGAAATCCAAGAACATCCACCTAGTATTTCTCCAGACACTTCAAAGATGTCTTCAAAGGATTTGGGACAAAAGTCTACAGTTCTTCCTTCTTCACAGGCTGCAGAATGCCATGTGGTATATTTAATTTTTCCATCTTTTATTTTAGATCTTCGTGAATCACTTAATAACCATCTGTTTAGTTATACTTATATTATCAAAGTTAGATCTTATGTTTTCTGGGTAAAACTACCTGTCACATGGATCCAAACAGAAATGAACAAAACCTGAAGTTTTTGGAAGATTATTTTTAAAGGATTAATTATCTAGCTGAGCTGGGTGGCAGACTTTGTTCCTCTGTGAGTACTTTATGGAGGTCAAATGCACTATAGGAAATGAGTGCACTGTAGACAATGCATCTGCTTAAATGGCTCTTCCTAGAGAGGGTCTCATTAGAGCATTATGCTGCCATAGATGCTGGAAGGATCGAGTATGGATAGAAAAGGGTTAGGTTGGTTGTGGGGTGGAGTTCTACAAGTGCAGTTCTGCCAGTTTGCTAGGCCCACAAAAAATAAATTGTGTCAGTGGGTGCTTTCTGCAAGGCTAGGCACTGCCATGTGTCCTGTGCAGTTGTGCTCTTAAAAGAAAATGGGCTGATAAAATCTTTTTGTCAACCACCTCCATATGAAACATCACAGGGCACTGAACTTTTAAGTCCCTCTGTTTCCCCTTATGCCTACTGAGATGAAAAATCTTTGTTAGCTGTACTGACCTCATATAGGAGAAATGGGAGCATCAGGCACACAGCATAGGACCAGAGGAGTCTGAGCAGTGTTTATCACCATTCGGAAAGTCACTGAGTCAAATAAAATAAGCCTGGGACCAATAAAACAACAGTGAATACATACTAGTCAAAAGGAGAGCTCTGAATAAAATTTGTCATTTCTACTTTGCTTTACTTAGTCACGTTAAGATTTTGCTATTTAAAAAGTTAATTATTCTAGTATATCTACTAATATACCAGCTTATCTATGTTGGAAAGCCTTTAGCTGGAGGTAGAGATTGCTGTAGATCTAAGCATATGTGCCTCAAAGCTTTATTGAGTGAGGATCCCGTCATGGCATATTTGTGTTCATCTAGTTCTGCTGGAAGCAGTGAGGCTACTCTGAATTAAATATGGCACTGTTTTGCAATCTGAAAAGTCCATTGACAGCCCTGTTCTCAACAGTAGTAACACATCTGCTTTCCCAGACTGTTGTTCTTTCAGAGCATCACATTCGACCAGGTCTCTATTCTAGAAGCCTCAAGTATCTGCATTAGCAACAAGATAGTTTTAAAGTTGTAATATATCTGTCTTCCCCTTCAAGTCCCAAGTAAAAATTTTGATCAGAACAAAGCTCTGTGAAAATATATGGCAGCAGTCTGCAATACTCCTTTTGAATTGACTCCATTAAAAAGTGGGAGCACAGAAGGATTAATCACATTTGTCTTTTTCAAGACTAGACACAAAACTATCATTTTAAACCCTTCTTTTAGGCTGCATAAAATTTAGAACATTTTGAGAAAAACAAGTTGCTTTACCCTTTAGAAGAACCAGTGTGCTACTCAGTGATTTTTGTCGGGTAGAACAAGTCAGTTCAAGCAAGAGCCACAGTAAAGAAATCATGTCAGAAACAGTAAAGAAAGCAGAGCAACAGCTTTTTCTAGTAGATAGGAAGATTATAAAGGACAGGCTTGCAAGTCTTTTAAATATGGGCATCAGGGGATACTGACAGACAGTAGAACAGGTGTAGGTGTGTAGGTGGGGTCAATGCAACTTCTATGTCTGTTATGTCCTCATTTAAAAATAGTTTTTCAGTCTGTCAGAATATGATGCATTATAAATGCTCAGATAAATCAAGTTATCTCTCAAACAGAAAGTAGTTGTATGACAGCTAACAAGGATTAGGGGAAATACTTTTTATAAACAAGAGTAATTTCAAATATTCAAAGTCTAATCAGAAGGACTAAAAATTTATCTTCTATATACTTTTATTTAGGATTTTAAAAGTCAAAACATATTTTGCAGTTTCTTTTTAATTTAGAATCTGGTATGAGCTGAAAAAAATCAGAGAAGTAGCTGTGGCTTGTTTGGCAATTCTGCACTTATTTTTCTGCCTTCTTGGTTTCATTGTGTGAGAGGAACTATCAGAAATTTGGCAACTGGGTTGCTTTGAATAAAATGATAAAAAATTCAGTTATCACAAAGATCATTAAGGAATGTAGCCAACTTTTCAAGCTGTATCCCTTTATTGGTCTCTTGTCTGCAAAATTCAGCTGACATCCTCCATGATGTTCAACTTTGGAATAAATTCTAACAAAGACATATATTTGGCATCACAGTTGAGTCATGGAGCCAGTAGGTTTTGCTGACTGTGTTAAAATACCTATCTAAAACTAGAGTACAAATCAGCATATGAGGTGTGTAAAATTTTGCATCAGGGGAGGTTCCAAAATGAAGATGCTGTGAGCTAAAGTTAGAAATAAAGGCTGAAGCTGTATGTGTAAAAATGTTTCTTTTCTGACTCAAATCTTGGTTTGAAACCTTGAAAGTATTCTAACTAATGCCAAAAATTATGATTCCCTTTAGTGCTGTATATCATGGTATATCATATATATATATATCATGATATCAATTCACAATTTTTCCTCACATAGAAAACTTTCAGTATGCTATGCATGATAGTACTTTCATTTTTAAGATCGTTTTAGATTTGCAAGCTCTGCAGGACTTCGTACATGCTTTAAAATACTTTTGTACTTGCAGATCATATGTTTTATATATCCTCGAGGGATGCTCTCGAGTGTAAATTAGGCCTACCAGCAACGTTCAAAGCTGTCACAGAAACTTTCAAAAAACAAGTACACTCAGAAAGTTGCATTTCTCCTTCTGCATCTGGGTTTATGTATGTGGAGGAGAATGAGGCAAGATCAGCTAATCATCACTTCTTAAGAGATGGCAAATGAGAAATACTGTTCATCTGTGGATATCTGTGTGTAGTGAACATACACGTTTCTGTTATGTTACAAAGTTTGGAAATATACAGTCAAAAGAGAGCTTATATGGTCCAAGTCAATGTATCTTGTGCTCCTATTTGCACTTCATTTCAGAGCTTATCTGTTGAAACTTTAGGAGCAAGCAGAAGTGTGGTATGACTCACTGAATGACATTTTATAAACACTCCTACTCAGAGAAAGGTTAAACCCCTTAAAAGTATATATCAAAATAGAAGCATTCAAGTTACTCAATAATAGGGGTTTTTTTACATTATTACAGTCTCAAGAGATGCTGCTGCTTTGTACTGTACTGCAGATACAGGAGAAATAAGCAAATCTGTTTTAACAGAGAAATTAGTGTTTGTTAGTATGAGATGATCTCCATTCTTTCTTACAAGAAGTTTTAAACTAATGAAGAATTCTGAGCTGCATCTTCAGAAATAATCACTTGATATTTTTATGTTTATTTTGTTCCTGGGTTCCTAAGTTGCCTGTTGTTCTAAATACTGCTCTCTGAAATTGAGGATGCAAAACATTTGTCCTGTTATTTGAATTCCTCAGATGAGTGAACACTTGTTTTAGTCCTGATGTCCTGGAGGAATAAAAACTACTATAGCAGTGTTTCTTTTCCTAGCCTTATAGCTGTAGAAAAGTAGATCAAGGAAAATAAGCCTGGAATAAAAAAAATTCTGAATCACTTTATTTAGTACATTACTTTTTATTAGGTATTGACAATACATAGAGTGATATAGAGGATAGAGAAGACAGGTTTCAATATTGGGGACAGATGTGAAGTAAAGAAAATCAAGCACATAATTTTCATTTTAAGCTCTGCATCAGTATTCTGGTTTTAATCAAGGACTGAACTCCACCTCCATATAGTGAGTTTTGAATAAGAGGGCTAGGTATAAAAATGGGCATAGAAATAGAAATTGCAGTGTCAGTTTGGAGATTTGACATCAGCTTTTAACAATTAAAAATAGAGGTATTTTTACCCATTTGTGCAGATGTATGGGTGTAATTTGATTGTTGACTACTAAACTCTGCTATGTATTAACAAAATGGGTTTATTCACTTATCTCTGAGTCTCCTTATCTGTGTCTTGACTGTTGAAGCAAGGCCAGTACTTTGGTGTCATTAGTATTCTCATACCACTCTCCACAGATCTTGCATTAAAACGATAGATGACTGGTTTTGAAACCCATATTAGGGTCACCTGTCTACTTCATGTGAATTGGGTAGCAACTGTGTTCTTCAGGCCTAACATTTTACTATTTGAAGGAAGGGAAGCATTGCTAAGGACCATCAGAAAGCTGCACTTGAGGCCTTCAATTTACTTCAAGACTGATGGCATTAGTCTGTTTCTCAAGTGTCACTTCACAACCCAAGATAGTTACATAATCTAACTAGTTTTTCATCAATCTCATTAAATCCTTGTCTGGCATTTAATCTGTGTGACTGCTGCTAGCATTTCTTGTGCTATATCAATAACAAACCTAATCTGAAGCTTGCTGAATGGAACCAGTATTAAAAGTTTTCTGAAATGCATTCAGCCTTGTCCTTCTCATATTTTTTCACTGTGATATATATGAGATTTCATTCACAGTGAAAAATATGGATTAGTAGTAGCCAGTTACAATTTACCAAGACTGCATATTTTTTAAATGGTGTAAATCAGGTTTCAAAAACAATGCTGTTTTAAACAACAATTTAAACCACTTTTTTCCCAGAGTAATGGTTATACCTACAACAGAATTCTATAACCAGGCCGAGTAGAAGTTTTACTCTACAGAGCTGAGAAGCTTCATGTTGGAAATTAGTACCTAGAATTTCTGCATTCCTTCTACCCATATTGTAAGAATAATAACTTTATATTAAAGAATTTGGCTTGATGAAATCAGCTATTATTTGCCAAACACAGTGAATTAAATTCTTTAAAAACTCAATTTCACTAGCTCTCTGGATGCACCCTGAATATCTGTTCTTGTGTTGTCCATCCCTTCTTTTCTCAAGCATGCAAGCAATCTTCTCAGTTCAAAGCCAGAAGGTTTACTAGATTTCTCAACTCTTCAAAAATTCCTGTTATTTTAACAATATGAGATGAATTCACGTATTTTGGCTCAGTCATATATAACTTTTCTTCTGGGAGTGCTGAGAGGATATCCTGTCTCAGGAACTTCAAAGCTTCTTATTGACTCTGACTCATAATTGCAGCGTGATCTCCTGGTTTGTGTATTTTGCTGGAGATCTTGAATTATTACATAGATTTTGAAATTCATCATGAATATGATTCTGCCTTCCCTTTAGGTACCTGTGAAGTGAAATTACTGTCTCTTATATGTGTATGTAAATGCACACATCTGAAACTCCTGATATATTATGCTGTCTAACCATCTTAATTTCTCATTAAATTAATTTTAATAGTATTCCATTGTTCTTTTGATGTCTCCATTGGTAAATTAGATCTCTCTAAAAATTCTGTGCCCTTTTATAATCTATACACTCAATTATTCATATTTTTGATTAAGAATTAATCTGTTCAGATTTCCTCTATGAAAAGATCAAGTTTGAAGCGGTTTGTTCAACTGTAGATTTGAAATATTGCTGTGAATAAGATTTGGATTTTAAGCTGTTTGACTAAGTTTCTTCACTGTTTTAACTGCTGATTTTAACAGCAGCTTTTGGCTATTTTTGTGTACCCTAGAGATCCACTAATGCCAAAGATTTCTTTTGAATCAATTGGAACAAGTGATGGATATCTGTTCACATACTTAAGATTCTTTTCTGAAATGCTTATTCATAGGGATGGTCCCACTGACCTCATCAAGGTTATTTGTGTAAATTCTAGTTGATCTCAGCAAGAATTATGCAACTGGACCCCCAGTGACCTCTCATAAGTAGCATAATCTGGGTCGTGTTCCAAGTCTTCCATAAGGGCTTTAGAAGATATTTTCAGATTTTGGATTAAAATACCAAAATGGCATTTTAATCTGATGGTTTGAAACATTTTTTGAATGATTAAAGACATCTGCCTAGTCTAAGCATAGGAAATAACTATATTACTGGTAACAATGTGATATCTATGACTAAATGTTGCTTTTCAAGTAGTAATTACTACACATGGTATCTTATTGTCCTCTATTTTACATAAATTTAAATTCCCAAACACTCTTTCGCAGCAGCTATTCCAGACTTCCTCAGCCCTATCAAAAGTGAAACCATTAGTGCTGAAGTAGGCAGTATTTTGACATAATTCAGGAATTGATTGAAAGCTTGTAGTTAATAGGCAGTATAGAAGGATTTGTGCAGCTGTTTAACAAATATTAGATGCCAACATGCTTTTCATGTATCTTTAATTCAAAAAAGAGTTGCAGATGCAAAAACCCAGTTGCAGGGCTAGTTTAAACTCAGTGCGCTGTGGCTCATTTGAAATAACAGAAGAGAAAACTCACACGTTGTGTGGCAGCTCTCAGAAGCACTCATGAGGCTGTTCCCTTACATTTTTAAGGAACTATGCTGAATCCAAACAACTAGCGTGTTTTGTGCCAGTATGAAGTCATCCCTGTCCTTCTGCTCCCAGTCTTTGTTGTTTCTCAGATTTATACCAGTTACCCTAACAATCCTTGTGTCCTCTTATGTTGAAAAGTCTCCTATGCATACACCCTATAGAGTAGGTTGACAGGGTGCTTCCAGGGCGCTTGGAAATTCTAAAATCATCCAAATATTTTTATTAGAGAGGCAGTGGAGAAGATGTATTCAGTCACAAGAGGAAAAAAATTCCACCACCTATTGCTTTCAGATCATAGGAACATTCATTAGTAGTGTTTCTTTTAGCTTGCAGTCCTGCTTATCTTTATATTATGGTTAATTTCAAAATAATACCTGTCTTAGACAAAAAAAACCCAACAGAGTAACATTTATGGAAATCAGACTTCCAGATACATTTTTCCTTTTGAAAACAAAATGGACGTGACATTCTCTAGCCTCATATTTATGTGAAGTATAAAATAGTGTGAACCTTTTCTATACACAATGGAGATCATTAATATTTGCAGTACATTATGATTATTCATACTCAGCACACTATGGTTTCTGGCATTGCTTCCACTATTATCTTATGCATTCATTTCTTTTATGTTTTCCTAATCTAATATAGAGCGTGGTTGATTTATTTCCTAATCCATGTGAATGTGAACTTCCTCGGGTGGCTGAAAAACTTACACTTTTGTAATTCTCCTACACCCAGCAAGAGCCAAAGGGAAAAGGTTTTTGTTCATTTAGTAATCTGTTTCTTTTCTTATTTTTTTTTCCTCGAATCTCAGCTTGGAAACCAGAAAGTAACTGCCCCCGTGATGGAGGTAAATGCTTCACAGACACACAGACAAACAGCAACAGAAGCTTCTCCACTGCCTCTTCCTTCTCCTGTGGTACCAGTTAACAGAGCCTCTTTCTCACCAGACAGTAGCACCCATCTAGTACCATGTTCTTTGCCAACGCTTGATGATTTTTTGCCTTCACATTTTTATAAAACCCCAGCCCTTTCACAATTTTCGTATAAATGCCCATACCTAGCTTCTGAAAGTATTATCCACAGGAATGAAACAGCCTCTGTAAGCACAGATTCTGCCATGAGTGAGTGCTCCTCCCGCACAGTGAGTGAGTCCTCCACAGCCATTCTAGATGAGCTGCAGACTTGTAGCTATGATACTACTGACTGCTCTGAAACACCTTCCCCAACCTTGAGCCAGATGTCTGCTGTGTCAGATGGCACCACCTTAACCAACACTGCTGCCACTTCTCATGTAATTATGCTTCCTTTTTTCCTCATCCATTTTGTTCAAACAGGTTGTCAAAGGGGAACAAAATTCGAACTTGTCTGTTATCCTGTTACACATACAAGTATTTTGTTAGTAGTTTTCCATGTATGCAGTCTGACAGTGTTTTGCAACAGTTGTTTAAAAAAAATTATTGGCATATCAGATTTGGTAGTAGGAAATTATATTAAGTTGTCACACACTTGTGTGGTCAGCTAAGGTGTATCAAGCACATTGCTTAAAGTAAAAGAAGATAAGTTCAATAAATATCTGTTCCAAATGCATCAAAAGCAAGCAAGTACAGTTTGAAGAGATTTATTTAAAATACTGTTAGCAATATACTGACTTGCATATTTGTATATGTTTGTAGCCTTTGGGCTACCACCATTTTTGGTTTATACTGAGATACAGATATCAGTAATGTAATTTGTAAATTCACAGTAAATGTTGGCAACATTTAATGCAGTTTTTTCCCCAGCTGTGACCACTGATTGCATGAAACTGATTTTCTCTCCCCTAACTAACCTTTTATTCTCCTAAGCACATTTTCTTATAGGACTGAACTTCATAAATAGTCTTGTATTACCCAGTTGTCCTCTTCTCTTTGTTAAGTCAAGGAGAAAAACCAGTATGCAGTTAAACACTTCATGTACATTCCCTTTTCTGTATCTCGGTACACTCTTATATGTGTAGAAAGAAGATATGGAATTTGGGTCAAATCCAGATCACTTCTGATTTCTTTTGAGATTATCCACATGATTAAAATGAGTCAGAACAAAGCCTTCATTTAAATTGAGCAATTTGTTGCTGAATTGCAAAACAGAGAGATGTTCTGAATCCAAAGTTTTATTGGGTCACACCAGTCTTCAAACTTTGTACAAATGCTTCAGCATACTGTAATTTTCAAGTCTGAAAAGAACAAACAGTGCATATATTTTTAAAGCTTCATATTTATTTTACAAAAAGTATTTTGAGCCCAACCTTTCACGTAGTCACCTGGAAAGTCAATGATCTGTTGTCAGTGCTCTGGATGCTGCTAAAAAAGTAATATTAATAGGAGACATGTAAAAACTGTAATTCCCAACTCTTGTAATACAGCTCTGAAACCATTTTATTTTTTTTAGAATCAGTATACAACCCAGTAGTTGTAACCAAAGATACCATTATTAGTACAGACTGGTCAGACACAGTCACTGCATGACCATTTACGAGCTATGGGAAGCATGGAACATTTATATTTTCTTCTAGCCTACTTCTAAAATAACTACCTCTATTTGTTTTCTTTGAGCACCATTTTTTGCAAGCTAAAGCAAATGCTTGGTCCTTCTTTCCTTTTTTGTGTAGTCTCCCTGTAGAAGGTTATTTAATAATCAGATCTGACTACCACTTTGTCTTGTAGACATGGCAGGGATGAGCATAACAGTTGTTCACCACTGATAAACTGAAAGGATGAATCTCCCACCAAATCCACAAAAAGCCCTACGTCCGAAGAGCCCCACAGAAATTAAACTGCTGGCAAGACCCAACTCTGCAGTATAGAAAGTCTTCATCTCCCACCCTCTGTAGAGGAGGGCCAGATGGCTATAAATGCATTCATGAAATGACAAAATGGTGGGGAAGCTGGTAGCACACACATATATGTTGCTAGTGGCTCTGCTCCTGTAATGATCTTCATTCTCAAAGGAGATTGTTGTTGATTTTTTAGATGAAAACCACTGAGAGAATGATAAAAGTAATATAGGATTGGACCATCCAGCACTGTACCCACTTTCAAAGACTTTTCTGTCCACACTGGGGATGTTTCTTTACTGTTGAGTTTCTTAATGAGAGCTTAGGCAAAAAAGTTTTAAACCAACTCTTCTAAGAAGAAGCAGCAGTATCAGGAAGAGCTGAATCAGCAAAATTGCAAAATATTCCAAGCAAAAGGCAGAGCCAAACATAAATCTGTGGTTAATTTGCAATACCTTTAGTCACAGATCACAGATTCTTTGAAAACCTGAAGTATGAGAATTGTGATTCTTATTTGGACTTGTGCTTAGAATTGGAGTTAAAACGAGAGAACAGCTGGTTTTGGAAACTATTTTTTCTGATTCTATTCCAGTTACAGACGTTTTCCCTGTACTTTTCATGGGTTCTTTTTGTTTATGTAGTTTGAAATTATGGAATCTAATGGAAACTTGTACACATTAGATTTTTACCTCTTCCAAAGTTCTGCAACTGTTTTGATGTTCAAGAATTGATCCTGAAGATTTTAGCCTAATTCAGTGTCTTGAAGTCAGTGGTGTGCTGTGTAGCATTCTTGCACAGAACTGCTCAGACATCCGTAATGGGACCTCTTTCTCCTCGTTACCTGTCTCAACAGAGGGAAAGTTAGAAAGCAGATCCAGTCCCAGATGGATGCTTTTCTCTGTTCTAATTCAGAAATCCAGAGAGCTGCTCTTTCTAATGCTCAGGCAACCTACAGAAATTTTAAACCTGATACCTAAGAGGAATCTTTACAAGAGCTTGATTATCTAGCAGCAGAAGTAGGTGGCTCTCTACTAGCAGTGAAGGACAGGTTATGTATACTGGAGAAAAAAATTAATGGAGGTGCCTAGGGAAAGGAACATCATGAAACATTAGGATTATCTTCCCAGAAAGTTGGAAAATAGGTGCATTTTGGTGAAGTAGGTTTTTTTCTGTATTGTCTTATTTTCCCACAAAGTAGATTACCTAGGAAAGTAAAAGGTCTAATTCATGAATAGGCATCTTAAAGGATTTCACTTCCTTTCAAGATCTGGGAATAAGCTCTGTCACCTGGAACTAAAGCGTCACATTCTCAGACTGAAATGTCAGTAACTTCCAAATTATTCCAACAGAAGGAAAAGCCTTTGAAACTTTGCAGAACTATCTTTTGCAGCTAACCCTATCAACAGTGCAAGATGCATCAGATAAACAAATTGAATAGCCACCTTCACAGAAACTTTCCTCAGAGAGAAAGTCCTTAGGAACTAAGAAGTCATAGCTGAACTGAGATCCTCTCTAAAGCCTTTAGAAGCAAACCCAAAAATATTATATATGAACATGCCACATTTATGACTCTTGTCCGTCAACTGCTTTTATGGGTCCTGTTTTCGTAATGTTGTGTACTACTTAGTGAGCCTTACTATCTAACTGAGCTATTTGGTAAAGTCCTTCACAGGAATATCTCGAATTTTAATTACAGAAATTCATAGGAGTGATTTTCCAATCTATAAAGAACTTGCACTAGTTATGCTCAGAAAAACAAAAACCATAGTAAATGATTGAGAAGGCATAAGGCTCTGCACATAGTTGTTCCCTGCCTTTCCTAGAAACAAGCTTTCTCAAAAACACAATATATAGGAAAAGAAAATGGGTGAACCCCTGCAGCAGGGGAGAGATGACTGGCCTCATCTTGAAACCTGGTCTGAAAACATGCCTTCATACCTCTTGAAATGCTATGTTTGAGGTTATGTAGCTTTTCTAACAGCTTCAAGGGTTTTTTTTGAGGGGAGAATCGTGTGAGAAAAGACAACTTAGTTTACATTTTGGTTCTAGACTTCATTAAGAGAAGAAACATGTAAACACAAAAGTTTCAATGGAGACATCACCACAGCAGAAACTTTCCAGGTCACTTCTGAAAAAAGGCATCCTTAAAACCCCTGAATGTATCTAGGAGTTCACATGATGTCTGCATATGACCCAGAAATTGTTTTACTTTCTTTGCTATGGGAGGCCAAGATGTTAAAAATTTCAAATCAGTAATCTCCAAAATACAAATGTATACAAAAGGTCATGAACCATTTTATTTTCATATTTAAAAAAAAAATGCCTTTTGATACATTTTTTCCTTATACTTTGCTGCTTCAGATAGTCTCTTGTTTACATTTTCAGTTCTTTTGTTATATAAAATTGAGCAGAGTTTGGCTGCTGGCTGCTACATTGTTCTAAATTTATTCAGATTTAAATAAGAGTTCTACATTAACAGAGATGTTACAGAGAGCTTTCGTCCTTCTTCTGCTGAAATATTCACTACCCTCTTATTTCATTCAGTGCTTTCTCAATATCTCAGTTTTAATTCTTGCAATACTCCTCATAAAAGTGCTACAGACCAGATGCAGGGATTCTGAGGTACCTCTTGTGACTAAAGCCTAAATGGCTTTTGGTGCTTGCTGCTTTATTGCCAGTTTACTTAGCTTTCCCATTTTATGTATTTGATTTTGTTCTGTTGTTTTGTGGTTGTGGGTTGCTTCATTTTTTTATTGTTGTTGTTTATTTTTTTTGTGATAGGTTACATATCAGCATCCCATAGTCACTCCAGCTGACTTCCATTGTTTAAAGTAACTTTCACTCTTTTTAGCTAGTCCTAATGGGCCTTTTCCCTTCAGTCTACACAGAAGTTCCCATAAATATCAATAGTGCTTGAGCATGTGCATTAAGGATCACTGGCAGACAGCCTTTGTTCACACAAGAGGAACTTTTACTGCCATCTTCATTTTATATTGCTCTCAGACCTCTGCAAACTTTGTTTGTGCCATCTTCATTGCCCTGACTGTGATCTTTCTGTCACCTTCCTATGACAGCATGTGTCAGAGACAGCACATACAAGGAGAGGAGAGGGGTGGTACAAGGTATATAAGGAACACATTCTGCTCCCTTTGTGATAAGTTTTGTGTTTCAGTGAATGCAGATACCATTATGGCTATGTACCTGACAACTGGTAATTGTTGCGTGGACGACAGTCTTGCATCACTCTTTCTTTGGGATGGCAGTCAGAGGGCTTTGTGTGTAGTTTAATGGGTTATTATTTTGTCTCTCTCAGGCTCAGATCACAGTGAATGGGAATTCTGGCACTGCTGCCAGCCCAGTGAGTCACTTTCAAAGGCCTTTTTCCCCTTCTTCAGCTTACTCTCCACCAGCTTCGCTCAATTCCAACATTGTTATCATGCAGCATGGCAGGATGATGGGTAAGCCTCACACAGAATATTTGCTTTATACATTACACAGCATATTCCAATTCATGTGGCAAAGACTGCAAACAGTTGTGGAGTGCTTCACATCCATAATGAAGGTATTGTCTATTCATCTACCTTGGGAAATAAATGCAAAAAATAATAGCATTTATTGTTAGATACAGTAGTGATCCTGAACTGGAGTTGCTATTAGGTGTGTGAGTGTAACCTCTTGCCAACTTTCTGCTAGCTTTACTGAGAAAAGGGAATCTATCAAAATAGCTCAGCCTGTACAGCCCCTTCAGATTTTGCCTTAAGAAACCCAAGGACCAGCTTTGTACATTGGTCCTCCCCACAACTTCCATAATCTCCAGTAGAAATACTGCCAATAAAGGCGGGGCTCTGGGCTTTTGAATACCTAAAACCATGTCAATCTAAAATTTGTTTGTGTATTTTTTTAGGACATTGTTATTTTAAAAAAAGACTAAACAAAAAAAACCAAACCAAACATTATCAGCCTTAGAAAGGCTTAAAGGCTCTTTGCCAGTATAATCGAGTTTTGCCAGAAGAGTCATTTGCTTGCTGCTTTTTCTACCAGTGTTTTGCATATTCAGATAAGATTATACATGCAAAATAATTTGAATGTGATCCTAGAGGTTTTTTTTTTGTTGTGCTTGCAGGACAATTAGGTGACAGTTCTCACTCTGAAATTTACAGCTTAGACAAATGCTGCTATCATCATCATGATAAGTACAAAAACTGTATACGTGGATTTCTCCACATCCCAGAATTCTAGATTTTTTGACTGCTCCCAGTCTGACGATATAAGGCCTTATCAGTATGGTTGGATACACATGAAATGTGTATTTTCCCATAACTTTCACTCTTGCACGATGCTGAAGTTCAGTGTTGCACAGTAACAGCCTGATTTAATTCTCCTTACTCATGTAAAAATCCCCCTGATGGCCTCAGTTTGAGACCTATGAAGAATGAAGGATCAAATCCAAAATGTTTTCTAAATTTAACATCATGCTTTTTGGGAAAAAGTTCTGAATATCTAGACATTTGCCACACAGAGTTGCCCCTCGCCATATATGTGGAGCACTGGATTATTTACAGGATTTCAGACTTGAGTAAGTAGCTGAAACAGCCATGCCAAATCCAGCTCTGCAGTGGTAGTGAGCAGAAATACTGAATTTAAAATTAGAGCTTTCAGTCACCAGACCTCCTTTTGTTGATTCATATTACAATTAATTTATTTTTCTTTAGAATAATCAGTGGATGTTAATGTCACGTGAAAGGCAATTGTAGTTGTTACCACTGGTGTTAGAATGTATATTTTTACTCCGTGCATTCATTTATCCTGCAGTGGAAATGTCTCATTGTACCTGCTCTTGCAGAGTAGAGGCTTTGTCACAGCAGCCCACTAATTTACTGAAACCTGCTGCCTGAGGAGTAGGGCTCTTCTTGCTGTATACAGGAAAGAAGTGCATAATCTGCAGCAGTACAAATTTTCATGTCACATCCCAGCACTGAGGTGTTTTTTTGTCAAATAAATTACTCTGAATTTTAGAAGGACATGGTAATAGTGAGATATTAATTTCATTAATTATAAGGGTAGATATGAAGGAGAAGGGTAGAAATATTGCAAGTCACTACAAACCAGTAGCAGCCTGCACAGTTCACCTGAATCACTGTAGGTGGATCATCAGATTGCTCTACAGGTGCCAAGTTATTCAAGTCCATTTTTATGGATTATATGTAGAGGCACATAAACATATCAACATAAATTTATTTCTTACAAATATTCATACATCAAAACTTAATGTTTCTAAGCACATATCGCATAACTTCTTGTGCAGGGCTGTTTGATATACTTGCAGGGCAGCTATTTTCTATAGTTTGCTAAACGTGGGGGAGTGGAAGTTTTGAAATTATGTCACTAGTTTCCAAGGAAAGGTGCAAGAGTTTGATTTATAAGAGAAAGGCTGCTGCGCCTTTCTCAATAGATTCTGCTGCCTTTTGGGGGGGGGGGGTTTCTCTTTTTTGTGAGCAAGATGTTGTGAAAAAGTACTTCTAATCTAATAAGATCTGAGTTGAATAGCCTGTCTGGTCATTGTATAAATTTATAATTTTATTAATGGAATACTAAGTAGGGCAAAGCCCTAGTTAAGATGATATTTCTTTTAAAAATGTTGTATATGTATGTGATAAAGGTTGTCAGCCTTTGTACAGCATACTGAAATGGGGAAGTGTGTTTTAACTACCAAATATGATTATTGTGTCATCACATGATATTCTGTCATGTTATCTTTACAGAGTCCACAGAGACATACTCACAGCATGTTCAGAATGTTGGCAGCAGCACCACCACCAGTACAATACCAATCTGTAGAACCTCAGAAGAAGAAAAAAAAATCACAGTAATTAAAGCTCCACATTATGCAGGGATTGGCCCGGTAGATGAATCTGGAATCCCTACAGCAATTAGAACGGTAGGAAATTCTGGGAAATCTGTGTATGAACTCATACAATGAACTGATTGTTGGTAATGGGTTTTTCACATTCTTTCACTCTTATATAATGTGGAATACAGTGTGCGTAATCAGCGAGCTCATGAATATAATATTGTGTGTTGACAGAAAAGGAGAATGCTGATGGGAGCATAATTAGACAACCTCATGTTTCTAGTTTTAATTAGAAGTAGCCAAAATTTTGTGTCTTTCTTCTGTTTTAGTTCTTGCCTTTTGGAGATACATAATGATTGCATTTGTTTTGTTATTTCTAACATAAAGTTTATACATACTGTATATATGTATGTGTGTGTGTATGCAAGTATTCATATATTCATATGTGTGTGTGTGTGTGTATGTAAAAATATTATGCTTCTGCATTTCTTGGGCAGTGGTTCTTGTGTCATCAGGGTAGCACGGAAATGAACAGTTTTGTTCTGAAAGTAATCTGAGTAGCATTTTCGTGGGAGTGCAATAAATAATCATTGTACCCTTGAGTGGCACATAAACGAATAGCGTGGAAGCCCTTTCATTGTAACTAGCCCAATTTGATCATCTGCCGCTAGTCACTGCTTGAGTGGTCCCAGGATGTCAAACTGAAGAGTTTTGTTTTCACTATGCTGAAGCATTCTTTCCACTCTGCTGTCAGGGCAGCCTCTTCTGGCTGCTCCAGAGAGCACAGTGGCAGCTGCACTAGGTCTGTGAAGGAAGTGCTTACTGGCCTTCCCAGCCAGAGAGGAACTGCTGTACGGAGAAAGAGTAAGAAGAGTGGGAGCCAGGATGAAAGCAGCAGAGCCCTTGCAGGTGAAGTCTTTGTGAGGTGCAAGGATGTAGCAGCTGTTGGATATGTACTCTCTGCCAATACTGACATATGGGGCTGTGTTGTATTGCCAAGAACTGCTTCACTGGATTGAAAAATTAGGGGGAAAATCAGAAATTGATGGAGAAAAGCAATAGGAAAAAATCAGAATAAGTGGTAAGATCGGGACAATTTTTTTAAGAATGTGGGGGAAATTCTGGCATTTCTTGCTTTATTTTGGCGTAAAATGTAATAAGATCAGAATCTTTTAAAAATGAAGAAATTTCTTTGCAAAATGCTCTAGCTTCCTGCCCCCTTTTTAAGTAAATGGTCCCTATGATTTATAATGGATATAGTAATTGGTTTTGTACTTTTTAAATAGTAGATTTTTCTAAAAGAGTGGGTACTGATTATGTGAGATTATAACAGAAGTCCCCCTTAAGTGTGCCTAACCGAGTCAGCAATCTTCCAACCTATATTTAACTTTCAGGTTGTATGATCTGAGTCTCTCAGCTTTTCTCCTGAAAATATAATGCAATTTGAAGTACGTCATTTTTCCACTGGATTTGCTGGGTTTTGTTATGTTTCAGTTTTGAAATATCTTATAGCCTGTAATCTCAGTGTTACAGAAATAATTCTCACAGTGAGATATAAGTTAAAAGATTATGGTAGCATGTGTGTGTGTGTGTGTCTGATATGGCATTTTGTGTCCTTATTCTACTTCCTTAAGACTTAGCTGGTAGTAAAATTGTTTTCAAGATACTGATTTGAGATTACTTTTTAAATGTATCCAAGTGTATTTGACCCTGTGTACCCCAATCGTGCAAGAACAAACTTGGTATAGCTGTCAGCAAAAGACTCAAATATGCTGTGCCTTGCAAAATGCTAAAACTGCGTTTTCCATGAATAGGAGAAGGTAGGATAAATCACCCTCTCTTTCTCCAAGGTCAGTGAGTAATCCAAATAGGAATCTTCTCCCAGAAAGTTTAACCTCACTCCATCTGGAGAGAGAAATAAGTTTTCAAATTAGTTGAATTTATCATTTCATGCGGTTTAAAAGTTTCTTATTCTTCGATCCTTGCAAAAAATGGCAACAGTGTATCAAAAAAGGCAGTAAATGCAGATTCATGGTGATAGGTAACACACACACAGTGTGTTCCAAAATGCTATGCTGCTCAAAGTTAAACATGTAAATAAGAACTCAAGAGAATCTGTATTCCAGACTTTGATGGCTTTTCAGAAGCAGAGCAGTTTTTCAAGCTGTGGTTATCTCCTACAAGTCTGTTTCTACTCTCAGAACATAGTCTGTGACAGCTGTTTAGCCAAGGAAAACAGAGTGATCTCCTCTCCGAACCTCTCCGAACCTCCAAAGCTGCTGAGAGAGAAATGACTCCTATAAAGCTTTCCATTCTCTCAGAATGCTCATCCCATGTTAGCATGTTCCTTCTATACCACTTCAGCTCCTGCCAGGTCTGGGAAGTGCAAATCTGAAAATTCAGATCATTGTTAAGTTCTGCCGCTGTGCCAAGCCCTGCCCCAGAGAAGGTAAAATTAAAAATGAAGTCTTCAGAAAAGAGAGGGTAAGATGCTCTTCGCTCAGAAAAGCATTCAGTCAAATGACACCATGTTATGATCCAATTAATGAGAGATGCCTCTGCATGAATTAAGGTGCAAACAAGACCATGTGCTGATATCAATGTTACGGATTATATGTGACAGTAAATGTGAGGTAGAGAGATAGAAAGAAATAGAAAAGAGTGGGAGGGGGGAGGGAATAAGAGAGAGAAGAGAGAGAGAGATCAAGCACAGCAGAGTCACCACCCATGGATCCAGCAGCATCCCGTTGGTCCTTCTTCACCCTGGGCTTCTTGGTGGTGGAGGTCCCAGAGTTGTTCTTCTGGGGGTACCTCCTTTATACAGTCCAAGTTCCGGGTTATCCACAGGATGGTCACACATGCTATTCTCATAACTTGAGGTGATATGTGTATGAGCTGTTGCTTCCTTTCCCCCAGTTTGCCACAGTGGGAATTTTTCTCCTGATGGGTTAACTAGGATGTGCTAACCAGACCTCACCTCTGCCGGGCCTGGAATTAGCACTTCCTTTCTGTGTTTGTCTCAAGTTCCTACTGTGGTGTCTTATCTTATGGCAAGTTCCTTCTGTGGCCTTGGCAGTGTTTGAGACAGGCAACTGTGCTCTTTAGGACCTTACACACCACCAGAGTTTACTACCAACACGGTCCTAGGTTAAGGGAAAAACAGATTCAAGGAAAGCAGTAAGACTGTGCTGTTTTAGTTTATCCAAAATGATTGCTTTGTGGGTCCCTTCCAGCTCAACATATTCTGTCCTGTGATTCTGTGAACTGTCAAAATTAATCTGTAGACTGAAAAGGCCTCTATTTACTAAGAATGAAAAAAAAAATAATAAAGTCCTACCACGTTTCTTTTTTATACTTAGTGATGTAGTATTTCAGCTTGGGAAAAAGCCAAACCAAACCAAACCAAACAAAACCACCAAAGTTGCAGTGAAAGTCATAAATGCCTCCTTTAATTGCATATTTTCTGATGGATAATTACAATACCACAGTAATTACAGACTCTCCTAAGAACCAACTGCAGTTACTCCGTATCTCCTCTTCATGCTATTTGGCTGATTGTTTTTTCATATATGATGGTACCATGTTCCAATATTTAATTGCATCAGCTATAATGTATGCAAAGCAGGATGGCATCTGAATGGCTTGGTGCATTGTGAATACTGTTAATTTCTCAAACAATGCTGGTGTGTGGGATTAGTGAATATAAATTGAGAAAATGTACTTCAAAATTAATGTATTTCTTAAGTAATCCTATCTGCCTTATAATTTAAAGACAAATTATTGGCTGAGGCTTGAAACCCCAAGGAGAGGGATGGGAGGGAGATGATGAGAGAAAGAAATATTCAAATGTCCAGAAAGGTGCTGGGACACCTTCTTCTCTGGTCATGTGGGAGCTTCTCCATACCTGATCGCTATGTGGGAGCCTCTTGTATATTTGACAAGGATCCAACAAAGAGATATCGATGCACCTTTGTGACTTGACAAACAGTAGGGGCATAGTAGTAGTATTTATGCACTGTTTGCTATCTATTCACCTTCTGCTGATTGAAAGACTCTTCTTGGCCCAATACAATCAGAAAGGCAGTTGCAATGTCGTGGGACTATTTGTTGCAGGTTTCTGTTGCTGTGGGAAATGAGGAGTAGCATGGAGGTTGCACCCATCAGTGTGAATTCCTTCAGACCTCCTGGACTTCCTTGTAAACTTTTGAGTATATATGATCCTGGAGCACCAAACAGTATACTTGTTTCAAATCCAGCTAAATTACTCTTACCAGAGTTCCACTAGTATAGATGTTTAATACCTTTAGGGAAACAAGTTAAAATGGTCCAAATCCACTTCTGAATATCTTACTCTTGGCAGAACTCAGCAATATTGGTGAGGAAGGGACCTATCTTGAGACAAAGCTGTATCTCCTTCATCTCTATCTTGCAAGCAGGTCTATAAAAAGCATAATCCCGCTTAAATTTTTTTCTTACCCAGCAGATTTCCCAGTTCTTCAACTGACTGTCAGCTCTTGTTTTATACACTTCTAAAATGTTATTTAATAGCAATTTTATGAGAACTTATATTGAGTCCTCAAAATATGGGAGCATTTTTGCCTAGTCCCTTAATAGTAAGAGCTCACCACTGTTAACAAAACAGATGCATTATGTATAGTAGCTGTAACAAGTATTTAGGGTAAAAGTGTGATTTAGTAAAGATGACATGGAGCCAGGTGATCACTTTCAGATCTGTCCAGTATTCTGTAGGAAAGAATTTGTAGATTTTCACTTTTCAAGGTAAAGAGGAGTGGGCAAAGTGATTGCAGATTTAGTGTTAGCTGCTGCAAGATAATGCACTCTGAGAGGGGTCTTTTGAATTATCCCTGTGCACCATGAGGTTTGAAAATAATTTTGTATTTTTTGTTTGGTTGGCTTTGGGGGGGAGTTGAGGATTTTTGTTGCCCAGAGAAGCTGCGAATGCCCCATCCCTGAAGGTGTTCAAGGCCAGGCTGGATGGAGCTCTGACCAACCTGGTCTAGTGAATGGTGTCCCTGCCCATGGCAGGGGGGTTGGAACTAGATGACCTTTAAGGTCCTGTCCAACCCAAAGCATTCTCTGATTCTCTGCATTAAAGTACTTGCTTTTCTGGCTACTGAGAGACAAGTAAAATTTAAGGAGAAAAATACTGAAAACATATTTGCCTTTGAGTTAATTCTTTTCTGAAATATTATCATCCTACCTCAAAGAAAATGACTGCAAAACAGAAAATGCAGAAGGGTGAGAGATGAAAAGAAGCACAAGCAGATGTTGATATGAACAGAATTTGGGAATTTCGGAATTACTTAGTTTGCAAAAGTAAGGATAAGTATCATTTAATGAGTGATTATTGAAACAGAAAAATAAATAAAAAATAAGTTGTCTGGAAAGGGCATTTAAAACCGATAAAAGGACTACTCTTCGTTTACAATCCAAACATTAACTCTTAAATATAGTGTGATCTTAATTCTTTTTTCAGTAGCATTCCAGAGTCTTTCTGCATTATTTAACAATTAGATTTTGAAGGTGATTTAAGCTGAAAATTGCCAGGAGTTCAAAAGAAGCCCTTCTTACGTGCTTGTAATCATAATTGCTGAGGTGTTTTTATTTTCCTGTAAAGAATCTAGCATTCATCCTTGTCATATAGGGCACTAAGACTGTTGATGTTGATATTAATTCCTATGTTCCTAACCATTGTACCCTCCCAAGGTCAGAGTCCAAGACTGACTCGGTCTTCAGTGTCTTCCAGAATTTGTTACAGGAATTCCTAGATGAAAAGCATAAATACACCATTTGAAATACATAGTGTGAAAATTATTATAATAAACAGAGAACAAAATATAATAGACTTTCTGTCCAGAATAGCATTAAATGTCTGCTCATATCTGTACACACAGGTATTTTGATTTTGTTGTTAATTGTTAAAACTGTATTTTCTTTAGACAGTTGACAGGCCAAAGGATTGGTACAAGACAATGTTCAAGCAAATCCATATGGTTCATAAACCTGGTGAGTATGTTTTTGTTTTGTCTAGATGATTTTTCATTCATACTAAAATATGCATTTTTCTGCATTTTGATTGTCTGCTATGTGAAAATACAAGAGTTCACCAAGCGTCAGATAATGAATCAAATCTAATTCATAAATTCAGTGATAGTTTTTACTGTGGAGAGAGCTATTTTCCTCTGGTGTAGGCTGACAATTTCTAATGGGTTTATTTTATTCCTAGAACTAAATAAAATTAAAGTTATTAGGATAGGTATGCAACCAGCATGATTACCATCTCACTGGGGAGCTCAGTGAAGTGATCCTCATGTCCAGTTTTAGGGATGAGAAGTTGGCCAGTGTAAATCTCCTTTTGGAGAGCTCCAGTGCTAGAACAGCACAGGCTGGTTTGGGGATAAATTTTGGGCTTGAATTTAATTGTTTTCCTAGAATATCTTACTTGGTTTTGCTGAAATGGAACTTTGGTGACATTGGTATCTTTAAAGTTAATGTCCTTTATCATGGTTGTCACCAAGGATGTCAAGAAACTCTATAAATGCCAACTATGCTTATTACACCTCCAGAAGGAAGAAGACTTCGTTTGTCTGAGGCAGAATTAACATTCAGTATGGTTACACAGACTGTTAGTGGGAGAATAAGAAATGTAGGCAGGAAAATGTTGGCTTACAAGACCTATTTTGAACACTAGTCACATCGTAGATATTTGGGCTTGATTTTTGTGATAGGAACGACAATTAACAGTCTCTAGCAGAGGAAAGCTGACAAAACGAAGAAATTGAGCTTGGGGAAGGGAAAAGAACAAAAAAAAAATCTATAACTTGCAATTTGGTTTTAACTTAGTAAGTATGCAATGTGGGTAACATGACCAGAAGATGCCATTCTAGCAATAAGATGGTAAAAACAACCTATGGTAAGTATAATGGGGAGAGAGAGAGTCTTCCGAAAACACTTATGAGATGAGGAAAAGAAATACAGTGCTTCAGTGCCTCTGATCTTCTGTCTGTTTTTGCAAAAACAAAACTGCATTTCTGGGATAGACTGACGTGTGTGGCACTACTGTAATGTATGTATTTCTTTTTGTAGATGACGACGCAGACTTTTATAATACTGCATATGCATACGGTACTGGTAGGAATTATTCCCTGTTCAAAATTAGTCTTTTGTTAATGTCAGCAAGTAATGGGATAGATAACTCTTCATGCTTGCTTTTATAATGCTTATAGAAACACATTTTATTGTCTTGTTTGATCTCAGTTGTTCATGCCTTTTTCCCGCAAATGAAACAAGTTTAATTTTAGTTTAATTCTTACCACAGAAATTAATTGCAGCTGTGGGCCTCTCACTGCAGATGGAAAACACTGTAATACTGTAGTTTCTTGATTACATTGCATTTATTTTTCACTAGTGATTGTGAGTAACACAGCCTTTCCTTGTGAAAATGGAAAGGGAACTACTGTGTGAAAATGCAAATGCTAATTACTGACATGAAAGGATAAAAAGGACATAATGGAAACACCTTAAAAATATGCAGTAAGAATGCCTAATAAAACTGATTCTCTTTTATGATCTTGACCATTTTTGCTATTGGCACTGGCGTGAATGTTATTTAGCTTCAAGAAAAGACATTCATCTAAGATATAAAATCATTGTGTCTTTCAGAGGATTATAACCATATGGTAAAATTACTTACAAAAATAAACAAAAATGAAAGCATGAATAGACTATGTGCAAAAAATCCATAGTGCCTTCTGCAAAAATGCCATTCAGAATTTTTCCAGTTCGATTTTTGACATGCTCTCTGTAGTGCCTTTTTCCGTGCTGTTGAGAGCACTTGTTGTGAGTCAGTGGTTTGACATCTCTTTGTACTCTTGTGTTCCTCTTCAAGATATGCTATTGCCTCATTGTCCCAGACTAACTAATCATTAAAACAATGAAAAAAAGGTGTGTTTCCTGCCACTTCTCTTCCTGACAGGATGAGCCTGGGGCTTAATTACAGGCTGTCATTAACAGTTGTGGAGGATGGATATATACACCCATTAACTTCTCTTCCAGTCAAATTAATAATGAATTTATTTTAACTATACTGCACTTTGTCTGTGTGTTTGTAGTTTTATATAGAAATACGTACAGAGTTTTCTAATGGGCTACATAGTACACAACAATATACTTTTGAAGGTGCATTTACACATTTTGTAACCTTGCAGCTTTACTGAGTTACTGTGGGTTCTTATAACACATTCTGTGTTGCATTTTTTTAGAACACATTCTCATGCTATGACTGTTCTGGGTTTGTTTTATATTAGGTAGCTACAGTCCATCCTTCTCTGCTCAGGCACATCCAGCTGCAAAGACACAGACGTACAGACCCTTGTCTAAAAGCGCTTCTGACAGTAGCTCCGATGCCTTTAAGGTCTCGTCCCCTTTACCACCCCCACATGTGCCACCTCCAGTACCACCACATCGTCTGAGGCAAAGGTCTACACCAGAAAAGTAAGTTAGCATATTTTCAAAATGTGTTCTTGGTATGTATGGTATTCCAATTACAGAATGTAACAAAGGATAAAATAGCAGCTGTAGAATAATATGACTTCAAGAGCTTTATTCAAGGGACAGTCACGTGATGAGGCGTAATCTTCACCTGTAGTCTGGGCATCATGCATGGTGCTGTCATTTCTTCAGTGTGCTGAAGAAGTACTTATTCTTACAAGTGGTATGACCATGAGCATTTAACACTTTTGTTATTATTAGTGGGATTGTCTTGTTTGTTGTGTTTTAGTCTGTGCTCTAGCAGTTGTCTTCAATAGTTAGTTTCTGAGTAGGAGATGCCATTTAGTGTATCCAGCAGCGAAAACAAAGGATTGAAAAGATGATATAAATTGAAAGTCAAGGAAGAGCAAAACTGTAAAAGTGTAGCAGTCAACACACATTTCCCCACAGCTCAGAAGTATTTTATATCTGCATTTTTTTCAACCTCCATTTTGGTAGACCAAGATAGTGTAGACAGATTAAAAGTGTATTTCAGGCCTCTCATGGCTTTCCAGCTCCAAATGTGTTGCACAAAGCCAGATCCCTGTGGTTAGAGTCCAGTCTGGAAAAAGTTAATAATTAATAATTCAGGAAATAAGTGCTTATCCTTTTGATAAAACCGTGCAAGTGACCTGCACACAAACTCTGTAGATTTCAGCATATCTCTGGATACTAGCTCAAGCAAAAACCTTTTTCTTTAGTATTTACATTCATTAATACTGAATGTTAATACAACATTGTTATTATACATTTATGTGTGTATGTGCATGTGTGTGTATATATATATATATATATAAAATATATTAAAAGGGTCATTTTTTTTCTTTAATTTGTGCCTACAAGCCCACCTGTCTTGGTTACACTCAAGCAACAAAACAGAATTTGCCCATTTTTTTCAGCTCAAACATTATAAACGTATTTATATGTAGAAATTTAATTATATTAAGCAGCTTCAAATAGTAAGTAGTTTGAATAAAATATTATGAGGGAAGACCATACTAGGTGTTTAAAATTAAGACCATAACTATGACTTTTTGAAAACTTTGTAGGTAGTGGCAATTCAAAATGTAATTCAGCAGATATATTGCAGAGGAAGATGAGATTGCTTGATGGTTACTGATTTTGGCTACCCTGTTGCCAAGGAAAGATCGTCAAGAGGAAATGCTAAAGGTTAGAGTTGAGCTGCCTTCCAAAGGCTGTGACGTTTGAATTTTCTTAGCAGTTCATAAGAGAAGTGTAGATTTTTTAGCAAGGCACCAAAATGTGAATCTACTTAACTTCGAACTCTGAAGTTATATAAGTCATCGTCCTGTGCTAGGCCAAGTGCCTTGCTCACAGAAACAGAGGCCTGTTGCAGTTCCTTTTGTCGAGATTGAAAATAACTACTCAGCATTGAATTTTGCTCTTTAGCCTTCCTTTGGTCTTTCCCTGCATGATAAGAAAGGCAGTGGAAATCTGTGTTCTCCAGGCAAGAGGATACCAAACACGTTAGTTATGCTTTGCCCACTGTCAAAAGCTGTAGCTCATCACTCTTTTCCTGCCGTTGGTAGATTCAGTTTTTAATTGCCTATAAAGCCCGAGTATTTGAAATCTCACATAAGAGGCTTAGGTCCATATGTATCGCATATGTATAGCTGAGAGCAAAGATATGGTTTGCATTAACATTTGGGCTCAAAAATACAATCTATTCGGGATTACAGGCTGAACACTGTAAATTAGGTGAACTGAGTTTCAATTAATTTCAGTAGCATCCTTTTTTCTTCAGTGACTTGCAGTACATTGCAACTTGATCAGAACATTTCCATTTTCCTGTTCATTCTCAAAAAATACCTTTTCTGCTCTGAAAGTAATTTTTTTCCTCAGTGAATATAAACAATAGAGCCATGTAGAACTACTTCCCTTGAAATGTAGGGTGCTTTATAAATAGAGGTGTCCATGTCCCAGAAATTGCACTTGCATGTATGCTATAAACAAAAGCTACCCCATAGATTTTTTTAAGGCAGGTCACATTATGTCAGGTCACATCAGAAAGGCCAGTAGAACTGATAAAATTTAATCAGTGTGTACTCTGTCTTACAGTAAATAAGACAATAGCTGGTAATTTTTCCCCTTCCTTTTGCTCCATCCTTTGAGTTACTAGTGGGTCATTTTACTCAGAGCTAAATAAAAGTACGTGTAAGCTACAGTTTTCCAAATACAATGTAGGCAGGTATGACAAAAACTGCTATGAAAAGGTAGCTCTCACTGTAATTAGCTAACTACTCCCCAAAAATGTATAGGTATCTAGTAATATAAGATAGTAAATGATTGAAAAAAATATCGGAGCATGGGTTACTTTTTATTCTTTGCCTAGCACTATTAAATTGAAAGCAAATTTGTAATTATAGAGAAAATGGATACATTTCTGTTCCAAAGTCAACTGCCAAATTCTTCCTCATGCTTATCTATTCAAGTTTCTAGGGAAACAGTACACTGCTTGCAAGGATATTCAGGAGCAGTTCTACTACAGATCAGGATAATGAGCATCTAATAGATTTTCACACTGTCTTTTGGTCTCAGAAAATGTTATATTTTTTTCAATATGGAATTATTATCATATTATGTGATGCCAAAAATATCTACCACTTGCCTATATTAGTATAGTGCATAAAACAAGTATAGCTATTTGCAGTGGTATGCAATGCTGTGATATTTTGTTACAGTATGTCAGGGAAGTTTTTAAACTGATCTACTAGTTATAACAAAAATGTGAGTGATCACAAAGGCTAGACATCTCTGATATTTTTCCTCCTGTACTGAGTATACCTGCTGTAAACTGGTTAAGATGATTGGGATACTAGACTAGACATTTCACAAGTGAAATCTGGAAAGAGTAACCATTCTGAAGCTCATTGGGCTTTGCAGGTGTCTGTTGCACAAACTTGTAAAGTAGATGGTGATGACAGTAAATTAGCTCAATTGCTTGTGTTTATTGTTTAGAAATGACTGGGATCCTCCTGACAGAAAGGTAGATACTCGCAAGTTCCGTTCTGAACCAAGAAGTATTTTTGAATATGAGCCAGGAAAGTCATCAATCCTTGAACATGAAAGACCGGTAAGACATATAAGAGAAACGGGTAATTAAGTAAGAGATTTGGTGAGAGGTTATGTTTTCATTGCTTACTACTAATAATAACTACTTAGAGGAATATTGAAGGTCCTTTTTCAAATACAGTTTTGCAGCAATTTATCTTTGCTGTTATCTGATGGTTGTGTTGAAAATGTGGGTTTGGCTTAGTTGCTAAACTTAAATCTTCTGGTGTTTCCAAGAAAACAAACCACCACTGTGCAAATCGCATGGATGATGAGCAGAAGTATGAATTAATGGAAACTGCTTTTTTGAATTGGTATGCATCTCCAGCACTTATTTTCAGTAGTATTATCTGCTCTTATTACTGATTAATTAATGCATAGAAATAAAGTGTTTGCATTTTCAGGGTATGCTTAATTGTACATCTAAGGAGATTTTGGTCAAATACTGGTCAAGGTTGCCCAGAGAGGACTCACCTGAACACAGCCCTGAGCAACCTGATCTGATCAGACCTACTTTTGACAGCAGGTTGGGCTAGATGACCTCTGAAGGTCCTTTCCAACCTCAATTACTCTGTGATTACTGAGTGTACATTAACATATAATTAGAAGCCTTTATTCCTGCTTTCTGAATAATGATTGCAATTACAGAATTTTTCACAGGCATGTCTGATAAAGCTATGCTTAATGCTTGCAAAATAACAATGGAGGTTTTCATTTCCTGAAAGATACATTCACCCAGCCCTTCCAATTTACCTTTATTCTATCTTAAGACTTTCTTATTTTAGGAAAACTGTTATGTATCAATGGCAATAGTTTCTTTTCTTTGTCTTTTACTCTGAGGTTGAGGTGGTTGAGAGAGTCCAGTTTTAAAAAAGAGGTTTATGTAATCGGCACTGGATTATTATTTGCTTAGGTATTACATGCTTGTTCACTGAATTTATTTTGCCAGTTTAAATTAAATTAGGGAAATAATTGAATTTCAGAATATGTAGTATGTCAACAGTGAGAAACACCTTTTCCTCTGTTTTTGTGGTCTTTGCAGTAGTCTGATTTTTGTTAGCTAGAAAAACACCAAACTCTTTTTCTGTGAAATTAAGTTCTCGAAGAACTGATACATTTTTCAAAGAGAAAATTGGAATTTCTATAGGAACTGCTAATGAATCAATATAATTAAATGGAGTTTAATATCTGTTGTGCAGATGAATGTAACAAATAATTTTATTTAAAAGGCATTTTATCAGGCAGTTTTATCAATATGGAATTTCCACTGTTGATAAAGATGCTCTTTAGCTTTATGTATTTCGATACTTTCTTTGAACCATGTTACAAAAACAAAATACTTGGTTTCACTAAAGCACTTGCTTCCCCTGTGTTCATTGAATGGGATATAGAAAGCAAAACTAATAACTTACAGAATGATCAGCAGAGCAGGTCAGAAGATTTTTCTCTGTGTGTGTAGGAAAAGCTAACATCTCAAAACAGTACATTGGTTCCAAATTCAGATGAAAAGTCCAAATTCTCAACTGTGTCAGTGTTGCTTAAGTCTTCCATCTTGATAATCTCAAAAGATTTGATTTCTAATGTCTGAAAATTTGTTCTGATGTTACTGAAAGTATTAAAACATGGAATGTCAAATAAATACTGTTCATTAGTATTGCACAAGATGGACATTTATAGTATCTGAACTGAATTAGTTACTTTATTAGTTTTGTCAAAAACACAAAATCAAAGGGAGTTTTTATAACACTCCAAATCCTAAGTTTTTTTCTGAAATAAGTTAATTTCCACGTCCACAACATTTCAGTTTTGATGTCAAAATAATCTATTGAAATATAAAATATTTACAGCTAGCTTATATCATAATAAACAAGACGGTGAGGTTTGAAAGATCAGCACTATCTTTTTTGATGTAGGTACTAGATTGGAATCAGTTGTAATTAATGTGGAGATTAGAAACATGGGAACAATATAAGAAATTGAGATTCAATGCGAAATTTAGTGGGAAATATTATTCAGCAGATCCTCATTGATCAAAAGAATGTGAGAAATAATAAATCTAAAAAATTGACCTAGTAATAAACATTAAATGGATAGATTGATTAGAGATAACTGACTAATTTTGTTATGGGTAAAAAAGGATGAGTGTAATTTCAAACTGCTGTACCATGTAGCAACCTTCTGCCATGAAACAGGGAGTTAATGTGTTTTCTTCCATAATTTGAACTTTTATACTTGTGTATGTAAGAGTATAAAACAGCAACAAAAAGTAAAAGCTTGGGATTAGTCTTTTGAGATTACAGGTAAAAGTAAGTGATATTAAGGCATTAAATAGTCTTACAAGACATGGTGACGAAGTTCCTTTTTTTCCTATTTCAATAAGCCCAGAAAACATTACTATTTCTTCTAATATTATAACACTGGTAAGGTGGTACATAACTTGTTTTGATGTATATTTCCATCTCCAATGTCTGCAATTCAATTAAATGTTATTTTTCTCTAATGTCATCCAAACCATGGATTTGTTTCCTAAAATGCATGTTTAACTTCTGTAAATAAGTGTATGGTGGTGTAATAACTTAATTCTACTCCCATGAACATGAAGTTAAATTTTATTATTTATTAGTTTTTACCTTGTATCTGAGAAGAATTCCTTCATATATGTACATTTCTCTATTTCCACGGTAGAGCATGTAAGGAAGAATCATAGTGTTGCTGTAAAAAAAGACTTCATAAAATTGATACAAGCAATAGTTGCCTCTGTTTCATCAGGTGTTTTAGTCTAAGCATAGAAGTACACATGCTAGTCTGATAAAACCGAAAGGTTAAATTTTAGTTCTAGATTTTTTAATGTTTGTTCAGTATACAAATTTTCTACTGATCAGAATAAATTAAAAAAATTAATGTTTTGTCAAAGACCAAAAAATAGACTTGGCTTGTACTTCTGTTGGGTTTTAGTTTGGTTTGGTTTTTCCAATAGTGAAAAATTCAACATTTTCTTTATAATATGTGAGTTTGATTGCTTTTGACATCTTAAGCTGATTATCAGAATATTCTGCTTGGTAAGTTTTAATATGTCATTAAAAAAATACTTCTTTTCATAAAAATATGGAGAGACTAAGTCAATCCAGTAGTAGACTTGGAGCTATTTAAAAGTAGTCCAAAAAAAAAAGGCAAAAGCAAACTCTTTAGAGGTAATAAAATGACAAAATCAAATTGACAATAAGCATCTCAGCCCATTGTTCTAAATAGGCTTCAGTGTGGTGTCTGAATTTGCAAATGCAAAATATTGATTTGACCATTCATATAAGAACCATTTAACTCACAAGTTTAAATGCACACTTTCAGTTGTTACCTGTGAATGTCTATTTGTGCGTATCAAATCAAGCACAAGCAAAGCTTCATGTGACACTGCAGATGTAATGTTTTTCAAGGACCATGTTCTTCTATGTTCGAGTATGCTGATGCAGTGTTGTGTTGACCATCTCATGCAAAAGGAGTGAAGTTACTTGGTGGTCTTAGGTAGCATATTTTCAACAAGTAATCAAAATATTACTAAATGACTAGATGAAGGATAGTGTTGGAACATGACTTGGTTTGACTGACAAGTCATAAAAACGAATTTTCCTTTGTTGCTTTTGCCTCCTATTCCAGTAGTTTGGGAGATATTTTGTGAGACTAAGCCAACTGCAGTTTTTAAGGCAAAGGGATTCAAGTCTCTTAGAAGAGGAGATAATAGAAAAAGGTCCATCAGCAAAACAGAATCCGAAAACCAAACAAAATCAATTGCCTGTGTATTGATCTGAGTAGAACAGGGAATGCAGAGTCCTTTCTAGAACTGCCAGGCAGCAGGGAATTTGCGGACTTTAGTGCTCAGTTTCTTTTTGTTTGCTGCCCTCTGCGGTTTAAGCTGTGAATTAAATTAGGACTTGTGTGCATGGAGTAAGTTTTACGCACTTCCTTACAGTCTCATTTTATTTGCTGAATACCACACGAGAAGAACTGAAAAACTTAGAAACTAGTTAAAATACACTATTTCTAGCTTTATACAAGGCTTTTAAAGCTTGCAGTTAATTGTGAGAGTATTTGAATATGAAAAGGGAGCCAACTCCCATACTGGTTTTTGTCTCCTTGGCTAGCTGGGTGGAAGCCCAACAGATCTGACAGTCCGTTCTGCCTCCCTGCAAGGAGAGACACCGGTTCAGCAATGTGTGGGTGTGGGGCTGCTGCTCTTCTGGGCACCTTGAGGCTCACAGGGCTTATGCTCGCTATCCAAGAAAGTAATGTCAATAGGCCTGGATTTGTAGTGCCAAAAGCTCCACAATTTCAACCCTGTATGTATTTGAAGGGATTTTTTTATTTATTTAATGTAGATGCACCCATTTGTTGATATTAACATTTCTGTGAAAATTAATTTATTGATAAAATAGAAAGATAAAAGCATGCCATATTTCAACATACTGTAACTTAGATTGGAGAATGGATGAAAAAGAATTGTTTAGTACTGTTTTCTCAGGTTATTCAGATCTAAATTGTGGACTTTTTTTTTCTTTTAACGTAAGCGAAAAACCTTTGAATACACCGAGTGTTCTCTGTAATGGGAATCAAATTCATATATAACAAAATTATCTTCTGCATTGTGAATCTGTCATGTTTTGCTCTCATGCCTTTATATTTCTGTAGAAGAGAATCATGGTGTTTTTCTTAAAGTAATCATAGTCTCTATTAAATTCACAAATTTTTAGTGGTCAGTTCATGGAACTAATTTCAGTGGTGTTTCTCCACTAAAGACTTAGGTGTCTATAGTTGAGTTCAAACAGTTGTCATTAATACTGCTGAGTTACAGCTGTGGATGGTGGAAATAAAAGGGCGAAACTCCAGAGGAGCTTCACTTCCTAACCCTGCTGTGGAGCACAGCAAGTTTTTCATCAGCTTCATTCCCTTCCCACTCCATTCACACTCCCACAACTTCCCTTTCTTGAAAGGATATTTTGAAGATAAGTGTGTAGAACAACAGTTGGGGTCCAGATATTGCATAAACAGCTCATAGATATGTAAGCACCAAGGTAGTTCTGAAGGGTTGTTGGCCTTTCAATAGAGCAGAGTGGAGAGTCTGTCCCAGTAACATCAAAGTCAGCAAGTAAAGTGCTGTAAGATATTTAATTGTCTGAAATGATCAAGAGCACAATGTTATCTGTTGCAGAAAACAGAAATAGCTGTATGTGATTGTTTTAGCGTGTTGGTGACAGCTTGACTCCGGAGGAAAAAGTGTTACAGATTTGATTACCAGTGTTATTCTGTATGCTGCGCCCTGTCTTCTTTGATGACTGCCTTCTAGGTCACACAATAATTAGTGTCTGAGTTCTGATAATTACAGTTATGGAGAATCCAACTTTAAATTCAGAAATGTCTTTAACAAGAGGATTTCTCTGTTTCAGAGATCTTTAAGCCAACAGTTCACTGTAATTCTGTGCTGCATGAAAGCCTACATCGGTTCCTGCGAAGAAACTGGAGCTATTTAGAAAGTAATTAATGCAGCCAAGTTTACAGTTGATTAGATATCCCATTGAGAGCTGAACTGTTTTGCACTGTCATGTTTTCAAGCTACTTGAATAAATCTGTCAATTATTGTTCTGTTCACTGAAGACTTTCCTTAATGCTATCAATTGCTACTTTATCCCTTAACTGGGAGAATTTTCAGATGAAAACAATCTTTTTCACTGTGGGAAAAAAATGCTTCATTGCATCAACAAGGCTATACAAGATAAAGTATTACATAGTACTGCTGCAACAAATAGTATGGAATGCATAATTTTTTTGTTCCCTAAGTTTTGACTATAGAATTTAAAATATACAAGTTCCTTTTTCATATGCTGAAGTGGCTTTTTAACATAGTGATGCTTGCTTGATGCATATTCCTTATCTCTGCTCAGCGCTTGCTTCAAGACAGCAAGATCCAGAATTAACATGCTTTGTGAGAAGACGAGGAATGGCCAAAAGCAATACAGATAAAGTTATGTCTTTATTGCTGATTGGATGGGCAATTTCTTGCCTATACTGGAGATGAAAATCACTTAAACCATCTTCTTAACTAGGAATCTTTAGTAGAATTAAATCTATTTAACTAATACAATGATGTTTAAAGAAAAGTCAAAGAGTCCTCTTAGCTTAAAAAGTGTAATTTTAAAATGTTTAACAAGTTCCAGCCCTTGGAAGAACATCAACAAAAATAGAAGTTTTAAAGCTACCGGTCAATGTCAGCTCTTGAACAAGAATATTCTCTGTCTTAAATACCATCTTCATTCTTTGATTTTATTCCATTTCTTTCCCCATATTTGTTTTGTCTTTGTCTGTTTGTTGTTAAAGTGACATGGCATTTCTGGCACTTTGCTCAGTGTGTACCTTTTCCTTCCCTTTTCCTTCACAACTGCTCCAGACTGATCGCATAAACCCTGATGACATAGATTTAGAAAACGAACCCTGGTATAAATTCTTTTCAGAACTGGAGTTTGGACGTCCGGTAAGTGAGGACAGAATATTAATGTTTACACATTAGGAAAAAATATTTTTATGATGAGGAATTCAAATTACCAAATTCAGCAAATATATGGTAGTAAAATTAATATGAGAATTTTTTTTAGAAAGGGCGATAAATTCATCCCGTTTATTTTTTGAAATAATATTTTTTTCAAATAGACTCTTAATTTGCCAGAGCAGTGGCATTAGTAGCTTTAATATGGAGTATGTGTAAATATGTAATAACAAGATAAATTGCATGATAAACAGGGGTGCTTTCTAGTCTAGACTTTTCTAGTCTCCCTAAATCTTTTGCATTTGGCTGGATTATTTTTGAACAATCTTTTAGAACAGAAAAACATGTCAGTTTGCTCTAGGGATACTAAGTTACAAATAATGTATTTTACTTGAAGGAATGTATCTACATTTAAATGTAGGAAGCCATATACAAATTTCTTATGGCAGTAAATGCTGATATTTTTTTCCCTATTTTCCTCTCTTATATGCATATGTGCAGAATATGTATTTTATACTTGAACACAGAGATACTGGTTTCCTCTGTTTTCAGGCTGGACACCTGCTTGTACTGACAGACTTCAGTTCTGCTCCAATTTTCACAAGTAGCTGGTATCGATTAAAGGACTTGGGCAAACAGATGCTGCCTTAGTCCTACTGCAAACATTTATGTTTAAAATTATAAACCTGAAGAGTTCCATCTGGTTGAAACACCTAAAAATCAGAAATATCTCCATTTTTCACCTTTGATTTCTTAGGCACTTGCAAATCTGCAAATACCACAGGCTTAATTGTATCTAAGTACCAAAGGCTGTTTGTGTATTTTTTACAAGGGTAAAACAGTAGCATTGCCTTGAAGCAAGACTGAGAACTAGGTTTCACTTCCTCCCTGCACAGTGCCTCAAGAACTAGATTGAAGATGCACCTGCTCTTCCTTTTGCACACACCCTCTCTCACTCCACAAAGCTCAAATTCTTTCCTGTACACTCTAACATCTTTAGGAAAAGGATAGCAAATGCCTTCATCCCAGAAGAATGTCTAAGGGGATGGTTAGAGTATCTAGACAGGTGGAAAACAGGAGTTCAAATCCCCTTAGAAGAAGGAGGGAAGTAAACCCAATCATTCGCTCAGTCTTTTTAAGTATTCTGTTAGCTCCTCAGGATTCTCACTGTGATTTTTTACTTAAAAAAACAAAAGCATCTGCCCACAGGCAGAAAATTCCAAATAGACATGAACTTGAGAGTGTCAGAATTTAAAATATTCCCATTCTTTTCTTTCCCTGTTAGCCAACAATTCTCTGGAGGCCCCTCAGAATTCTAATTAGTGACATGCCAGGCTACATGAGGAGCCTGAGCAGTTGACACAGGGCCATGGAGGGCACTCTGGAACCAGATACCTTAGTCACTCTTTGTAGCTAACCATAAGCCAAAATCAGAACTCCCAGCTACTTCAGTGAGACCAGAATAGAAAGCAAAACTATATACACTCTTTTAAAAATTTAATTTTTTGACTGTAACATTTAAAAAAATTACCAATTGAATACCATCTGAAAATTTAAAAAAAAAACTTAAATGTACCTGGGTTTACTTTGTTGTCTAGTGGTCTATAATGTATCACATTTTCACTGATTACTTTTTATCTCCCTTTATCCAGCCATTCAAGCCCTATTGTCATTCCTCCCTCTAGGTGGGCAGAAACAGTGCAGATACATTCTTCTGATGAACAATATGTCAACAATAATTTATTGATAATGATAACTGTTAAGATAAAATAGATTGAGATTTCTCCAGCAGAACGTAACTCTAGTGCTTTACACTCTTCTGTCTCATCAGTATTAAAAACTGCTGGTATTTATTCAACTATCCCAGTTGTAAATTTTACCACCTAATGTTACTAACATTTATTAAGATAATTTAAAAAATATAATACGTTCATCCTTCCATTCTCCCTGTGTGTGTCACTCTTTGTATCTGATGCTGTCAACACTTAGTTTCTAACTGTGTCACCTTTTCCATATGTTTCATTCCTTGCTGCCATTGTTTCTACTCCATTTCATCTCTACACTTCTGCTTTTATGATGCAGCCACCTAAAAAGATTTTGGACTATTTTCAAGAGAGTTCTTCTGGTGTTTCCAATGAGGTAAATGAATGATTCTTTTTCGGATGATTCTCTTGGGAAGAAGGGTTGGAATGCTCACCATTTATGTCTTAAGTCTGTTCAAATTTAGTGGTTTCCTTCTGATAGCTATGAGACATTTTTAATTCACAATCATTGTATCTTTGTCTTCATATCTTTCCAGATCACTAGTGCAGTTGGATGTTGATCTTATTATCCTAGGAACTGTGAGTTCTTATCCCCAAAACTTCTCAGAGATTAACACTCAGAATTACACAACAGTCCATACGTCTCTAACTCTTTGACAAATTCCCACTTTTCAGAGTTGGGCAGGTGCATTGCACAATTAATCCATCACTACAGTAATATTTTTTAATTAAAATATCTGACTTCAAATTCTATATGTCAAGTGAAAGCCTTTGTGGCTAAGCTGTCATTTCTCCAATTAAGTATTTATGGCTACGGAGCTAATCAGATAAAAACCGCAATTAATAATCCTCTTGTAATTTAGAACTGTTGCTACTCCAAATAAAATTCATCAAGATCAGGTAGTGGGCTGTCGTTGCCCTACTCTGAGTGGGAGAGATTCAGGCTTTCATTCCTTTCCACTCCCTCCCCATTTTTACAGCATTAGGGCAAAAGTCAGTGACTCCTATAATGGCAACTTTGCTTCATATGGTGGCTTGTATTCGCGATTCACTCTCATCTTCTGTAGTCTCTCCAAAACTTTAACTCAAATTGTGGTCTTAAATTGTTAATTGTTTGCAAATTACTCTGGTTTGGTTTTAAGCTCTCTATATATTTAGAAAAGCCTCATAGTTAGGAAATTTGGGTTCAGTTCTCTGAAACAATAAGCTTCTAGGCCTTTGCTAGTTCTTTTTAGTCCTCTGTATATCAAGAAAGACAATTTAAAAGCCCTAACACGACTGTTTGAAATATTCCCATGTTCAGTAGGTCTGGGTAAAATGGCTATTAAGTAATATTGGTTTTCTCTTTAATTAACTTACAAAAACTTCTGTCTTTAATTTTGAAACTTTAATAATCTTTGAATATGATAAATCATGTTCAAAGTCTACAGCAACTTAGTATTTCTCAGGGAGGGTAGGACGGGAGGACAATATTCAAAATAACTTGATAAAGTATTAGAGCCATTAGGCAAACAAGCATGTTTTTTATTTACAACTTTTGGCTTCTTTTCCTAACTTTATTTTCGGTCATTGTTAAAGCCTTGATGCATGAAATTGCTAAAATATAGGCTTACTTTTAAATGTATATCTCATTTTTTTAGTAAAACCAAATCAAGCTACTAAGAAAAGTCTGTATTTGGTAGTTTGGAGTTGTCATCTCCAATATTAAATTATTTTTGTCAGATGGCTTTTATTCATGTAGGGCAGTGTTGAATATTCTGGGAGATGACTAATTAGCTTTGGAGATGGGGGATTAGGGGAGATGTGTTCAGTTGAACCACCTGAAAGTGGGTCAGTAAATACCTAAGAGCTGATAGGACAGCTACAGGCAGTAAAACAAGCAGTAAAAACCAATCATATCCACTGTTTACTTTCACCTTTCCCTACATGCCGTATCCATGAAGCTCTACCTGGGGGTAGAACCTATAAACTCCACACACTCTGTAAAGAAATAACATATGCCTGTGGTAAAAATTAGTATTGTAGAATGTGCAACATACAGTGTCTTTCATATAGTAAAAGCTTCAAAGGTGGCGTCAAATAAGGGTAAAAGGGCAAGTTACATTCAAGGTGATAGGAGAGTTAAAGGATGAAAATCAAAAGCCATACAGTAACCCAGCAGTCAATTTTGGCGTGACACACATTTCTAGACATCTTAGGCTGATCACTAACACACTGTTTATGGCCTGGAGAATGCTGTGGATAAAGAAGTTCCTTCTGGTGTGTTTTCCATTGTGTGATTTACCCACTGCCTTCCATAGGAGGCAGTGGGGATCTGTTCCACCCCTCTGAGTTACATCATGGTCTGTATAGCCCTGGAGCCACTACAAATGGTGGAAAGTAATCCCTGCCTCATGGCCATTTGGCCATCATGTCACAGATGGTTGCTAGTGGAAGTGGTTGGCACCTGCGCAAAAAAAACCCACAATGACAATCTACCTGAAATGTTTATGCCACTTCACACAACAGTCCTAACAGAGATCACCTGTGATCCCGAGTTTCCTTCCTCTGCTGGTTCCAGACCATAGCAGTGACTGATCAAAATGAAGATAGTTGTGGCCAGTTTTGAAATAAGACTCTGACGTTTTCCAGAACAGGCTCAATGTTTTATGGGAAGCATAATGTTTTATAGGGAAGCACACTGGCCTGAGGCCTTTGCTTCACTGTGGTTATACTGGCTGTTGGTGTGAGCAACTCTGTATCTGGCTTCTATGGTTCTATAGTAGACAGACCTCAAAATTGGCTATATATCTTAAAATTATTGAATTTCGATAGTGGTGGGAGAGTTGCCACAAAGTACTTTTCAGATTTCAGAGGATGTAAAGAAAAACTTGAAAATATGAACTATATGATCACTAAAGACTTGGGAATAAATACCTTCCTCAGAATGTATTTGAAAAAAACCAAATAGCATGATAGTTTGGACAGAAGAGGTGATCAGTAGTGCACTTGTCATGAACCCCATACACATTCCAAATATTGAGAAATAAAATAGGAAGTCTTTGAATTATTAACATCTTTTAACTGTTTACACCTCAGCTGCCATTCTTTCCAAAAGTCGAAAGGTTTCTTACCTGGTTTGGATGTGATTTAAATTAGAGTTAAAAAGTACTGAGAAAATTGGAATTATCTTAGCTCCAGTTTTAGATAACATTTGTTTCATATTGTGCTGTGTTCGTGTGGTTCTCCCCGTCCCACAGTGTAATAAATTTTAGTGTAATACAGAAATTAAAGCTTCAGTTAGTGTCTTAATGGGATCACTTGATATGTGATGCAGGTCTTAAATAACAAAGCCGACTGACAACTCTAACTGAACAACCGTATTGTTTTTATAGTCTCTCACCTGTAAAAGTAGTTTAAACAGTTACTCTTGAATGTCATTTAAGTATACAGTCTTATGAAATCTGTTCCCAAGTATCCTTAGACTACAGGTGACTTCTAGAGGTATACCAAAGTGTCAGTCAGCAAGTCTGGGTGAAGTTACAATTCATGAACTTGCAATTCAAATCACCGAGGGAAAAAAAAACATACTAACAAAAGAAAGCACTTGTACAGGCCATGAGTGCTATTACCTCTGCAGTCCTTGAATACGAAGTTTTTTCCATACAGAGTAAAAGTCAAGAAGGCTCTTTATAAAGGGAAAAACATTTCCTGCAGCTTAGAAATCTATATGATAGTTCTGTTTTAGTCCATTGGGTTATGTCTGAAATGACATGCCAGGAACTTGAAACAAGTTTAACTCTTGAACCTCACTGCTTGAAAAAATACCTCAGGGATTGTGCAGTTTGTTCTAGATTCATACCTAGTTACCAGAGTGTAGTATTCTGACTGAAGGCTTGAAATGGTTGATTTAAAATTTTTAATCATGTATGGTTGACTTTATACCGATTATAAAATTATGGAGCAGTACTCCATTCCATCTTGCACGGTTCGTGCAGTAGCTACTTCTGTAACTCCATGACTAATGACTAATGTTCTATGATAAGAACTGTTTTTACCAGGATTATAAGATGTGACTACAAACATCATAGGAATTACAAGTTTCTGGCTATAATTGATTGTGAGATTTTGGTGAGTAACTTTGCAAGGGGAGGAGAAGCTTTGCAGACCTCACTTGCACATGAAGGAATTATTTTCAGATTTTTATGTTTCTATAGTAGAGGTTTGTTTCAGCTGTTCTGTATCTGTTTTTGAAAAGTGCATGGAAAACTATGATTTTGGATCACTATTTAGCGGTGCTTTAACGGAAAAAACATTACTGAAGTAGAATAGGAAATGAAATCTAACAGTGCTTTTTAAAAACTGCATAACTGTTCTCATGAATATCGCTGTATCTATGCCAAAGTGCCCAGGATGTTAATCATCATGGTCCATTTTTATAGGATTTGTCACAGAGTAACAAAGAGTAATCAAACATGATAAGCAAAACTTGCCGCTCTTTTTTTCAAATACAAACATATAACAGGTCCATGTATTTGTTTTCACAGGCTTCCTTATATCATCACTATTCAACAGACAGAGGCCTGGACAGGCCCTGTAGGTAAGAAATACTATACATTATTTCAGCAATCACAGATTATCCAGCCTTAAGGGTCTTCTCTGGGCCCTGAAATCAGCAGATGTGAAGAGTCAGATTGTTAACACTCACCTTGTGAGAAAAGTGTTCATATTTTGACACTGATATGTAGATTTTTAGTTTTGCAAGGACTTACTCTTTACATTCAGAGTAAACTATACTGTGTTCCGGGTCTTTCCACTAACATTCCTGAGCTTCTGTCTCAACAGCAGTTTATCATTTAACCTTACTGCCTGCAGGACCCTCAGTGCTGTTTCCCTGAGCATGCTGCCCCAACTGTTCTCAGTCTCTTTTCCCTATCTTTGCACTAAAGTTCTAGTTCCAACAAATAGTCTAAAAAAACTTGATGCATTTATTTCAAAGAAAATGGCATAGTAATTTTGCATAAAACTTTAAAACAGTCAGGTGATGAACAAATTATCTTTTCTCTGTGAAATATGCTCTAAGATGTGTGAGACCAGTGTTTCATCACTTTACGTGGTTTTGATGTATTTGTTCTGGCATTTTTTAATTTATGAACCAATAATATAATTATGAGCTTCCTTTTTAAAATCCTAAATTCTAATCTCAGAATTAGACTGCTACTTATACTGCTTTTTTCTGTAGTTCTGCAAGTACTGCGAGTGACTTCAGAAAGCGAAGGAAGTCAGAACCTGCTGTAAGTCATCAGAGGGCACACAGTGATCAGAACGCAAACAGATCTAACCTGGGCCGTACAGACATACAAGGCCCATGTGGCACCCTTAGAAAGCCCTTAACTAGCTCGTCTCCTTCTTCCCCGTCAAGAGCAAAAGGTAAGAGGAGGCTGTGTTTGTCAGCAGAAAACTTCTGGTGATGTGTTGTACAATACATTGGTAGCAAATGAAACTGCCTGCTGTCGTTCAGTACATTTCCTCAGGAGATGTGATATGAAGCAACAGCTTTGGGCCTTTCATGAAAGGCTAACTTGTTTATTCTTATGTGTGTAATTTTAAGATGAAAAGCTGGATTTGTAACAAGTAACAGTTTCAACTGCTTATTCTAACAAAAGAAAATTGAGTAAATGAAGACTATGAATTCTACCAAAATATATAAACCGATAAATTTTTATTAACTCCACTACTGTCTTATTAGGTTATTGTGATTTTAAAACTGGTTTTAGTACATTGAGAAAGTACAAGAGAAATGACCTTGAAGACTAAAGATGTGTTTCCAGGATAGTAGGCGTTTTAAATCTATAGCTGATGTCTTAGACATTGTCAGTTATCAGGACCTAAGTTAATCAAGCAAACATCCATAGTCTGATTTTTTGTTTTGTAAATCCTTGGAAGTACTTAGTACAGCTGATACAACCTAATTAGCTTCTTTTTTTGCAAGTAACTTACCATTCTATTACTGTTTTTCACATCTCTTCAGAAAAGAGATCACAGAATCAGTTGTTCATTTGGGTTTGGTGGTTTCGGTAGATTTTTTTAGAAAGACAAAAGGCTTCCAGTAAAACATATGATGGAAGTAATATATAGAGTAACACTGAATACAATGTGTCTCCTTCTGCTGAAATTATTATCATTATTATTATTATTCACTTAATTGCTCTATTTTATAGCTATATTAATCAGCAAATCTCTGTAAAAGTAAACTCCCATTGAAAAGAACATAATATCCGGTCTGCAACAGAATGAGACAAAGAAAAGCAGTGAGGAATAGTAAGAGTGAAGTGGTGGAAAGCAAATGTATTTTAAACCTGGTGTTACAGTAGTAATTTTAGAAGTGGATAAACTTATCCATTTTGGTTACCAGGCCAGGGAGTAGAAAGTTTATAAACTCCATTTACCTGCATGTACGTTTGACTCCACCACCAATAATAAGCACTTACGAACACCTAAACACTTTCTGTGTTTGAAAATCCTTCGGTTCAGAATATCTACCATAGCTAATTAACTTTCAGAAGGTGTCCTAACTGTGTCACTCCATTGTCTCCCAGCATTATGACACCTGTAGAATGTTATTTTTTCTTGAAATTAACCAATTTTTTAAAGAAGGAGCACACTATAAACTGTTTGATCGGCATGAATTTTGAAGTCAAGTGTTTTGATTTCTGATCCAGATTCAGTTTTCTCTAGAAAGCAGATTGAGCTGTTTGAAGCATCCTTCCTGAACTGAATGTCATTTGAGACTGTGTTTGAAAGTTCAGTGCAATTATGAAAGACCACAGTTCCAAATTTGTCTCATCATGATTTCTGCATCTAGCATGCGCATAAAAATATATCTTAAAACTTGCTTGAAAACTCGGGCTTTGTTATGGAAGTCCATCTAAGGGTTATTGTTTTTTCTACATGCTGGTTAGGCTAAGTAAACTGATACATCTTCCTTTACACCTGTATAGCAATTCCTGAGCTGCCTTGTTCTGCCCTCCATAAGCTGTAGAAAGCACCACTCCCTTCAGTGCTATCACACAGGGAAAGAGTGGGCTATGAAAAACTGGGAGCAATTTCCTATTTGATCTTATATAAAGATTTATCTTTATCTTAACTATGTTAGAATACAGATGCTGCAAACTCTCTGAGCATTATAGAGCTTAAAAATTCTGAGCAGCTTCTTTCAGAATGCTGGAAAAGTCAATATTTGACTGAGGTCTATATTTGTTGTTTGGCTTCATCTTTAAAGCCTTTGCAGCTTTTATTTTCTGTTGACCTGCTTAAAAATTGGTATTAGTGCTTGTTTTCTTATGTTGCTTTGGTAGGGGGTGGTGCAGAGGGGATAACATCACCATAATTCATGAGGAATTCTTTTTATTGTTCAGATTGTCATGAGTGCATTTTTACAGCTGTAAAGTAACTTAATTATTAGCTCTGCTGTCCCAGGCTGTAGGAGACTATGTACTGACCTAAATTGATAGATGCACTAATTGCTATTTCTTTTCTAGTCTTTCTAATGCTTACTGATGCTAATTCCAACTTTCTGAATCTTTTAATTTCTGGCAATGTCTCTTTTTTACCATGCTGCTCTGTGGATTATAAAGGTGGGGATATTAGCAAAGTATATCCATCCCTTTTAAGTTATTCAGTGCACAACCACAACACCTCAAATGAATTAGATTACTGTAGCACTTACAGGCAACATTTAGCTGTTCCAAATGATTCAAGAAGGGCAATTAGCTACAAGAATGGCTGGCAAATGACTCGCCAAAATGCAGAAGTCTGGAGCAGCACAGAAGAAAATGCTTCTCCAAAGAGAAAATCCCGTAGCTGTGATGATCTGTTAACAGATGATCGTGATAGCTTTCCTGATGCACAGGCCAAGGCTGAAAGCATGGGCTCTCTGTTATGTGAGGAGGATTCCAAAGAAGTTTGCTCAATGAACTGGAACTCCCCATATGTTGAGGGCCGTGGTAGTGGTAGGTCAAGAGTTCGTCACAGATCTGCACATGATGCTCCAGGTTTCCTGAAAATGTACAAAAAGATGCACCGCATCAATCGCAAGGACTTGATGAATTCTGAGGTGATTTGTTCTGTGAAGTCCAGAATACTGCAGTATGAAAAAGAACAGCACAAAGGTATTCTTCAAGGCTGGAGAGAGTCTTCTACTGAAGAGGTGCCCAGAGACATGGTGCCAACCAGAATATCTGAATTTGAAAAATTAATTCAGAAGTCAAAATCAATGCCGAACCTTGGTGATGAAATGTTGTCAACTGCTACATTAGAGCCTCCTAAAAATGGCTTGTGTCCAAAGAGGCGATTTTCTATTGAGTCCTTGCTGGAAGAAGAAACTCCAGTCAGACATCCCTCTCAGGTACAACAGAGCTACAAGTCTAAAACCCTGGTGCCAATTCATATTGAAGTGACCAGTGATGAGCCACAACGATCACATATAGATTTTTCAGACAGTGATCAAGACGGAGTGGTTTCTGATCTCAGTGACTTTATCCAGATAGAGGGTTCATCCTTTTGTAGTGAAAGTGACTTCGATCACTTTTCCTTCACATCATCTGAAAGTTTTTATGGATCAGGCCATCACCACCACCACCATCACCACCACCACAGGCATCTCATTAGCTCCTGCAAAGGGCGATGCCCAGCATCCTACACCCGCTTCACTACCATGCTAAAACATGAAAGGGCTAAGCAAGAAACCACTGAAGATCCAAGGAGACAGGAAGCAGAATCTGGCCTCTCTAAGATAGCATTCCTGGTCAGTCCAGTGCCTTTCCGGAGGAAAAAAAGTGCAGCTCCTAAAAAACAAACCGAAAAGAAAAAATGCAAGTCATCTGTATTTGAAGCACTAGATTCTGCACTTAAAGACATCTGTGACCAAATTAAAGCTGAAAAAAGACGGGGAAGCTTGCCCGACAACAGTATATTGCACAGACTTATTACTGAGCTGCTTCCAGACATTCCAGAAAGGAATTCATCTCTTAAAGCTCTGAAAAAGAGTCCCATGCACCAGCCTTTTCATCCACTGCCTCAAGATGGTGCTATCCATTGTCCACTGTACCAGAATGATTGTGGAAGATTACCTCTTAGTGCCTCTTTTCCAGACATGGATGCAACTAACAACAACGATAGTGCACTGTGTTTCCAAGGTGGATTAACTTTCTTCCTCTATCCTTGTGATTGACTTATCCAGCCTTACTCCCTGTGTTTCCCACCCTTTCTCATTCCGTTTTTGTGTTGTCTGTAAGAAGCTTTCATCCCACAAAATTCTTAATGAAGAATGTCATTTTCACATAGGTGTTGAGGATAGACAAATTTGCTATCTATTCACAAACTACAGCAATCAGAACAACTGAAGTAACAGTGCATTTCAACTAATTGATTATTAGTTCTATAAATTACAATAATGTTATTAAGTATTGTGGGGGGGTTTCCCCAAGAAAAATATCCTACAGAAAGGGAATTCATGCATCATAAGATGGTGGTCAAACTGAAAACAATATGGAGATAATCCTTCCTTTATTAATTAAGAAAAAAATTTGCATCTAAAATGTGTTGTTATTTTGTTAAATGTAAGCAATTAAAATGGTGTTAATTTTGCCAGTATCACAGAAAGTTGATTCTGTTTTCTTATGAATCCAATGCTTTATATTACTTTTTGTGAATAGATGTTAAGGTCATTTTAGGAAGTTTCCATTTCCACTGTTCAAACAATAAATTTCCAATTTCTGTGGCAGCAAAACTAGTTCTTTTCATAGAATTTTAATGTATCTGTGAAGTTTTGAGACATTTCCTATCCTCTTAAAAGGGAAGTTCTCAATAATCAAAACTTGAATGAAATTGTCAGGGTGAGTATGACCAGTCTGTAGTTTAAGTTATTGCTTTGAGCTGTTTGTTGCTGTGCTGCATCTTTTTTTTCTCAAAAACATTTGCTTGAGCCTAAAGTGTTTTTAAAGTTTAACCTTTTAATATTAAAAGAAACAAACTAGATCCACAGCAGGAACTGTATGCTAGATGATTTAGATTAATATCTTGCAAGTCTGTAGTTTGTTTCTCTTTTTCAGTGGTACCATTTCTTAGTTTAAGAATTCTGCTTCTAGACAGAGTCCTTTGACAGAGTGTCTTTGAGAATTTAATGCAATTACAAAGCTATTCTTAAAATCACAAATGGATGTAAGAGAAAATGTCTTTAATATATTAAGCAATATTTGATCAGACCCATCTTACCTTTATTCTCACATCTTTTGTGTAACTTTTGCAAGTAGCACAGTAGTAAATATGTATTTCAAGAGAACTCAGAATTCAAGCTGTTACCGTCTCTTCTTAATTAGTTATAACAGATATATTTAGAATAGAAGATTTGGTAAAAAAAGGGCTACAAAACGCAATTGAGGATTGAATTAATCATACATGAGGCCTGGTCATGATTAACCCTGGCTGACAGTACTACATGATGAGAGTAAAGTTGTTGGAAATTGCACTGGTCACATATTACAGTGGACTTCTGATAGCTTCTTCAGCTGTGAAGGAGCCTGACATAAGGAAAGCGATGCACTCTGCCAACATTAATATCCTTAAAGTGGCGTGGAGAATGAGTAAAGCAGAATATTCCGTTGATTTCCATCAGCACCAGTCATGGCTGAGCTCTACTTCAAATCAAGTTTCCTGTTTGTTGGATCTGTGTGTGTCTCTTACAACCACCATCACACAGAGACCCCAAGGTCATAGCAAAAAACCACTAAAAACTACCAATATTGGCTGCATAAAGAGCTGTAGAGAAATAAAGGAAATTGTTTTTCCTAAAGCTTCTGCATTTTCACTCTTTTTCCATGTCCTTCTCTTTTTGCTAGAGAATAAAGAAAAAAAATAATAGATATGTTTGGAGGCATTGTATCTTTAGGTTTGTGCAGTGAGTATAGATCCTCATTCAGGAACACATGCCATATCAAGAAACCTGTCCAGAACTGGGACTGTGATATACTTGCTGGGAGTGACATGCTTGCAACCAATGGCATAAATAATACAATGATCTCATTTCTTTGCCTCCAGTATATTTATCAATAGCTTCAATTTTTTTGGTTTAGCCTATAGCCCACTAGAGACCATTTACATCTTTTTTCTGTAAGACCCCAACATAATGGATGACCTGCTTTCAGTTCCTTTCTTTTTAACCACTTATACTCCTTCGGAAATGTATGAACTTGGTAAGAACAGATTGTGGGAATGAAGTCAAAGAAGACAAACATTTATCACATTTTCACTAGCAAATATCACTGTGACAGTAGGAGACTAAAACAATAGTTCTCAGAAGTTGAGAGGCAATTCATTTCATCCTCTGATCTGAAATAGTTCTATTATATTTTCATTTCACATTGGCAACTTGCAGAGCTATAGAATGTGTAAGATTTTCATTTTATTCTTATTAAAACATGAAAAGATACCATCCTGTAATAAACATTGGTAAACTGTATTTTAGAGAAGCCTGCCACATAGATTGGTGAGTAATGATTTGTATTCCATCTCTTAAAACAGAGTTGTTTTTATGAAATAACTTCTTTTTAAATTCCCTTGTGCTGCCTAACATGTGCCCCTGGTAAAGTAGAAATGCATCTTAGATCACTTAGGAGGAAACAATGTTACTTCACTATTTCTCATTGAAGCATGCTTGAATCATGTTTTGTGCATGTAAATATGTGTTTATATTGTTGGCATTCTGAAACAGTGTCATGCAACCTGATGAAGTCCCAGTACTGCTGTCATGTCTTCCACTTGGCCCGGTAGGGGTCCATCCCTTTGTACAGTGAGGCATAATTTTGCTCTCTTGATCCTCTCTCATATCTTTTCTTCTGCTGTGGATCAGAGGACAGCCATTGCCTTTGCTTAAGAGTTAGTATCTTTTTTTTTTTCTTTGAAGGTGCACTTAACCATCATATCATGTGCTTTTCTTTCTATTAAAGGTAAAATAATAGATTTCAATATCTTTTCACCTCCCTAATGAAACCAAGAAGCATTACACATTTTAATGGTTTTGTTTACCGTAATTTCACATAATTTCTGTTTTCAGTAGACCAGGAGTCTCCTGGAAGCTATTCTTCTACTTTCACTGATGTGGGCCGATTTACTCCAAGGGAGAGAAGAGGAACTACAGACAAAGAGGTAGTGAAACAACAATGAATAACACAGCAATATCCATATGGGAGATCGGTAACATATTTGAGACAAGATTTGTGTTGGTTTTAAGACACTAATAATGCAGACCAAAGGAACAGTTACTTATCACATCATCAGATGGGACAGCATCTTCCTTTTTCATTAAGGAGGATTGGTACTTCGAGAAATTAAAATAATATCAAGCTTTGTAAAATAAACTGTGGACTTCCATTTACTATTAAATAGATATGAACATAAATTTACTAGTTATTGATAGATTCTGTCTAAGTTGACCAGAGAGGGTGTTTGGAACAGAGAAGAGCAGATGTGACTGGGGAAAGGCTCTTTTGAGATCCAAAGCATCACACAAAGAAACTGCCTTGGTAGTTTAAAACTGATACAAAACATCTTTATTTCACCATTATTTTTGTTTGGGAAAGGAAAACTACTGTCGTTGGTGTGTTAGACAAAACCACTTCTCCTAAGAGCAAACACTAATGTTTGTAACAGTTGGTGATGGTAATTATATACTGATTACTCATATTAGTGCTTTGGAAAAGGTTGTGGAAGCAGGCATACCACCATTAAAGTAACACAAAGTATCACTGAAAAGTACACTTTGAAAAATGAAGTGTATTATTTAGTATCTTAAGAATACTTATAGATGTAACTGTAAATGCACTCCAAACAGGCTTCAGGGATTTTATTCAATCATAAAGTACATTTAAATTAACCAACATCTACAGACCATGGATTGTTAACATTTTTGATTGGTTTTTATTAAAATATTGCACAAAATAATGGCAGCATAAGAGGGTACTATATTTTAATTGCTAATATTTAAGGGTTTACTCTGGGTTATCTACCTTGCTAAATGGTGGTACAGTTAGAACTGAATTCAGATCCGTTTACAGTCCACTGACATGTTTATATTGCTGCAATTTGATTAAGAGTCTGATTTCAACAAAAAAAAAAAAAGAAAAAAAAAGACTGCTTATTACAAAATAGAGCTAAAAAATGTTCCAGGAGCTGAGTTATGTGTTCCTTTTAAAGAATCTCATGACATAGAAAGTAATTTTTCAATTTGAAAATACATAAAATACTTAAATTACAAGCCATTTTTAAGATCACTGTAATTTAAAAAGATGAAAGAAAGGCTTCTCTATTTCCGGTATGTTTTGTAAAGTGCAAAGTATTTTGTATTTAATCAACTCCACTGTTCTTTTAATATTATCCTCTTTCTTCTGTTATTTGCTTTAGTAGTTACAGCACCAGCTGTACCAAAATCAAGGAAGAGTGAAAAGGGCTTAGCTACAGTTGATATGAATCACCTCCTGTCTAAAAGACTGTTTTTAACAACAGCAAGGAACAGGATAATGCTTTTAAATGTAGGCTTAGACCTGTAATGGAAAATTGTATTAGTATTACAAAATTCAAATAGACAGGACCCTTGCAATAACTTTAGGGACTTTTTTGTTATGGTGAAGACAATGCTCTAGGTATGCTAAATTTGCTAGCCTTTAAATTACAAGTACAGAGAGAACTCAGTCAAGAACATGTGGAATAAAAGTAAAATGCAAAATTTTCAAGTGTCCCTTTTTATTCCTCTCATAAAAAGATGCACACCTTTACATCCTTACAAGTAGCATCTCTCAGAAATAGCATAATCAGCTCATGCTAGTCGCTAGTATATCCTAGAGAGAAATTTTTTTAAATGTAGCAATCTTATCTGTGCAAGTACTTGCAGAGAAACACTGAAGAATTTCACCAAATACCCTCATGTAATACTGTTTATCGCTTCTGGCACCTTCCTCTGAAGTATCTGGTGACGGTTACTTGTCAACTGCAGACACTAGATGAGGGAGGCTGTTGGGCCGGATCACAGTTCGTGTTTTCAGCAGAGCTTTGAAAACAGTGAAAGTTTAAGTTTCAGCTGCACAGGTGAGGAGAGGTAGGGCTGTTTAACAGCTTTATTTTTGAAACAATATTGAGCTTGCATGTACTTTGTGATAGAACTTGATAAATATATGATAGGAGTGATATAATGTGATTGCCTGTAATAGCAAGAGAGCTGCACAGATGACTCAGGAGATCAACTCCAGTCCTGTGTTTCTCAGACTTTCTTAAAACTATGAATGTGATTATAGAAATTCAAAATATTCCCAGTAATTTCCAGCTGTCAGAGTAATTTCTCATATATACGTATATATAAGTGATACAGTATTTGCAATTGAAATTAGCCTAAAGGTAACAAGTTTAACAGAGAAAGCATCTAGAATACTACAGAATATTAGGTATGTGAATTTACATTGTGCCTAAAAAGCTAGTTGCCTACAAGTTACATTGGCGTTGTTAACTTTTTTATTTACTTTGGTATTTTTGTTACACATAAAATTGAAAAACAGTCTGTATTAAAATTTAGCTGCTATTTCTGTTTTTAGAAAACTAAGTCTCAAACACTTAACTACCTTAAAAAAAAATAAAAACCATATATTTAATGGACTATTTCTGCAAGAACCACTGTAAAGCACATCCTTTTCACTTTGAGTCTTGGTCGCCTTTTTAAAAGTTGAAACATGTTTATTATATAGTAATACTACCTGAATGTATTAATCACTTTACCTGCTTTTCAGAAACTGCCAGCTAGAGCTGTATATGACTTTAAAGCTCAGACTTCTAAGTAAGTACTAGACTTTTGTTCATTTAAGAATTCACGATTCAAGCAAACTCTTTCTGGAACTTGTAGCAGCTTAACTGCTGTTTAAGCCAGTTTCAACAGCAAATGCCATGCAAATGATGACCCTGCTTGCACAGATAGTCCCTGCATTAGCAAACTGTGTGAGAAGTTGCATCGTAATAAAAGTGTCTTAAATTATTATATCCTCCATTGTATCTGTTTGAACACATGAATGGCTGTGCATCTTCAGCCTTCTAGAGCACAGGTCCTGAGGGTCACCCACTGAATGCTTTTCATTTGTTGTGAATTCTATTAAGGTTACACAAGGTAAAGTGCTTACAATACTGACACAGATAATGGGGTTATAAAAATTCTGTATAATGCTTCAACACCTTCCTGTCTGTCTTAACATACATAGGCTCTCTGCAGGATGTAAGAAGTCCCATACCAAGACAACAGTGGTCCATAAGAAAGACAAGATCAGGAACCACTAATTTAGGATATGAGAGTGTTGAAGTAGAGTGCCCGTATTTCATTCCTGCTGTTGTTCCAATGATCCAGGGCATTTAAACAATATTCAGATATGGCCCAACATTGACACTAGAATTACATTAGCTGTGTCTGGGAGAAAACTCAGAACCTGAATTATCCAAACAGCAGCTTAGCTGTTGAAAAACCAAATGGATGATGCAGCAAAGATCTCCCAGGCCAGGATCTGAAAATATTTTTAGTGATTTCAATTATTCCCCTTTTTTGTTATTCAACATCAAACAGACTCTGAATATGAGAAATGGTGAGAGCATGATCCTGTGTTCTTCAGGCTTCTGAATAGCTGTCTTGAAAGAAAAATGTGTAGAGCAGAAGCTCACCATGCTCTGCTATGAAAAGGTAGTGATAGGCCATAGAGACATGGGATATCATGGCTGGGCTTCGCGAATGAAGATTTGGGAAGGCTCTATCCACGTCTGTTACAGGCACATTGGTGACTTATGAAGCCAATACGAGACAGACATGTCCGATTGCAAAAGGCACAGCAGAAAGACTCCTTAGATGGTAGACATGGGATATACTTTCTGGTTTTCCCTACTGATTTCATAAAGAACATCCCTCTGATGCCTGTCATAAAAGCAATACTTAAACAGGTGATCCAAAAGACATCATACTTGCATGCAGACGCTATACTAAGTGCTCTGGTAGTAACTAGCAATACTTCCTTGGAATCAAAGTGTAAAACAGGCCTGTATAACTTACAGATACTAAATGTAAAGCTATAAATGTGAATCACTTGATTTTATATGGTATGATCAACTGGTAAATGATCACAGCCATGATACTTTTTCTTCAAATGTTTGTTACATTCTGTTTCAGTTCCAAACTGTAAAGATCTCAGGAACTATGCAGGTAGAAGAATTAAATGTAAAGCTATAAACATCTGATATAAATAAATTTGTTACAGAGAGCTGTCCTTTAAGAAAGGAGATACTGTCTATATCCTCAGGAAAATTGATCAAAACTGGTATGAGGGTGAGCACCATGGAAGAGTTGGAATATTCCCTATTTCTTATGTTGAGGTTTGTTTTCTGTTTTAATTCCTTTAATTAATTTGGGTAATAAGTCCACAAACCACATGAAAATGATAAAAATCTGTGGGTTTTCTTTTTCCTTAGAAACTTTCTCCTCCAGAAAAAGCACAGCCTGCCAGGCCACCTCCCCCTGCACAGATTGGAGAGATTGGAGAAGCTGTTGCCAAATACAATTTCAGTGCAGACACAAATGTGGAGTTATCACTTAGAAAGGTACAGTTTAGAACTATCTTCCATCAAAACACCATGAAAGTGTCTACTGCTATACCAAATCAATACTGTGCTTTGGTGCACTCAGCATTCATAATTTGCCATGCACAAAGCAATGTCATGGTAAGAGACTACTAACATAATAGCTTGTTGGCTAGCAGTCTTTCTCAGCTACCTGAAAATAGCATAAATATGTTGTGCATGTAAATTGGATTGTGGTAGATTAGCATATGCAATCATCTGTTAACTGCCCACGTAAATATCAAGTTTTCTCCTTAGTTATCTATTCCTTTTTTTTAATAATTATTCCTAGCTGTCACTATTATTATGAATCTAGAATAAATAGAAAATTACAGAAGATAAAAGATACAGAAAAAAGGCTCAGAGATTTTTTTGTGAATGTATCAGTTCTTGCAAATATTTCTTTTAATAACAGTCTGCTTTTTATAACATTTTATTGCCATTCCTATGCACATCCTGGTAGTTATACTGTATTGCACATAAGCAAAATAACTGTTTAATTTCTGAAGTTTGTGAGACACTGGAATATCACCACTATAGAGAAACTTTATTATTGCAGATATTAAATACTCACGTGTAAGTAGTATGTACTTCTTATCTACTGGGAAGTTCTGCCTCATACATTTGGGTTTTTTAAAGAATTAGAGTTCATAAAAGCTTTTCAGTGGTTTATTTTTCTTTTGAAATAAAAGTAAGAATATGGTTAGCTGTTGCTGACCTAGAGCTTAATCCAGCATTACTGAAAATAATTAGTGTTTTTTACACATTAGAAATTAGTAAATGTCAAAGAGGTCTAAAAAACAATCGGGAATTGGAACTTAGAGAAATTATGGGTTGAGGGTAATTTAGTGATTTATTTCTTTTTGAAATTACCTTCCATGTTTATTGTGGTGGTCATAATCTTGACAGCCAAACCTGTTTTTTTTTTAAAAAGTGAACTTGCACTGGTTTTCTTTTGTTCTATCTCACTAAAGATAGTTTTAGTGAATTCCACCTATCAGCTACAGAAACAAATTTAAAGAAACCCAAAAGAATGCAAAATTAATAGGGAAGGATTTGTTACGAAAAGGCACGTGATAAAAAGCACATCATGTGAAACAAAGAAGGGGGTAGCTCATGAAGTTTCACTACAGAGAAAGATTGAGTAGAAAGTTGATGTTTTCCATTTCAATTGCTGAGCTTTCTAAAACCAGTAACTGAGCCACTGCCCAGGAAAAGCCCTTCTTTCTCTAATATTTCCCATGGACTCATTTTTTAGCTTTCTACCTCCACTTATTTCAGTTTTACTGATAACAGAGCGCTTGTATGGGTTTTATTGTTTAACTTTTATCACTTGGAAGGAAAAATGGACATAACAGTCACTGTTACCTATTATAGTTAGGGTGTTAGCTGGTAGTTTTGTCAGGAATTAAAATAGGTTATGCTCCAAAGAAAAGTGTTAATGTTATTCTCCCAACCAAGAGTAGGAGACTACATGAGATTCCCCTATGATAAAAGAATAGCGTTTTAGTCCGTGACTAGCCCCTCATTTTGCTGGAATTTTGCTGGTAGTTTTATACGTGGTTATTATAAATGGGAGTAGAAATGTGGAAATGGAGATGATGCTCAAGACTGATGGGAAACTGCACTGCAGGGAAAATGATACTATGCATTAAAATAATACCTGCTATTCACAAAATATACTTACAGTGTATGTGCTGATAACTCATTTTCATAATGCGTTTCAGGGAGACAGAGTAATTCTTCTCAAGCGAGTTGATCAAAACTGGTATGAAGGTAAAATACCAGGAACCAACAGACAAGGCATCTTCCCTGTTTCCTATGTAGAAGTCATCAAAAAGAATGCATCAAAAAGTGTTGATGACTATCCTGATCCTCCGATCCCCCAAAGCTATTCTAGTGACAGAATACACCATTTAAGTTCAACTAAGGTAAGGATTTCTTTTCTTTGCTCTCACCCCTAGAGTGGGTTTAAAAGGACTTGTAATTTTTTTTTAATACAATACATAACTTAGGCATTAAACATAGTATATTTTCTTTCCTGCATAGGTAGAATTGCATTACTATCTTATTAATAAAGTATTTTATTAGCCAAGTGTGTGTCTTACATTCTGCCATGATTTATGGTCTTTTCTTCATTAGCTATTATGTTACTGAGAGTAGGGCTAGGCAAAATTTAGGAAGAAAAATCAAGTCAACAGAAAAAATTTATTTGGGAATCTTAGCAAGAATTTGAGCATTAAGTATATATCTGGTAGACTTTTCCTAGTGCAGTGTGAAGACATTCCCATAAAACAGCTGTACTAAAAGCCTACGGTCACATAAGCATGCAGGACACAGCTTGCCAAGATCAGTTCTGTGCCTTTCAAAGTCAAAAAAATTATTAGTGATTCTGTACTAAAACCTTCCTCCTTTCACCATTTACAGTCAACAAGGAGGCTGTTGTTACATTCTTTGAGGTGGGACAACAGTGACAGTATTGTTTCATTTAGGAGTAAGGTGATTGTCATCACATTGTCAATGAATTTGGATTCAGACCTTTAAAGCTTTAATTTTTCACACCAAATGTGTGTCATAGGTTCTGAATTGTTTTCCTTCCTAGTCTAGATAACCACCACAAGTTGTACTGCAGAATGTTGCAGAGAGATTCCTGTGTTACTGTTTGTCATTCACTTGTGAGATTTCACAGTCACCTGTGCAGGGAGCATAACATCTTTGGCAGTGACAGAAACTAAGACAGTTTCTGCATACAAACCGTGATTAGCATTAACATAGTATTGATGATTTTGAAAGCTCAAGATGGAAAATTTTCTAAATCTTCCTCTTTACCTTTGTTCTTTATCTCTTCAGCATTGGACAGTGGGTTTTGTGTGTAATTATAAACATCTTATCCTGCTATTAATCTCTGTTTCAGTTGATTTTGTCCCCTTTTCTACTTTCCTATATTTGAATACTGGCGCTCATTTACATGCTTCAACTTTGAAATAAGTTCCACACTTATTTACAACTTTGGGGTTGTAAAAAGCTACCAGAAATGTCATTTATAGGCAACAGTGGCCTCTGAAAATATTGCTTATGACTAAACAATATTAGCTGGTTTGGGACAGTTGCTAGAACAGGTCTCTTCTGGTTTTCCAGAACATCTCACAACAGAGAACTAGATCCTCTCTCTTCCTTTCCAACAAAACTGCTGAAGTACCATAAAATTCTGTACCTGCCAGCTGAGGTATTGATAAGCTAGGGCCCCTTATTGTTATAGGAACCCAGAGGTACCTGAGGGCAAATCGAGAGTAGGAGGCAGCTTAGGTGCTCCATATTCCGGAGATGTCTCTCTGTGTTCAGAGGTGCTTCTCCCCGTTTTCTATGGAGCAGGCTTGTCTCTAAGGTGTCCTGCAGCTAAAGCTGGTGTTTGTGTAACCCACATAACCCTTGTTGAGCACAGGTGATGCTTTAGAGCATTTATATCCATATTACAAAACCATACTGCCACTATTATTTAGTTATTACTAAATTAGTTCTGTACGGGACTAAGTTGGAAGAAGCCTTTCTTGTAACATGCCATCATTGGGTTCTAGCAGAAGTTTAAAAAAAACCTCCAAGCTTCTACTGAAACTCTTAGACAGACATCTTGTTTCTGAATTAAACTGTATTCAGAAATGGCAATACCATATAATAAGACATGTTGTTCCTGACTACCTAGAAGAACTACAGGAGCCCTGAAGGTGTTCTAGAGTTCACTACACTTACTGATACCACTTTTGCTATTCCTTTGGAGTTTCTTACCACATATCACTAGATTGCTAGAGCAATTGCACTAAAGTTCTCTGGCCTAATGGCAATAAAATAAATAAGCAATACAAGTCAGGAGCAAGTTTTGCTGTCCTTGGCTTTGCCTGGTCCATCTGTATCTTTAGACCTAGTGCAGCTTGTAGCCATGGGAAACTAAAAAATCGCAATGTCTCTTGTGCATTATTATTGACCTTAATACCATGTTAGAGGCTCTTGTTTGAGAGGAAAGATGAGGTAAAGAGACTGAGTATTGCTTGTAACAGCCTAGCTCTGTTTTAGCAGGCTGTGTTGTATCAGTCTATACTGTTTACTTTGTTACAGAAGACTCTGTAACAAAGGTTGTCTGACTATAAAATAAAGCTATTTGCCTCAAGAAAACTCAAGCAGAAGGTAAGTAAATTAACCTTCCTATTCTGCCACATTAATTTAGACTTTTGAAATAGCACATTAATACTTAAAGTCTCCAGTAGTGCAGATAACTTGGAGATTACATCTAATTATTCTGGATAGTTGTAACAATGAGATCAAAATATTTTTCACTCAGTTTTAATTTTGAGGGTTAATAGTAACAAAAATGCATTTTCAGTATTTACTGAAGCAATGGATATCTACTGATGCTGTGTACGTATGACTCACCAGTCTCTCATTCTTAGAAAAGGACGTTTCTTTTACCAGAAGGATACTTCAATCAATATTGTGTAAAGATACTCAAAATATACTGCTGCATACTGTGCTGTCACTATTTTAAAAGCATTGTTGACTGCCTACATTCAGTTTGAATTGAATGTACCTTTCACAAATGTTAATGTCATTTTTCAACTAAGGTTACTTTTGAAAAAAATGCATTGTAGCTGTTCATGCCTTAATAAAAGTATGCAATATATTAAAGATGTTTCTTAAACATTTACCTGGAAGTATTAAGAAAAAGTAGAAGTATTAAATTTGAATAATTGGAAATCACCTCAGTTTTTATACTTTAAAATAAATACTTAATGACACCTGAAATGTACTTCTGCAAGTGCTATTCTCAAAATAATAGTAATAGTTCAGGGAAAATTTTGTTAATATTAATTGTATGATTTAATAACCTGTGACAGGCTCACTAACAGAGCACCATAAATAACATAACTTTAGCAGATCAAATGCAAGTTGCCTTCATGAATGTAATGATTCAGTTCTGTCTTAATGCCTGACATTTATGCCTCAAGCCAAAACCTGATACAGTTTCATGTTTCAAATGTCTTTCCTGCTGTTCTGATTCATGTAGTAGTGATTTCAGACACCCATGGTCACTGAAATTGTACCCTGTAATCCAGATGATCACACAGACATTTTTCTTTTTCAGTTTACATATATCCTAATTCTCTGTCATACTATTTATTTGAGTTCCCATGTTGTTCTTATTTTTGAAGTTGCCTTCCCAAGCACTGTCCCCACTTTCCAGACAACTTTCCTCCTCTTGGTCACACACTGATCAAAAGATTCTCCAGGCTGCCACTAGTGACTTGTTTTCAAGGACTGTTGGTGTTTCGCCTTCAAGCACATGCAACTTAACTTCTCCATCAGTTCCAGACAGTTTTCTTTGTGACTTAGAAGAACTCAATTCTTTGGCATTGTCAGCTTCTCAAACTGTAGCAATATCCCCAGGTAATAGCATTCACCAAGTTAAGGATGGTCATGTTATTCCAAATACAGAAGTGTCTCTCAGCTCTTCTACAGCTCTTCCTCTGTCCTTTCTTGTATCTGCCTCTGTATCATCTTCAGCCAGCTCATCTCATGACATAGCATATAAGCATGTCAGCAACAATACCAAATCAGGAAAAGATAAAGACTTGAGAGGTATAATTGACCCTTTAGTTATTGAAGTACCTAGAGACTTGTTAGATACTACAAGAGAAGGTGAACCTGTTGGTGCTATCCGTAACATCCCTTCACCATATGAAGGTGGTTCCATGTCCAGAGTGCTAGCTACAAATGCTGAAAATGAAGAGGAAATCTTTACTGCAGATCTGTCACTTAATGTAGAGGATCAGTCAAAGCCTCAAGAATCAGATTTCTACGAAGGAGAACAAGACACAACAGAAGAACTGACAAGACTCTATATAGAGGAGGATCTGGATCTGGTACATGACAGTTTAGAATTCCCAGTAGCAAGTGGAGGAGGCTCTATGGATTATTATGAAGGATACAATTCACCAAATATTGATAAGGTATTTTAATTTCTGAAATACCTGGGTTCTCTATTCAGATAACTTAGTATAAATATTCTCTGCCTTTTCTTATATTTACATGTTTGTATTGTGCACAGGCACAGCTTTATGCAATTGCATTCGATAAAATTTGAGCTCTGAGCAACGTGGTCTGGTGGAAGATGTCTCGGCCCATGGCAGGGAGGTTGGAACTAGACACTAAGGTCCCTTTGAACCCAAACCATTCTATGATTAAAAATTGTCAGTGTTAAGGGATAGTCCCTTCTCAGAAGCAAGCATATGCACTGCTGTAAATTCTGTAGTGTATCAGTTGTGCTGGTCCTTCTGTCCTTGTTGGTTGCCATTGAGCTTCTGATGTAAAAAGCCAGTGAACAGTTTTCCTCACTGTCCCATTACATGCTGCCCCTTTTGAGCCAGAAGCCCCCAGTTCTCCAGAGGGAGGGACATGCCTCCTGCGGAGACCCTGCGGTTTGTGCTTCACATGTGTCACTTCACCAGCTGATATATTTATAGCAGGCTCTGTTACGAGAACATGACTAATAATAACGGATCAGATTATGTTTGGCAGTTAGACAAATGCTTCCTCCTGAAACCCTCCCCAGTTCCTCTCTGGGACAGCACATCACTGAACTATCCCAAATGTGTGCTGGCCATTAAATGCCACAATACCGCTATTTGTGTGGTTTCTAGGCAAAGTTTTAGAACAGACTTTTTTTCTGTCCAGCACTTCAACAGACTGTTCAGGCAGTTGCTTTGGCTGTCAAGATGCAAATCAGATGCTTAAGACAGTATGTTTTTGGCCAAGTGTAAAACTAGTTAATTAGAAAGATTTTGCAGGCTACCTCTACCCTTATTTGACCTGAAAAACACAGGAGAAAAATGTAAGAATAGAGATGAAATCCATGGCCACAAATGGCAACATTTTTGTGATTTCTGAGAAAAGAAATCTCTTCCAGAAATGTAGACTGACTAATAATAAAATTAGCATGACATTTGTGATTGTTCAGATTAGTTACATGTCTCCTTATTGAGCATTTGACATCCTTTACAGCTGGTTTTATAGCACAACTTCTCATTTTTCTTAAACATTTAAGCCAGCTCTACTTTTTGTGGGAACATCAGAAGACTCTGATTCTCCTTTCAACCTTTCTTCTAATCTTCCACTTCACTCTGCCAAGGCACCTACTTTCCACTCCGTTCCTACAACATACCTGTCTGTTGCTTCCCTCCCACCTCCCCTCCTCTCTAAACCGTTACATCAGCAGGAGAAAGACTCACCACAGTTAAAGGTAACTGCACCTCTTGATTATGGATTGTTGCAAATCTTCATGTATATTAAATAACTGCAAGGCTAACACCGAGTTTGATCTTTTCAGATGTACTGTTTTGTTTACTAATATTAAATAACATAACACATGGAGTATTAAAATAAGCCTTCTTCAAATGAAACAAGGTAAAACTGTAACTATTATGATACAATGAAATGGCTTAAGGAGATACCACTGACAGGGAAGCAGAAAGCTTCAACTCAATTTCCAGTCAATACCAGGACAACAGATTAACTCATTTAATTGAACGGAACAGAATTGTATTCAAGTATGCAGAAACTAGGTAACATTTGTGTTTGTGTTTTCAATTTCAAGCCAATGCCTGGAAGAACAGTCATAAATTTCACAGGAAAGCATCACTGCAGAGTCATGTTCTAAATACCAATTCTGTTAGTCAAGGACTGGACAAAGATTATTCCCTCTTCAGGATTACAGCTTGTATCAGCATTGCAGCTCTGTGGCAGAAATATGAAAACTGAAGAGTTGCTCTAGGTAGACAAAGTTAATTTCCAGTGCTGACTTCCAGGGAATTCATTTGCTCATGAAAAGGGGAAAACGTCATGCAAAAAGAAACTATCCTAGAAGGCTGATCATTACATCTGTGCCAGAAATCCTGCCTTTTTTTTCTTTTTTTTTACTCTGTCCTGTCTTACAACGTGTATTCACAGAAAACACAGACATAATGGACTTAAGGAAATCTTAAGATCCACCAGATCTGTTGGGATTTTTTGGATATAGGAGAGACATAAGGCTTCTTTCCTGGGCATGAATCTGTCATGGGCTTAGGTACATTCCGCCTCAAATAAAAAGTAAAACAGAATACTGCACTTGTTTTTGCAACTTTTAATAATTTATCAGTTGGCGCAGTGCTTTTGATGCTTTTGCTTAGCCTAAGGAGCAAAATTCAGAAAATTTCTCACCTACACTGAAATTCTTTTTAGGTGACCCTCATATTCTTTGCTCTTGTTTGAGCAAGGTATGTTAATCCCATCTGAAAATGAACAGAAGGAATATCTGATTTGAGAGTTAAAATATCTGCCCCAGGGAACCTCCTAGGCAGTGTATTGCTCTTAAATGGACAAGGCAGGAGGCAAGACATTAATTAACCAAGGGGGATGATTCCATCTTACAGACACAAGAGCCCGAGTACCCAGAAGAACGGAAGGTCTGGGGTCTTGTTAGAGAGTTCTCAGCCTTAATTATTGTTTTCAAACCATTTCAAATCTGGATTTTTTTTTAAATCTCAGGAACAGATTCCTTTATAAACTTAATCAGTATATACTTACCTATTTGAAAATCTTCAAAATTATTAGATGCACTCTTACCAATGACAGATTTTTTTGTACAGTATTTCTAAAATGAGATAAATCTTTTCCTCCTGCTTAGTTGCCAGGCTGGGCTTGAGAAGACAGGACAGTTCCTATCCTCTTCTCTTTATGCATGTTGCCCATCATTAAGGTCTGCTCTCTACTGACACAGCAGAAAGAACATGAGATATTTTGAGGACTCAAATTTCATAAGTGAAGGGAGGTTCTTCAGAGAGTTCTTGAAGCTGTATACTGATACTTTTGTAATTTTTGTTGATGTAAAAATGCATACGTATACATACATATATGTGTGTACATAAATATATTTGGAATGTGGCTCAAATCTAAAGCATGACCAGGGATTTGGACAGTGGAATACAAGGAGCTATGGGTGGGAAATGTCACTTTGCACCATGTTGGTGGGAGGGTGTCCTCCAAAAGAAGAATTCTGAAAACATGTCCCAAGGAGAAATGCTGACATTTTTCTAGCTCCTTGGTCTCTCTTGGTATCCTTTTTTGTTGTTGTTGTTGTTGTTGGTATTGTTATTCACCCCTCTCCTAAGAGGAGGCTGTTTTTCTATCTTGTCACACTCTACTGACAAACAGTCACAAATACCAGAGAAGAGGTTTTCAGTATCATCACTCCACTCCCCTCACGTTCCCCCCAGCTGACCCCTGCCCCTGAGAATTCACATTTGCTGAACACACACCCCTTAAGAACTGAATTCTGACAAATATTTTTCTGATTTATAGTGATGCTAACAAAACGAGGATATTTTCTTGAAGTACCTTCCACCAAGTATTTACTTGCTTTCTCCATGCAAATTTAAGGGAAGCGTTCTGTTTAACAGTAAGGAATTACAACATTTGTTGTATACTGTTGAGCTTTTCTGTGTTACCAACTGAGCTGTTTCAGGGGTACACATGGAGTAACTGTTACATGTAAGGGCATGTGCCAGAGCAGCAAAACTTGGAAAACAGATACAGTGACAACAATAGAAATACTGTGTACTAGTAGTACTTATTTCTACCTGTAACTCATTGCTTTTTGTTATCAAGAAAAGCATGTTGGATTTGCATGTATGAATGAAGGAACAAAAATCCCATGATGCTTCATTCTTAAACTCTCACTTGACACAGTTTTTGTGGTTCTTCTAGGCTAATTTAAAGAGAGAGAGATTTGTTATGGGTAAACCTCCTCGTAGCCCAGTGATGACTAAGAGATCCTGCAGCTCACCTGTAAGAGGTCACAGCTATTCACACAGGGTATGGTGCTGGATGCCCAGTGTGCAATAACAGCATTTCCATGGACAAGGAGCTCAGTGTCTAGCAGTATTTTGCTTTTGCCCAAGTGTCTCAGTACTATCAGTATGCTCTGTTTTCTTCCTGTTGTGCTTCTATGCTATGTCTGAGTAAAGGCAACAGGTCTGTGTGTGCCAAAACTCATTATATAAATCCATTAGTGTATTGTATCTCTGCGGTACTGCATGGTATTTCCAGTGCTACAAGATGTAAGAGATCAAAGCTCTTTATATTTAGTCTGGTTTTATTAAAATTACTCCTCTCTTTCAAAGCATTTCTAGTTTATTAAAATTACAGCTTCCAAGAGTCGAAAATTTATACTCATTGCATATATATGGACTGAATTCTTAGGTTTGAATCCATGTCCTTATTTTTCAAAACGCTTTTTTGCTGTGGTATGATGTTCACTCAATACTGTTCTCTTTATCCAAGCAGTGTCATTCCAGCCTTTTATACCCTTTAACCTTTCCCTTCCTATCTGTAACATAACTGTAACATTTTTACCTAGTTAGAAAGTCAGGTTGTTTAGAGTTTGCATGGACTTTCCTCAAAAAGGTGATCTGTACTATGGAAAGGAAAAAAAAAAACCTCACACAACCTAAAATTTTGTGAGAATGAGAATTTATGGATTATATTTTACTTTCATTTTAGGACTGAATTATTCTTTGCATTGGTTTCTTAACATATGGCTCTTAAAGCAGTTAATAGGATGAGCTGTTTTCCACACTGTTCCTGCTGATTTTAGGTGATCATCTTTCTGGTGGCTCCCTTTTTAAAATTTGAATTTTAGTTTAACATATGTAGGATTGTGTAACTTTCAAAGCTTGGCTTTTTGGCAAGCCTATGTTTACTACCAGGTATGAAGGGATAGTACTTTCCTCATCAATGAAGAAAGACAGTTCAATCACAGATAGGAAGGCCAGGATTCTTGTAGTAGTGGACCAACACCATCTCACAGAAAGTCCAACTAGGAGTGAGATCCATAAAAAAGGGATTAAGCCCTATATTAATTTTGCATGTTCCTCCAGATTAATGACATGTAACCAGTATGTTAAGAGAAGTGTATTGGTCAATGCGTAATGTATTTATTACTTTAATTCCAAGACTACAAGAGCACAAATCATGCACCTAATTTGCATGCTCAGGAATGTACAGAACTATTATATGCAAGAGCGTATTAATCATGCATGAAAATCAGGGATACAACTGGGGACCATTGACTTGATTGCACATTTAATGTTTTTGGGATTAGATGCTGCAGTATTTTCCAGGAAACAGGATATTCTAGTAAACTGAGGATTAGTTGAAAACTAGAAACAGTCTTTGCAACAGTCCCCTATCTAGCTAATGTAACTGCATATGGGAATGAGAGCTTAGGGAAAGAAAACAGGAGAAAGCTTCTGGGTGTCGGCTGGGGTATTATTGTGGAATGTATTCAAATAGCGAGTGAGCTCCAAGGTCCCCCTCTTCAGACATAACTTCACCCTATTTTCACAAGATTGTAATCTTGTCAAAGTTTTCTCAGTGGCAATAACATACAGTTGAAAATCTTTAGTCACCTTGATTTTTATTATCTGTTTCTGCAGTAGTTAATTCATTTTATGAAGTATATGGAGAAAAAGAAGATAATACTGACCTACCCAGTTTCTTCCTGTCTTGGTATTATATTCAAAGCATTGTATCATTTTTAGCATTCTTTAGGATATTGACTTTCATTTTAGGAAAAATCCTTAACCTTAGTTGAGTTCTTTTGCATCTCTGACTATCTGTGGCAGTCAGCTCAGTTACAGACCTGATGAAAGATAGCAGAAAGTAAGGTCAGATTCCAGTCTAAATACAAAGCATTCTGCCAAATGGACTGTTTTCTTCTTGTTTGATGAGCCAACCATTGAAAGAGGTTTACTAAGAACTGTTTAATTTACAATCTTTACTGTTGGATTCTTTGGTAAAAATTGCACAACTTTTTGTACACCAGCAGAGGAGAGTTACATGAAGAAGAGAAGACAGTAAAGCGTATAGAAAATTCTTTTTTTTTACTTTGAAAACCTCTTTCCCACTTAGCATTCAATAATACAAATTAAAAGTCTGTAATCCTCCTGCTTGCATCTTTAGGAACCTTTTAAAAGTTACATTCCATAGACTGTAAAGATAAAGTGTAGACTGTTCACAATACTTTCTGCCTGTACACATACAAACTGATGAAAAGAAATTTAACTTCTTTAATGTCTTCTGGAGATGTTGAAAGGGAAAAGGGAGAAAAACAAACAAACAAAAACCAAACTACATAGAGTGTTCTTCTATTCAGTTTCTTTTATCAGACTCTGGGCTGTTTACTGCTGCCTTCTCTCATTGAAGACTCTATCATCTTCAAGAGTGAACTGAAATAAGCAAATCAAGAGAGAATCATGGGGCAATAAGACAAATTCCATGGCTTAAAGATCGGGTTACAGTTTGCTCAATTCATGAAAGAAAGTGCTATGAAAAATATTTGATATCCACACTTCTAAAACAGATATGGTTCCCAGACTTGTCTCTACATCATGACCTTAAGGCATCCTCAGTCATCAGCAAATCTGATCCCCGCTCACATCAAGAGCTTTCCCAAGCACCTGCTCCTGTGTTGTTTCTGGCCCCAGCCAGATTCTGATCAGTATAAGTCAATGACTTTCTGAGCAGGATATGGTTTCTGTAGGAGGTTTATATTTTTCATTTCCATTGCATCCAGATTTATTGAATATTAGTGGTGGGTAATGCTCCATTAAGAAGGGACATAGTTCCTTTCATAAAGCTTTGCACTGGAAATACAAACTACTTTTTCTGCTGAAGTAAAAGTGTTAATTGTTATTTTCACACAATTAAATGTGTTTTTTTTTTTGTTCTTCGACTCCCAACAGCCTGCATGGCTTGAGATGAAACAGAAGTAATTAAAGCATAGCATGTTATGCCTGCCAAGTTAGTACTCTGTGTGTGTGTAATGTAAATTGGTATGGTTTTTCTCTATCAATATTCTGGATTTTGCCATTAAGTATAGGAGATTTTCTTACTTCACGCAAAGAATGTACGATGTTCAGCCATTGCATCTGATTTTTCTAATGTTATTTCTGTTTCACAGTGAAGAGGCTGAAGGGTTCTATTCCAACTTTATACTGTACTATAAATAGAATGGACTGATAAAGTTCACAGTTTGTTTAGTTATTATTATGGCCTCCAAAAATCAGATCTTTAAACCTACCAAGATTTAGTTGTTTGTCATGTCTCTTAGGAATTTATTGGAGGGGGAACAGAATGGGCCGTTGTTTTACACAAGGTAGAATATGAACTCTTGAGCAACTGTGTGTCACACCTCTATCCAATTATTTGGACCTTAAACTGCAAATCTTTATTACATTTCAAATCATTTCATTTCAGCCACAGCGCCCTGTGCTTTCTCATGAAAACATACACAGTGGGGGGGAACCGTAAGTATACTTATTGTCTATTAAACCAAAACCTAGCATTTAAGCAATAGCCAGAACATCATCAGATAATTTGTTAACTTGCCAAGTACAATTATGAAGAGATTTCAGAGATTATTTACAGAAAAATGCATGAGGTAGGAAGATATCGAAGAAGGTCTCAGAGGGCAAAGCCTTAATTGTTTAATTTACATCAAATGCAGACAGACATGACAATTTACAGTTTCCCATCATCTATACTTAAAAGGAGTAATAATTTTGTAAAAGTAAAATTTGACTCTTCTTTATTCTCTCCATTTTTACATCTCAGCAGAATGACAGTTTAAGATTTAACATTGATTCAACTCATCTGCTTTACTGACTTGAAGCAAATTATTCAGAAACAGTTCTGGATGTGAATAGAGAAAAAAAAACCTCAATATGTTGATCACAGGAACACAGGCTCACACTTTTTGGTGTGATTTATAAGTGCAATTCAAATATGAGATACAGGAAAGTGTTTCTGAAAACTGAAGAACCTAGATCTCAAGTCTTATTTTCATAAACAGTTTAAATGCTTGGGATACTTCAGTGCTGACTGTTAAAATGCAAGTTCAGTGCAAGATTGTTTCAAGATATTTTTTTTTCCTCAAGTCTTGCATTTGGGTCCTGTTTCGAGGATCATTGAAACCAGGAGCCATTCTTCCTCTAGCATCAGAGCACTTCAGCATATGCTGAAGTTAGATAATTTCTCAGAAATGTAGCTAAGGCGTAACATCTAAAAATATTTTGAAGTTTACCTATTAGTCACTTGAAGACAGAAGAGAGTGGCAAAAAGTTACCAAACAGCTATGCCACAGATAATACATAATTAAAATAGGATGTTTTAGTTTTAATCTCACTGAAACTACAAGCTCCTGTTGGTATTGTTGAGCACACTGAAGCACCTAACTCAGTTTTGTAAGCAATAATTTTCTATTTCATTTTGTTAGATATTGTTTAAGTAGTTCATGACTGAAGTTATTTATTCCTAAAATTAAAAATAGAAATATATTTCAATTGCCAACCAACCATTCTTTGCTTTGAATATGTATTCTGTCAGTGTTGTTAATGACAGTAGAGTTTTCATACTTAAGAAAGTCTTAGATTAGCACAGAGAGAATGAAGTTAATACACTGGAGTTATTAAAATGGATTATCTGGAAATTACTAAGATTCAATTTCAAAAGTACAAAGAGTGCTAATTGGGACATCCTCGTTACTGTACTTGAGTAAGTAATTGTCTTGAATCCTATTCATGATACATTACATCTGCAACCGCTGTCCCCTTGAAAGCTGCATTTAATAATTTTTTGGAGTATCATAATAGCTCTGCTTTCCTGGAATGATGATAAGCATAATAGAAACTGTTATTGCCACTTAGGTTTTTGCACAGACTGTTGGTACTCCTGCTGCACAAATTACCAGAGGTAACTGCTTAAACAACCAGTTTTGTTCCATTTTGTTAGTGGGATTAAAATATAAAAATAGACTTTTCAGACTTGGGGAGATAACTGCCAGTCACAAGATATTAAGTTAAAATCTTTATTTTCTTGGAACAGTATCTTCATTTTTTGTCCAAAGCAGCAATGTGAAAAATAAGTGTAGTTTAGTCAAGACTATCATTAAACTAAACCTAGCACCACTCTATATGTAGGATTTTCAAGTTGGACTTTCAGGAACATCAATTTTTTACTAAAATAAACATCTCATTTAAGCCATGAAAACTGCTGGAATGATACAGAGCTAAATGAAATACTCAGTACCAACACATCAACTGGCAAGCTGTTTTGTTTTTATTGGGGAAGTGTAATGGCATTAAGGTTTAAAACTCAGTGAACTGTTGTTAAGAGGGAAGGAATGGATATGATTACGTTTTGCTTCAGTATTTTGAAATTAAAACTATTTCCTTTGTACAATTTCTGCAGTTGTACCCTGCTTCTTTATATGCAGTCACTCGTATGTGGGGCACAGTTGCTTACAAAAAAAAAGCAGATTCTGACTCTGCAGGACTCAGGGGCTTATGCAGCAATCTTTCTGTGGGCTATCAGCCCACGTGCCTTCAGTTCCCCCTAGTGAGAGTTTATTGCCATTCTTTCAATTCAAAAAACCTCAATTAAAAGCTGTCAAGGAATCTCACACCTCTTTCCATTTATCCACTAACATCTGCAAACTGCAGCTCCTGGCCAGGGGTGAAGACACAGGTCGGTGTCTGAATACCATTTAAGTTTCCATGCATTTGTCCCCTGATTTGATTCAAACCTCTTTAACCAGGGAACCAGGTTACCCCTGTATGTTTCCAAATAGCGATTATGCTCCACCTTCTCCATAGAGGAGGGCACCTCTTTTATATCAGAGCAAAGGCTTGCCACACCACTTGCAGCTGAGGAGCTCAGGGAGGTCCCTCAGTTACAATGACAGTGTGTGTGAACTGCTGTCCTGGGCACCCTCCTCCACAGACACCTCACTTATGCTGTTGGTACTTGCTTCAGAGAGCTTAAGTTTCAGATGCTGATCATGGAGGGTTACAGTGCCAATACGTCTGTAGGCTCCCCTCCCGTAGTCCTCAGTTTAGGTGACTCAACTATAAAATAATGCTAAAAAAATACATCTATTTTCAAAGCCACTGGTCGAGGAGCAAAACCAGTCTTTAGTGTCAGATCTTTCCAATGAAGTTTTTTTTAATTTACTGTAAATTCTTAACTCTCAAATCCATCAAGCAAAATAAATCCTTTTCCCGTCTATTAGCAAGAAGTGTTACTTGTTAATGTTTAAGCCAGCTCCTTTACTTCAGCAAAGGTGCAAGGAACTCTTACTTCTTTTTAAAATGCATCATTTGTCCTATTTAAGGTTTCAGGCTCTATATAACTATACTCCTAGGAATGAAGATGAATTGGAGCTCAGAGAGGGAGATGTCATTGATGTGATGGAAAAATGTGATGATGGATGGTTTGTGGGTATGTTTTAATTTGGTTGCTTTTTTTCTTTTTTTCCCCCCCTAACCTTTGCTACCCTCTTTGTTTAGTGTCTTTTAAACAACTAAATTTTTGTTATTCAGTGTAATAAACCTAAACCTGGCTTTATCAGGAGAAATCCCAACCAAAATCCACTGAAATTAGTGGGTGATTTTGTCCTTTCATCTTTTGAAGTTGGTGGACACAAATTGACACGTCTGCAGTTTGTTGTACAGCATTGTTGTCATTTGTGACACAAAATGGCCTATGTATTACTGTTCTCCTCATAAAGACCAGGTAATTTAAATCTTACTCACATGAATACATCTAAAGAATTGACTACTTGTGAGAACCAAGCATTACTGAACAAAGATTTCATAACCAGGCCTAGATAAAGTAGCTTAATCATTTCATAAACGCTCATATACATGTAGCTAACTTAATCATCTCACTAGTCCTTTGCATTTAAAAAAATTCAAATTATTTAAATAGACTTGATGTTGTTGAAATTAAATTATTTCTGTGTACCAAGAATTTTAGAACAGCTTTTAATCAAGACCTAACGATTTAATCAAATATGCCTCTTCATTTGCTTGTCACTTCCTGCATTTATACTTGGTTAAAACTCACAACTCACAAATTAAATTAAAAATATTTTTTTGAAGTTATAATATAAGAAACTGTAGATATTTCTGTTTGTGCAATATTAAACATAAAAATTTTAAGGCCATGCTTACATAGTGAATTTCTGTTGTTATTCCCATCTTTCATTTATTGCTTCTAATTTCAGGAACCTCGAGAAGAACCAAATTCTTTGGTACTTTCCCTGGAAACTATGTCAAGAGGCTGTGAAATTTTTTTTTCTACTTATTTATGCTGCATCTCTGCAACACATCTGCATAAAGCTGCTAGAAAACATGCTACGCTGGCCTTCTGTTTTCTTGCTTGCAGTCTCAAATAGAGGCCATCTAGTTCATCCTCATCCCATCCCACCCGCCAAACCGTTCCAGCAGTATTACAGCAACGACCACAGAGTGAATAACTAAGCTTTTCTGAGACAAGAAGAATCATTTCAGCATTTAAACACTCCCTGCTTTAAAGTCTTTTTATGTGAAACACAATAGGAAAAGCCTGATGACAGGTACACAGAGGAATTGCCATGGGGGGTGGGAGGAAGGGGCGAAAAACTATGCTTGGTTAGAACATTTGTGGTACTACCGTGAAGTCTGGTGGGATTTTTTCAGCATGCATGTAATACAGGGGAAAGTTGCTGTTTACTATTTTTTAAAAAATTGTTTGAGTTTCCACATTCTTACTAGCTTGGCAGCATTTTTTGCTTCCACTTGCTGTATCACGGGTTTGCCTATTGTACTGGTTTACAATGTATGACAAACTATAATATAGATTGTTTGCCTGCACTTGTATGCTGTAACATATGCACAGTGATTGTAAAATCTCAAGCAAGCATAGTGAAAAATGGAAGAACTGCAAGTGTTCTGAACGGGTGCAATGGTATTGGCTAAATCTTTTTTTTTCCCCCTAACAAACCTGTAGTGTTTTCTGTTAAAAGGTGAGAAGTGAAAAAGGCAATAAGACTTGGGAAAGAGGATTTAAGGAAGAGACAGACAGTGGTATAAGCATAGACAATAATAACCTGCTACTGATGTCTGATACTAAATGGTTGCAATCAAAATGTTGTGATAGTAAGCAACATGAAATGTGAGAGGTTAGTGTTTTTACATATCAGGAATTTTAATAAGCAGAAAGTAAACAGTGTTAGTGCAATGAGTTGTTGGGTTTGGGGTTTTTTTCCTAACATAGCCACCTGAAAAATATTCACAAGTATCATGTACTGATTTACTTCACTATATTTGTATATATATATTAATGAAACCCAAGTTACACATTCTTTTTAGGAATTTAGACAGAAAAAAAAAAGTCACAAGTATTAAAACTGATACATTTTAGAGGTGTTTTTTTTCTTTTTTTTTCCTGAATGAAACAAAGTATTTGAAAACATACATTTTCCATAAGCAAAGGTAAGCATAAAATTAGCAAATAAAATTAAGGCACAGGATGATAATGGCTATGGCTTTATAAAAATAAAAATTCAGATTTGGTTTCTTCAGCACCTTATAGATGGCAAAAGCTTCTGCTGCATTTCTCATGGGTAAAGGATCGAAATTATCAAAATGTATGTAGTCTCTGTAGCATTTTGTACATATGTTTGCTTTTTTTGTACAGAGCCATTTGGTTGTTGATTTTTAAAAAGAATAAGTTCCTTATTTGATCTTTGCCCTCTTTACATACAGAACATTTCAATGCATTTTTCTTTTCTTGCTCTGTTTACCATAAGTACATCTGGATAGTGCAATTCTGTAAGATAGCATTTTATGCAAAATTTTATTAATTAAAATATGGTTTACCAGCCAAATCTAAATGTACATATGTCTTTATTACTGAGAAATGTCATTAAGACAAAGGTAAAGAAACATCTTTGTGCAGCATACCTTTATTATTGCAGATTTCATGGCAAAAGCTTTATATTCAAAGGCTTTCAATTTTAAACTAGATCTGCATGCAGCTTTGCTGTGAAATTAATACCTATCTTTGATGCCATTTATGATTGAAGACTTAAATATCTGTTGCCTGTGATATTTAAAAAGTACTGTTTCTACTCTGTATCTGATTTTAGAAAAATGCAGGTTTTTCATACCTGACTTTCAGGTAACTGACTTTGAATTCCTACAAGCAAAAGGTCTCTGTGTTTTTTTTTTCTTCAATAGACTTCTAATAAATTTTGCTTGGAGTACACAACTGTTTCCCCCATCATTTCTCAAAGTACATGTAATATATTACTTAAGTATTGCAAAGTGCTTAACTCTTCAAGTTTGTATGCAAATAGTTTCTTGTTGTATTTTTTTTTCACCCCACCATCAAGCATACACCAGTTATATATATGGGCAACTAGCATTGGCCTCAGGGCTCTCAGCTGGTCCACTTCTATGTCATTATCCCCAAGGCAACTTGAGTGCAAAAGCATCATTATGGACTGTCTACATGGAGTGTGATAATTTGAGATAATTCTTCTGTTGCCAGAACAACCCTTCACTCCAGAGGCACAAAGGTAAAATACACAATGGTAACCCATTATGTTAAACTCATTATGCCTGGTGAAAGTTCCCACATCCTAATCCTTCAACAAAAGCAAAACAAGAACTCCCATGTAAAGTGACAGCATAGGAACAAGATTTAAGGAAAACACTGATATTGGGGGAACATCTTACACTTGGAATATCCGTCTGTCAAGGAACAATTGTCAAAAAAAAAGCTCAACAAGAGGCAAAATATGCAAGCAGCAGCTTCTAGGGATTGGGGGGGGGGAGGAATGGTGGTGTGGTGTTGTTTGGGTTTTGTTGGGTTTTTTTTTCACTGACTGGTAACACAGTTACTGCCAGTGCCTCAGAGTAGCTCTTTGGTCCTGCTTCACCACGCCACACTGGCTGCCATTGCCAGGCCGTCCCCTCCAAAATGCTGTGTGTGGTGTGTTTCTACCACTGATGAATCCAGTACAACAGCAACCTGCATTTGGACAGGAATAACCCATTTCCTTGAGTCCAATTCATGCTCAGTTTTGTCTTTACGATTGCTGAGCTGGAAAATGGAAAACAGGCAACACCTCTAAATAAATTGTAAGCGTGTAGCTGAAAGTGGGACTGCTGTTAAAACTCCAGCAGGAACTCCTTCGTCAGTATAAGAAGCGTCAATGTTGAGAGCGCTTTCAATCTGGACGAGTCCTAATTTAGTATCATTGAAGTAAATGTGTTCTTCCTATGCTAAGTTTGCTTAAAGTCACCACATGCATCTCCTCTTGCAGCCTGACAAGCAAATACAGGAATACACAATCAAATGTGTGGTTTGTCCTTTCTGTTTGCTGGGTGACCCAGCATGGGCTTCAGGACACCACTGAAGTACTGCTTTGTGCCAATACCTGTGAGAATTGTCAGAAATAGGAAGTACTGTGCTTTAATAGCCTTTTTTCTATAAAAACTAGCCTAATAACACCTGCTGGTTAATGTAGTCTCACTAATATAAATAAATTCTGGGTAGTTAAGGGTCTGAGTGTTTAAGGGGTAAAATAGAATCCTCTGCTAATTGCAAAAAGTGGATCAAAAAAGCAAAAATATAGACCATTGCAGTGAAAATAGCAAGTCATTGACACTTAAGGAAAAGAATGCAGTCAATGTTTAAATCAAAAAGTAGAGAAATATTTAAGTTATATCCATACAAACCAAATATATTCAATTCTACTGTGTCTGCTGAAATCCCAACTACACTATTTAAGGAACAAACTGAAGGATTTTTGAGTTTCCTTGTATAGGCCCTTATAAACTCATGAAGGAGACCCTACAGGACTACGTGGTGCTTTGTCCTTAAGGCCAGAGGAAGAGAGACCTGGGGAATTAGAGGCCACCCAGTTTAATATTTAGGAAGAGACCAGAATAAATGAATTAAAAGTCTCAGATATTCACAGATTTTTTTTGAAAATTAGAGATCAAACCAATTTCCTTTTCTCTTGTCAGCCCACATAGCCTGCATCTTAATTTCTATTAGGATTCTTTTTTTTAATGCTATGACTTAGCAGCTGTGCTAGCAGCCTAAGAAAAGTCAGTGCCAGTCCAATAAAATCAAGTCTGTTACAGAGTTGTGCTATATGACAGATGAATAGGTAACAAAACCACAGCATCCCTACGTCTCAGTGCCTACTCTGCAGTGAGCTGTGTATTTGCTGTTGAGGTAAAGGCTTCTTAAAACAAGAAAGCCCATAACATACCAACGAGCCAGGGAGACTAATGCATGAGCAGTTCAGGGTAGTGAGGTAGTATGTCTCAAACTAAGCAAAGGGTCACCCGAGCGGGTCTCACATTCTGTCACCCACAGAAGCAAAGCATGTTGTCATTCTGCAATGTCTGGCATTTACTAGTTGCCTTTTAAATGCTGATATACAGAACCAGGACAGGAACACGAGGTGCTTCCTGTGCATTTGAAAAAGCAGTGCGTGAGCCCATGGGGAAGCTGGAAACATGAAGTCAGTAGCTCTAGAAGGACCTTAGGTCATTGCTAAGTATAATCCCTTACAGCATTAATAGTTACATGGTGAAATCCTGCCTTCGCTCCAGTTAACAGCAAACTCCTTTGAAGTCAACAGATCCCACAGTAGTGCTAATAGTTTCTGTGTTAGCTTGAAACTAAAGTTGCACAAGAGAGAAGCCCTGAGCCAACTGAATGTTCAGTTTGGGTTGGTTTTGTTATATTGAAAAGTATGAGTGCAGGCAGAGAGCAGAAACTACTTCTTTAACTGCTCTCATGACAGAGCAGAGCAGATAGTTCCATTCTCTAGTACCTAACTGGCGAGTGCTGGTTGGTTACACTGTGCACCTGCACCTGGGACTCCCAGCTCCTGTTTCATTTGCATCAATGCAAATCCCATATGTAATGTATTAAGAATTATGCCTTTGAGTATTTAACTTCTGTTTCCTCAGGGGTCAAAAAGGAGCAAAGTTTTGTGGTAAGAGACTATTTTACATTTCCAGAAAGTAGAAAGCATTCTCACTAAAATAGCTTTAATGCCTATAACAACTATCCTATAGCAATTTTTTTAAGCAGCCTTTGTATAGTGACATCACAGTTAATTACAGATCAGGAGCACAGAGGGTTCCGCTACAGCAGGATGACATTACATCACAAGTGACACCAGGGTAGGGGAGGGAAGTGTTGACTGACAACCAGAAATGCGTTGCTAGGTTTATCCTCAGTACAGACACTCACATCTCAACAATTTATCTTTCCTGCTGCCAACACAAATAACAAACTTGGAAGCCATTATTTCATCACCCCCATAAACGAATAGCAAAGTAATCCTCCTACATTTTCCATTCATCAGATAAATCAGTAAACCACTTTAAAAACATCCCAAGAATAATGTAATTATTTATTTCTACCAGTGAAGAATTACCAGAGAGTTACACACAGTGACTCTTTATACTCCCCTCAGAAAAGGAGGGGATTCGCCTTTCTGTCACGAGCCACTGTTTCCCTTTGCAAGAGGGTCCTGTATTCATGTGTGTCCACTTTAGGTGCAGAGCTCTAGCTCCAAGTGACTGGAACACTAGTTTGTTATTTAAATAGCAATACTTTTTGGCTGTCTTACATTAAAATAAAATGGAGTAGTTTTATTTCAAGACTTTCTACAAGTGCCACTTAAGAACCAAAGATATAGACTGCTATATTAAAATAATCAAACCTTCACAGTCACTCACATCGAGATTTTTTTTCTCAACACTGTGCTAAGCATACAACTGGAACCAACACTGCAGATGGGGAACACTGAAGAGATTGAACATGTCATTCTAAGTGGGTCATCACACTGCTTCTGTCGCTGTGATTTGCTAGATAAACCCCAAGCATGCAATGACCCAACTCATGCTTCCCCGGGTTGATACTTCAAACTGTAATGTGAAACATGTACAAATACCAGCTGGTTTAATACCCACCAGAGGCTTTCCTTACACTACCACAATTTCATCTGTTATAGATAGGGATTTTTTTCACACGTAACTAGAAGTATTTGAACAGGTGAGAATGAACCCCTCCCTCCTTACACCATAAAAGAAGACAAATTAATGTGCCCAATATGTCTGGGGTAGTAAAGAGCAATACTTATGCCATGGAAGAGTTCAAGAAACTATTTATAGATTCACTTAGTCTGCTCCTACAGCCAATTCTAAGGTACAAGACACAAAGCAGCACTACACACCATCTGAAGCAGAAAGTATGAAAGCCATATGCCATCAAAACCACAGGGAATCATCTAGGACACATATAAAAACTTGCTTCTAGCCACCAATCCATACTTATGTTCTCAAGCAAGCATACTGCTACAGAGGGATGCATAATTTTTTTACCTACCATTTAAGTCAAAAGGAGTTTTAAAGAAGAGTGGTCAGAGAAAGAAATTGAGCCAAACTTATGTCAGCATCAGATAATAATTTCTGATCGTCACAGCTTTAATTACAAAACTGCTGGTATTTAAACTGTTACAGAAAACTGACTTTTCAGTTGCATACATCACTGATAAATTCCATGCACAGCATCCTGAAATTACTGCTAGCTGTCTAAACTTTTTTCTTTTTTTGCAGCATACGCTTTCTTTGTTTATCTGTTTCATTTCAGGGACACAAACAGTGCAGGCTTTGAGACAGGAATCTTCAAGACAGAAAGCCTTGTGCTGAGAGATCCTTGATCCTTTAAGGTCTTAACCATTGCTTTAGTGCAGGGGGAAAAAACTCCACTAGATTAAAATAAATTATGTCACTTATAAACACACATTATAGGCACATCCTGTACCTCAGATACAGAAATAGCAGATGTTTCAACCACGTCCTCTCAAAAAAAAAAAAAATCAAAAAACTCAAACCAAAAAAAAAAAAAAAAAAAAAAAAAAAAAAACACCAAACCACCCAAACACCTAAACCAGAGAGGTGAGGTGGTTACTAGAGGAAAAAGAGGGGAGACATTTGGGATGTCAGAGGCAGACAAGACCAGGGATAGCTGTTTCAGACCCCGGGAAAAGGATACCTGGCCTATTTTGTGGAGTCAACCTTGTCAACCTTCTTCCTCTGTCACACACATCCTGTGCTTCCACAAATGATAACTCCCCAGGAAAGCCTTAGAAAAGCAACTATTGCAGACCGGACTAGGAAAAGAGTAAGATCAACAGGGGAAGATACAAACATCTATGGCAAGCCTGACAG